GGGAACCCAGTTCACCGCTGTGCTTACCCAGCAGCTGTGGAAGGTGTGCGGTATTAAACCTCTGCTTAGCTCACCGTATCACCCACAGACTAACGGTCTCTGCGAGCGATTTAATGGCACCCTCAAACAGATGTTGAGGACCTTTACTGACACTTGCAGAGATTGGGAGCGATTCCTGCCTCATCTGCTATTTGCATACAGAGAGGTGCCCCAGGAATCTACTGGGTTCTCCCCCTTTGAGTTACTCTATGGGAGAAGGGTCCGTGGACCCCTAGATCTCATTAGAGGACACTGGGAGGGGGAGACAGAGCAAGAAGGGACTCCCATAGTACCATATGTCCTGGAGCTCCGGGACCGCATGGAGAAACTATCCCTGATGGTCAGGGAGAATCTCCAGGCGGCCCAGGGGAGACAGAAACGGTGGTACGATCGGGGTGCCCGACAGCGGGTCTTCCAGGTTGGGCAGAAGGTTCTGGTACTCAAGCCTGTGAAGACAGACAAGATGCAAGCATCTTGGCAGGGCCCATATAAAGTGTTAGCTCAGGTGTGTGATACTACCTACCTTATAGCCAGCTGTTCAGATGAAAGGATTCAGCGATCCTTCCATGTGAACATGCTGAAGGAGTATCAGGAACGACCAGAGGATGTTGCGGCGGTATGTGCCCCAGCTACTGACGACCCCGAGAACTTACCGTTACCTGACTTGCTAGAGAGAGACCCCCAGACAGACCTTACTAGTCTTGTACAGCTAGGGGACCGGCTAAACCCGGCAGAGAAGGTACAGGCGAGACAGTTACTGTGGGAGAAGCAGGCGACGTTCTCCCAAGAACCCGGGTACACTACCCTAGCTGTACACAAGGTCGAGACACCCGGACAGAACCCCCTACGACAACCCCCATACCGTATCCCTGAAGCAGTCCGAGAAGGAATGCGGACGGAGATACAGGAGATGACCAGGCTGGGGGTTATCGAACACTCAGACAGTCCTTGGGCCTCGCCTGTAGTTCTGGTGCCTAAGAAAGATGGGACCACCCGGTTCTGTGTGGACTACAGGCGGCTCAACGAGCGGACCATCACTGACGCCTACCCTATGCCCCGGGTAGACGAGTTATTAGACCGCATTGCCAGGGGGCGCTACTTGACCACCATTGACCTGTGTAAAGGTTATTGGCAGATCCCCCTGGCCGAGGATGCTATCCCTAAGTCGGCATTCGTCACCCCATTTGGCCTGTACCAATTTAAGGTTATGCCATTTGGGATGAAGAATGCTCCGGCTACGTTCCAGCGTATGGTGGATAGGCTCCTCGATGGCTTCCAGGATTTTGCATGTGCATACCTGGATGACATTGCGGTCTACAGTGAGTCCTGGGAAGACCATTTAGTACACGTGGGGGTGGTGCTGGACAAGATTCGGGCCGCAGGCCTGACCTTGAAGCCAGACAAGTGCCATCTAGGCATGGCAGAAGTACAGTACTTGGGTCACAGAGTAGGCTGTGGGAGCCAGAGACCGGAGCCAGCCAAGGTAGAGGCGGTGGCTAACTGGCCCACACCTATCACCAAGACCCAAGTGCTGGCCTTCTTGGGGACGGCAGGGTATTACCGACGTTTTGTCCCTGACTACAGTACGGTTGCTAAGCCCTTGACTGACCTGACTAAGAAGAATTTGCCCAAGCAGGTCCTGTGGTCTCCAGCTTGTGAAGCCGCGTTTCAAGCACTTAAAGGACCACTATAGTGCCAGGAAAACATACTCGTTTTCCTGGCACTATAGTGCCCTGAGGGTGCCCCCACCCTCAGGGACCCCCTCCCGCCTGGCTCTGGAAGGGGGAAAGGGGTTAAAACTTACCTTTTTCCAGCGGAGAGCCTCCCATCCTCCTTCTTTCTCGCTTGCTGACGCGACGCTGCTGCAAGAGCTGGCACAAGATTCGAAGCCGGGTCTCAGGAAAGCATTCATACGCTTCTATATGGACGCTATGCTCACCGTGATTTTCACAGTGAGAAGCATCGCAGCCTAGCGGCTGTCACCTATATTGCGCCACTAGAGGAAATAGGGGAAGGTGCTTAAATTGTTTCCATAAAACATAGCAGTTTCTCTGAACTGCTATGTTTATGAAAATGGGCTAAATCTCTAAGTTGGATTAGACCCGTGACCACTTCATTAAGCTGAAGTGGTCTGGGTGCCTAGAGTGTAGTCCTTTTAAGCAGGTTTCCCCAGAATGCCCCTGTCCTGGCTGCCCCAGTCCCTAACAAACGTTTTATTGTACATACAGATGCTTCCATGTATGGACTGGGGGCTGTGCTAAGCCAGGTCGGGAAGATGGAGGAGAGCACCCTGTCGCATACTTAAGCAGGAAGTTACTACCCCGGGAAGTGAGTTATGCGGCAGTGGAGAAAGAGTGTTTAGCGCTGGTCTGGGCACTGAAGAAGTTGAGCTTCTTATTTATACAGACAAGAATTTTCCCTCATCACGGACCACAATCCCCTTGTCTGGCTTAACCGGGTCTCAGGAGAAATTGGCAGACTGCTGAGGTGGAGTTTGGCACTGCAGCCTTACAACTTCACCATCAGCTACCGACCCGGTAAGCAGAATGGGAATGCGGATGGGTTGTCCCGGCAAACAGACGTCCCTACTTCTTCCTAGTCTGGTCATCCCCAAGTTGACCCGACAAAAGGGTCAAGTCGGGTCTGCCGGAGTGTTCCACAAGGGGGGAGCCGTGTGACAGACCCATCCATATGAACTAAGATTGCTGTGTTCATCTGTTTTGCCTTTTGCATGAATTTACCCGTTCGTATGCCTTGTTTAAGTGAATGTACGTTTCTGCCGAATGGAACTACCGAACGGACGGCCACCCAGAAGAGAAGTGTGCTGCTGGTTAACCTATTGATCCCAATTAGAACGTTGCGGTTAACCACAGACACTTCTCAATTAAAACCGAATGCCGGGTGGTCGTCGTTCGTATGTCGACCACGAGGCGGCGGCCATTTTGTCCATGCGAACGACCAGCGGTGTTCGACGATTATTTCATGGATCTGAAAACGGACACTTTTTCAGCCGAACACCGCTGAAGCCGTCGACCTCCCCTTCTCAATCGACAAAAGCATACGAATGCCAGCCGTTCGGGAGATTCAACCACACGAATGGACTTAACCCAGATAGCCGTCCCATGGAGTCAATCGCATACCGACGAACTGAAAGAGACTTTGACTCCATGGCGATTGAACTGTGCGAATGGGATCTGAGCGCTATTCTTCAATAATGTGCCCTCAGATCCAGGCTATCTGGGGATATGCAATACGAATGTAATATGTTCGGCAGTTATGAAGTTATGGATTTTCATGTGTTTTTGTGACTTGTGTTTAAAATGGCGATTGCCTCTGCTCGGGGAGATAATTGAGTTACTTCCCAATTATCCCTCGAGCAGAGGGGAGGGAACTGTGATGCATGCTGGGAATATTGTGGGGATGTATGTCCAAAATGTCCCCATGTCCCTCTGTGATTTCAGTCTCCCATTTGGTCCCCTAGGGGAGTGTCCACCAAGTGGGAGACCTGCATAAATACCGGGCAGGTAGCCCACAGTAAATCAGTTCGTGTTTTACCCTCAAAGCGGAGCTTGGTCTCGTTATTGGGGGGATTTGGATACCAGCGGCGAGAGACTGTTTATTTGGATTATTTGCCGCTTGGGAGATATTGTCGTTCGGTTACTAATTGCCGTTCGTGGATTTGCAGCTCGTAAAGGGAATTAGCCGTACGGGTACCGTTCGGGAGTTTGGAGTGTTCCCTGACTGGCGGTTCGCATGGTTTTATTATACCCGCTACCCAACCACATTATTGCGAACAGGGAATACTCGCTAAACGGCGGTTTGTACATTTCAGTACTGGAGGTACCGTAACAGTTCCCCAGTTAATATTACTGCCCTAGGCCTCAATAATTTCTTTATAATCTAAATAACATATCAGAAAACTGGAAAAATATTTCTATGAATTTGCTTGGAGATATCATTGATGAAACAGAAGCCTCTTGGCAAAGTGTCATACGCCACATTACGGACAGGTGGTCAGAGACAACTTCAGGGAATATAGAATTGTGTACGGCACATGGGTAATTTGAATGTATATGGAGGTGGTGGTGGGATTGCTGTCTACAACTTATTAAGCCATCAATATTTTATCTTTAATTGTAAGATGTAAAGGTACTGTTTTATCCATCTACAGAATGATTTGCAAGCACTCCATGTTTTTGTATGAAGTATATCTGTGAATGTAGGGGTGTATTTGTATGTGGTGTTGTCATTGGAAACTAGTGGTGTACTTGTATGTAGTGTCTCAGACAGGGAAGGTGTGACTAGGACTGCATAAACGAAGTGATTTAATTTCAAAATTGCAGAGATTGTGAAATGTGTAAGTTAGACTATTGGGGCATGATCTATACACCAAATCCACTCCATTAAAGGATCACTATAGTGTCAGGAAAACAAACTCATTTTCCTGACACTATATCATCCTTAGGATCCTCCCCTCCCCCCCACTCTCAGGGTCCCCCTCCCTTGGCGTTGAAGGCTTTAAAACCCCTTCAGTTACTTACCTTAATCCAGTGCCGGGCTCCCTCGGCGCTGGTGACCTCTCCTCCCCCACCGGCGTCAGCTCCCGAGTGGAGCAGAATGCACATGCGCGGCAAGTGCTTTCCTATGGACATTCTGCACGCTGGATGCGAATTTCGCATCCAGCGTCGCAGAAGCGCCTCTAGCGGCTGTCAGAAAGACAGCCACTAGAGGCTGGATTAACCCTGCTATGTAAATATAGCAGTTTCTCTGAAACTGCTATGTTTACATCTGAAGGGTTAAAACCTGAGGGACCTGGCGCCCATACCACTTCATTGAGCTGAAGTGGTCTGGGTGACTATAGTGTCCTTTTAATTTTTTTTTTGTGTTTAGATTGCCATGAGATATATATGTATATATATATATATACACAAACACATTTTGACAAATGTAGGACATTTCTGCCAAACTCGAACTTGGATGGATCAGCTGAAATGTTTACCAGTCCTACCTAATGGGCAACAGCTGAAAATAAAGATTCTGCATAATTGAGTCTAAGTCCCAGCATTTCAAAGCAGAATCTATTGTTTTAGTAAAACCACGTAGTGCAACTGTAACTTTCCATATTACACAATGAGACGTTGCTGTCTGAACATTCCGTGACTCCTCACCCTCTGCAGTCCCCTTCACTTTGAAGCTGCGTAATGAAGATGAGTCTCTTTTGCCCATGTTCTCCATCCTTTGAAGACGCATTAGGAGCAGATTGGAGCTGATCCCACAGAGCAGGACACCGCGTACATCCTCTGTTCCTGCTGTAGTCCATCAATACTAGAATTAGTTTTAGAGATCTGAAATGCATCCAGAATGTCTTTTTAAAGCAGCTGTAGTGTTTATTTCCAGTTTCCATTGGTGAGGGTCAGTATCCTTTAGCTGCAGGGCATACATTTGGTTTTAATCCTATTCACCAATCACATGCAGTCACACTTTGTTACAATTAACCGCAATTATATCAAGAATTAAGGAATAAAATTCAGCAACCTCAGATTCCTCTGCGATTACATTTGTCATTACTAGCTATAATTAATTTTTTTTATGTCATGACACAGAGGGCTTTAAAATGCCAATCTCAAATAATTCTCTAATGTTTTCAGTATATGTGGGGTAAATGTAAGCAATCTGATGCAGAGTTCAAAAAGTTAGAAGAAGGGAAGTCTTGTGTGCTTTCTTGCCTTTCCATTAACCAAGCTAGAGAGCGAATTAAAAACTGAGTAACTAACTAATAAATACTAACTAATAATGTAATCACAAAAAAAGAATTGTGGTAAATGTATAAAAAATGATAATAGTCAAACTGTGACTATAGCAAATTTGGAGATTTTTTACAATTCAAAAAATATATATGCCTACATTTTGCAATTCAATGTTTAGTTAAAAAAACAAAAAAAACAACCTTAAGTGATAATATACTAAGCTAATTATACGCCTGCATAACAAAAGACAAAAGTGATTTAACTCCGAAATGGCAATGAATTGAGCAGTGAAACTGCTGAATAAAAACACAAAAACTGCTTCATTAAAGGGACTCTCTAGTGCCAGGGAAACAAGCCCATTTCCCTGGTACTAGAGAATCCTGGAGTGCCCCCCTCTCTCTTGCCCCCATCCCTTGTTGCTGAGGGGGTTAAAACCCCTTCGGCCACTTACCTGAATCCAGCGTGACATGTCATGATTCCCTTTTATTCGAGAAGTTTGGTCCTTAAAGGGTTAAATGCGCCTATTCCATGGGCCTGGGCCTGTGCCTGTAGCTGCAGCTCCATCAGCCCCTATGTTAATCCGGCCCTGACTAACTATAATACTCTTTCCACCCTAGTGTTAAAAAACTTAACTCAATCCAAATAGAGTTTGAATTCTCCCAGTCCAGATTAGCAAAAATAATTTAGGACCAGGGCCAGCTCAAGCCATTGTGCTGTCTGGGTCCAAGGATGAAATGCTGTCCCCCACCCCCGCCTTGCACCAAAAGTACGCCAACATCCATTATGTTATGCAGTGTGTGTAGTGAATGCAATGTCTGTTTGTGTAGTGGATGCAATGTGTATATCATATTTGGTATGTAGTGGATGCAGTGTGTGTGTGTGTGGCTTCAGTGAATGCAGTGTCTGTGTTTCGTGGATGCTGCATTTGTGTGTCTTGGATGCTGCGTCTGTGTGTTGTAGATGCTGTGTCTGTTATTGTGTTATGGATGTAGTGTGTATTGTATGCAGTGTGTATATTGATTATATTGTATGTGTGTGTGTGTATACTGGAGGCAGCGTGTGTTTGTTTAGTGGATGCAGTGTCTGTTTGTCATGGATGCTGCGTCTGTAATTATGTCATGGATATAGTGTGTATTGTATGCAATGTGTGTATTGAATATATTGCCTGTGTGTGCATAATGGAGGGAGTATGTGTAGTGGATGTAGGGTGTGTGTGGTGGAGGCAGTGTCTGTGTAGTGTCTGTGTATTAAGTAGTGTCTGTGTAGTGCATGTAGTGTGTGTGAAGAGTTGGTGAAATGCTGGTGGGCGTGAGCAGTTTATATTGATTTGGGATTATCCCCCTTCCTGCCTCTTACCTCTGGGCTGGAATGGCAGAACAATGTGTAGGAAGAGGACATTGTGGGGGAACAGTGTGTACGAAGGCTATGGGGGCTGGGTGTGGTGGTGACAGTGTGGGGGGCAGGATGTAAGGGTGACCGTAGTGGGTGGCAGGATGTGATGACAGTATGGGGGCAGGATGTGAGGGTGTCAGTAGTGGGTGGCAGGATGTGATGACAGTATGGGGGCAGGATGTGAGGGTGACAATAACAGGGTGACAGTGGGGGGGCAGGGTGTGAGGGTGACAATAACAGGGTGACAGTGGGGGGCAGGGTACATACCTTGTTTTTCAGTGCTCACAATTCCCTGGTGGTCTGGTGGGCTGGCTCTACAGGTCTGCAGCTCCGCCAAGTTCTTGCAAGCTCTGATTACAGTGTTGCCGTGGTAACTCGCGGCAATGCTCTGGGAGCTTGCAAGCCTTCCATCATGGTCTGCAGCTCTGCTCACGGCGGAGCTGCAGACTGGAGGCAGAGGCTGTTAAAGTGCCGCCTGGGGCCACTGCCCCAGTCCGTCAGGACCATCCAGACTGCATTTGCCCTGCAAAATCCAAGCATTGTTAACAATGTTTATCAAAGTCTGGTGTGACGAACTGAACCTCTCCACGGGTTCTTGGAGCCTCTTGCCTCAGGACTATGGCCCTTGCAATAGACCCTGGCTAATATACTTTTAAAAGGCTCTGTTCGTGCAATTGGGATTATGTGGTTCAGGAACCGAACAGCCGCACGAACCAGAGACCACCCGGGAGCTTGTTAAACCCTATTAACACTTGGTAACAATTCTAACCGCAGTGTTCTAATTGTTTGTCTGGGTGGCCGCTGTTCGCATGAACGACCACGAGGTGGCGGCAATCTTGTTCACATGAACGCAGGCAACTGGACTTCCATCATCGCCTGCGTTCGGTTATACACAACTTAGAAGGGCACTGTTTGGTGGAATTGTTCATCTGGATAAGGGGAACGAGCTCCAGGGTAAGACTATTGACTATGTTCAGTAGTTTGTTCGGTTTTTAAACTACCAAACTAGACTGACCGCAAACCCTGATTCTCTGGAACTGTTTTGGGCAGGAGTCTTGTGTGCGGTCGGTCAAATTATGACTTCCATGGAAATGGCGAACACCGAAACTGACCTGTGTGATTTTTGGATATGTTGGTCCCCCAGATTGGGGCGATCAGGGGATAAGACTTTTGTGGGGTTTTGATGTGTTTTGGGGCACTTTTGGGGTGTTGTTAAAATGTATGTTTTCTGTGCCTGGACATAATTGAGTTTAGTACAGTTCCTGACTCAATTATCTCACAGGCACAGGGGAGGGATTATCCTGTTTTGTGTGGGAATGTCCTGAGAGCCAATGTAATTACAGTGTGTTCTTTGCCATAGTCCCCTCTCAGGTCCAGCGGGGAATGCCCCTAAAATATGTCAAGGTAAACCCCTTGCATGGGGACTTGAATATAAACTGGCCAGCTGGCCTGTGTGATTCTGTTGTACCCTTCATCTAGTCTAAGCTAATGTTTGGGTATACATCTGATTGCTTGGGGGATTTACTTGGATACTGCAGTTTCTTCTGGAGAATGTTTGCATCAACACCCGAACTGCGAGCTATAATCACTCAGCCTTTAGCAGTTCAGGAGGAACCGAAAACGAACGGGTATCTGAAATACCAGCGTTCCTAACACCTGGATTTTGCAAAGCTTACTCCTAATTACCTTGAAAATATTCTGGATTTCACCCTTTTGGAATGCAGCCGACGACTAAAATCCAGAATTGAATTATGGAAATACACATCCGATGCTCTGATGCAAAACAATTGGAAACTATCAGCCTGGAAGTTCATCTCAGCCTAATTTACACAATGCAGCTGAACTTGATTTGTCGGTAAATAGTAGCCAATTCTAATGGAAGCTACTACATTGTAAAAATCTGCTACAACTCACTCTGAGGGGGAAAGGGTTCTCCATAATCCTTATACCACAATAATTAAAACATAAAACTATAAGTTGTATTTATATGATTATCATGTAAACATGATATATTAAATCTATTTGAAATCATCATTTTTAATATCGCAAACCCTTTACCCACTAGCTGCTTGCACTGTCAAAGGGTAAATATGGTGGACATGTATAAATTTCTTTACACCGTAACATTTTCCCTACCTGCTCCCAAAACTCAATTTTGCTTTAAAATAATGCTGATGTGCTGAAGATAATCAATTCCATTCATTAAATAAAGATAATTATTACTCATCGGGTTGGATAAAAAAAAAAGAAAGAAAAGGCAAACATTATTGCTAGTTTTAACTAAAGATCCTTTGATGGGTCATGTAAAAATTGTTTAATTTATCCTGGAGAATTAATAAACTACCAGTGTATTCTGCAGTGTTTTTTAATGTAGTAAATATTGTTTTTTTAGTCTTCAGAGTCGACATTCAGGTCCAGAGATCTACGGCTTGCAGTACGCCTTGTAGTCAGTGCAACAGTTGCCATTACTGCTACACGTAGCATTGCAGTTACAAGGGAAATTTTTGGACGAGGACCCACAGCGCCCATTGCAGCTTGCAAAATCCACTCCTGCGCAGTCACAGACACCATTGAGAGACAGACCTCCACTTATCCCAATAGTGGAACTGATCTCGAAATATCGACCACTGTAAAACACTGTAAGAAGAACAGCACACACAGCTCATTTACATCGTGATTATGGCTACATTCGTTGACATTATCAATAAATGAGACAGCAGCAGGAAATGTAACCCTATCTTATATGTAATTTAAGACACATTTAACTCCTTAAACTAAAAACTGAAAGTATATCATCACTTATAACTAAAACTACAAAGTTGTCTGAAAGTGAAAGTGGACCCAAAAAGATGTTAATATAAAAATATTGCAGTATCCATCCCAAGCACCATCATTATATGATGCAACAAGGATTTTAAGATAATTGAGAAGGTCTGTATGACGGATGGAGACGAGATGTCCTGAAGCAGACATCTTAGGATTGCCTTAGACCACCCGGTAAGATGTCTGCTTCAGGACATCTCTGTTCTTACCATTATGTTTTTGCCTTTCTTTTTAAGGTCTCTACTCCTTACTCTTCCTTTTCCTCGCCATCTTTAAAATTTTTGAATCATTTCATGGACAGAAGCCATATAAAAATGACCTGTAATTCTGAGAATGCCGATTGACGAGCGCCCTACTATTTGTGTTCTTTGTGTACTACTCCAGTGTTCTTTAAACTCTCGTCGTTTGTGTCTCTACTTTGTGTCTTCTAATTCTATCTATAATAATAGTGTTCCTGCTTGAACCAAAATGGATCTTTGGCTGCTGTCACCCAAATCAGACAAGACTCAACAGGTTGTATATTCAGAGAAGCCATTTCTACCGACCATTGTTATAAATTATGTTTATTTGGGTATTTGTGTTTGGGTGTCTGGTTATTAACCTCTGCCCTCTCTCAACAACAAGTCGATTTCACCCACAGAATGTCCATGCAATGCATGCCTTTTAATTCTCTTTAAACTTCAGGAGACTTAGTGCATGAAAACACACAGGAAGCCAGTTGTTTCAGACATCATGGAACCACCACATCTGCCACAACAATCACAACACTGTAAAATCTGTTTAAATCAAGTGACTTCCCCCATTTTGTTAAAAATTTTTTGAAGACTATCAACTTATTCTTTTGCCACGTCCAAGTGGTCACAGCTGAGATGAGTGCAGATGGGTACAGATATTTACCCATCTGCTAAAAAAAATACCAATTAGTGCAAAGTTTTATTTTGCTTATATTATCAATTTATCATATACATTTCAGAAGATTTCAACAACAGAAAATGCAGATGGTAGACCCTTCTACTTTCATAAATGTTTTAATTTAGTATCTTGTGTTAATTTAGAGTGGAACTGTAAGATTGAATGTCTTTGTAAATTGCTTATTATTATTTTTTGGACTAAGGCAGTGCAATATATGTTGAGATAGTCTAGGATTTATTTGGCAGTCTCCTGTCTCAGCAAACGTTGTTTCGTCTAGTGAGTGTCCCAAGATCACCTCCAATCCTCCCTTCTCCTTTCTCTGGCAACTGACGTTGCCAGGACCTGCCAGTTTAACACAAGGTTGGGACATGTATACCAATGGGCACGTCCCTCAGTAAGTCAACTTTTGGAAACCACCAGGTTCGATTTAATTATAGCTTTCACGGCGTAGGCATTACACAATAAATCTCATCCAGTCTCTACCCAACACATCTGGAACTAAGATCACCCCATACTCACCATCTTCATACAGTTCCACCTCAATTGGGTAGTGATCGGACACTGCTTTAGCCTGAGATGAAAAAGAGATTAATTTAAGTTCTATCCCTGAAGTATCCTCTCTAACTGAAGTAGCAATCCTTACAAATATGTATTTATTTTTTTAAATGGCAAAGTTATATTTTAACCAATGTAACTTTGAATTGACGTTTTTGGAGCATGTACTTAATTAAGGCCTTAGTCACAGTCGCACCTTGTTTTCTTTTATAAGCAGTTTATGAACTTTAGTCAGAGTTGTGGTTGATTTTCAGCATGATTATAGTCCAAAATATCTTATTAGTTCTCTGACTGGATGCCAACTAAGTTAGAAATCAGGGAACATAAAACTGGTTTAGCTTTTAATATCACACAATCTTGAGAACGATTTGCTGGAATTGTGAGGTTGATGACAAACAAAATGGAGGTTTGGCAAGCTCGGCAACTACATCACAGGTTGAATATTTTCAACAGCAGGCATAATAACCCACCACTACATCCATAAAAACCGCTGTGAAGTAGTGAAGTGATTGTGTGTGATATGTGGTATTATTCTGTTGCGTTGTAAATCAGCATTATTATCTGTGTGATTCTTTAAGCATGTTCAAAACAAACATTTTGGCTATAGAAGATGTTTATATTGGTTGTGTTATCAACTTTTGCTGAATTATAATATAATATTATTATAGTACTAATTTCTAAAAAAAAAATTGTTTTAACGTAAGATATAGGGTTCTTTTCTGCTGAACTGAAAATACCAGAAACGTTGTTGAAGAACGTTAGAAAGGTGTGATTATAAACCCTTCTCATCGTTGGTCGTTAGATAATTATCAAATGATAGATTGAGGTGGAAACCTATGATCAATATCATTAAACCCTACATGTACATGCTGAAAATCATTTTATCTTTCACACATTTGTTTCCCTTTCTCATAATGTCCATTGCTACCTCTTTAACTCACTATGATGCCAAGAATGCCCTAAAGCCTTCCCCTGGTTTAATGTCACATTATTTAGGAACAGTTTGATATAAATCAGGTCTCTTCCAGGTACTCAGAAACTGATCCCAGTTCAGCCGCATTAATAAAGCAGAATTAACATTTTTGCATTAACGATGTCAATGTTGTCCAACCTGAACATTCGATTGGCTGAGTTGAATGGCCTGCCCCCCCCCCAACAGACACACCTACCCACATGGTTAGCCTGGCTTGGCCTAGGCTAATTGTCCAGTCACAGCGGTCAAGGTTATCAACTGACTTTGATCTTTGATAATGAGGAGATGTTAATTCCCATTTAGCAATGTAGCAAAAGATAGGGTGGTCTCTGGGGACTGGAAAACTGTTCTAAAACAGCATGACATTAAACCAGAAAAGTGGATATGTTGCTAGGTGTGTCCATCAAAAGTATTAAATGCTTTACAGGTAGAATGTAAGACTTTGTACAGAGTCACCTATTCTTCTTTGAACTTTGACTTATAAACCTATTTACTATTAAAGATTGGACGATTGAAACAAAAGCATGCACAAAATAAATTATACTTTACTACAAGCTTTAACTCACTAGGTAGTGAGTTACCACAAATTTACACAAAATGGCAGAAAGGAACTTAAATTGTGAACAGCCCTTGATTAGGACGTGCCTACACACACCAGGTACATCCCTTGCGCACACCCATGATTGAAAACCACATTTAATGGTAAATTATGTAAACCAAACACAGTTGTACACAATCTCTATCCTCACCTCATCATTGGTCAGCCCATATTCCACTTCAAAGTTCAGAGGCTTGGCTGTACCAGGTATCACTGCCCTCTGCATTCTCAAACCACTGACCACAAACCTAACAAAGGTGAGATAACACAGCACATGTTACGGATCTTGAAGGCAGCATCAGTTCTATAGCGACACATTTTCTCCAGAATGCATCATTTGGTTTTCATAAAAACTGTTAAAGGCACACCTCAGGCTAGACGCAGACATAGGCAACCTTCAGCACTCCAAATGTTTTGGACTACACCTCCTATGTATTTCGGCTGTAAGAGCATTATGAGGGATGTAGACCACAACATTTGGAGTGCCGAAGGTTGCCTACCTTCCGGTAGAGTATAACTCCATTTTTAGATAAACCATTATATAGATGACTTACTAAAACTGAAAAAAATTACAAAATTCTTTTTTACAAATTAAAAAAGTACTCATTTCTGAAGTTAATGTGTTTGGTGAAAATCCCTAGACTGAGCTCAGTTCAAACTACCATTAGCATTTCTTCAGTGGGAGGGGACTATTTCCCATAAACTCCTGTTCAGAAAAGGTTTATGGGATATTTAGTTCAGGGAAAATGTAAATGGAACTGCTACCCAAGCTGATAGCTATTACACCGTCTTACCGAAAGTTATTTTAATGGATTTTTTAAATGGCGTGATCAGCTCCTGAGCAGAAAGCTGTGAGTATAAATAAATTCATGATTGGCAGTTGCCATTACCTCTAACAAGCAGACTTCTACATGGCAGGAAATTTATGTTCTCCCGAATTATTTTTCCTAAGATAGAAAAATTTGCAGGACACCCGAGTTTCCCCAGATGTTGGTTTGGCTCTGCCGAATTATGATTCGAAAACTGAATCAGGAGAACAAGCCAAAAAGACACAGAAATGGCCAGTCAGTGTGCTTCAAAACATATACATACTATAATAATATGTTTATACTTTGCAGTACACTGAGAGGGGGATTCTCCCACCATTTGGTACACCGATCAAGTGAGAAAAGTAACCAATAGAAGGAAAACAGGAGGACAAGTAAAAAACATTGATATGTATATATTATATATTTATTAAGTATATAATACTGTATATAAATATAGATTTATTTTTTTTCCTGGTCCTTATGTTTGTCTCTCTATTTCTCACTTGATCGTTGGCTTAAATTTGTCAGTATTGCAATTCAGTCTGAAACAAATCTCCAGATCTACTAACAAGTTCCTTCACAGACGGGATGTCTAGATTTGCAACGTTTACCTGGGCATATATTACATAGTTACATAGTTACATAGCTGAAAAGAGACTTGTGTCCATCAAGTTCAGCCTTCCTCACATTTGTTTTTTTGCTGTTGATCCAAAAGAAGGAAAAAAAAACCCAGTTTGAAGCACTTCCAATTTTGCAACAAGCTAGGAAGGAAATTCCTTCTTGACCCCAGAATGGCAGTCAGATTTATCCTTGGATCAAGCAGTTATTACCCTACATTGAAAGTTTATATCCTTGAATATTCTGTTCTTGCAAGTATGCATCTAGTAGCTGTTTGAACATCTGTACAGACTCTGATAAAACCACTTCTTCAGGCAGAGAATTCCACATCCTTATTGTTCTTACAGTAAAAAACCTTTCCGTTGCCTTAGACGAAATCTTCTTTCTTCCAGTCTAAACGCATGACCTCGTGTCCTATGTAAAGTCTGGTTTGTGAATAGATTTCCACACAATGGTTTGTATTGGCCCCGAATATATTTGTAATCACTTTATTGTGTTGTTTTATAGTACAAAATGTGTATGTAGATAGAATCAGTAAGCTGTGTGATGAAAATCAAGGATTAATGAAATTTCTTGATTGTTTAATTGATTTTATTCCTGCAGTATAAGCATTCTATTTACTACAGGGGATCAATGTTCATGTGCTGCCCATCAGCAGGAAGCCATATATATTGTGGTGTTTCATGATCTGTGTAGTCATTTTTAATGTTATGTCCCCCCACACACATTAAGCATTAACCACTGCTCACCTGTCATAGGCACAGTTATTGTTGGGGCTGACGGTGGTGTCAGCCCCTTCACCAATCAGCCACTTGAGGCTCTCGTCCTGACGAAGGCGGATCGTGGGCCAATGGCTGGCTTTCACATAACTGCAGTCTGAGTTGTAGTCTCCCAAAATCATAATATCCTGTGTTCAAGAGGAAATGTAGAAATCATCATAAATGCTTTTTGTTTACTTCCATTCTGGAATACACGGACAGGATATCAAGATAACGGTGAATTATTCCTATCAATAACTGGATATTGCAATTCTAACAGGGCTATTCATTAAACCAGAATGGCCATCCCATCCCCTCTATGCTGGTCAGACTAATAACACAACTTTACCCTGAGCAGCAATGGGTGGTTGTAATTGGCTGAGAGTATCAGCTGACTGCTTTCAGCCTATTATAGCTGTAGTGGAGAGCTGGTCTTTCCCAGGTTAACTCCACTAAAGATCCCAGTGAGGCTCAGGAACAAGTAATAAAATCCCATAGAACAATAGTCACAGCAAGGTAATCCACGAATATCCCAATACAGATCCCAATGACTGGACGACACACAGCATCAGGACAAGAACTCAACTTTTAATCACTCAACCTTCTTTTAAAGCTTTCTCCCATGCAAGGGAAGGATTCACATTAATTATACAGTACATCAATCATACATGAGTTGCCACCCACACATCCCCTCCCATTAGTATGACTCATAATCCCATTGTGCAGGACACAGTTCCCCTTGTTTTCTGGATATACCCCTAAACATAGGGGTACACCTCTAAATGTTACATCCCCTGGTAGCCCTGATCTGGGTGAGTGACATATTCAAAAATCACCCAGATCGGACCAGGGGTTCGGGAAATTCATGGAGGTTGTAAAAAGACCGACCGCACTGGAGGTAACAGCCAAAATTGGTTCCATAAGTTTTGTCCCCGCGGTCGGTCAGAGAAAAAGGGAATAAAATACACGAACGGCTTGAGTTATGGAGACTGGTGAGGATTCGGATAAACCCCCTTGTTCGTGGGGTTCTTTCTACCAAACGGTGAGCCGTTCGGTAGTTTCTACACGAATTGGTGGCAGTGTGGAGGTCTCAGCGGTGTTTGCCTAGCCGAGTGTCCAATTTGGGTTCCAGACACTCGACAGCAAAACACCGCTGTTCAGGAGTTTAAGATGGCCGCCGCCACATGTTTGTCTACAGAACGGCGGCCACCCAGAGGACAAAGCACACACTGCAGTGATTGCCAATTACCAGTTTGCAATATTGTTGCAAACGGTAATTGAAGGCACACTTATTTTTGGTGTGGTCTGATTGTTCGGTAGTTTCACCCATATGATAACTGGAGTGATTTTACCGAACAATCAGACGAATGCTGCATACTAGATACATACATATGGCAAATTTAACCGAAAGCATATTAACACACGTAATTTTGAGGACAGCCCAATGCCATCCGCTACAATAGCATCCTGTGCTGGTATAAAATTGTATGGCTAGAAGGAAGTGTGTAATCTCTCTGTTAGCCGCACCTCCATGAGAGGCCAGGCTGTAGGTGATTAGTGATACTTATTTGGTGTTACTGCCCGAAAATGATTGCTGACACAGCACCAGGGGACTCCAGGCACTATAACCAATTTAATGAGTGCCTACAGTGTCCCTTTAAGTATACTACCAATTGTATATCCTGAGGTTGCCTATCCTGATAAACTGTTCATGAATAAAAAAAATTGTTGCATTTGCAGATTAAAAGCACGCTGAATTACTTCAACAGTCCTGATTTGTCCTAGACAATCCCAACAGATATCATGAAGTTCCACCATCTGGCCAAATGGTCAGCTGTTTCTCCTCAGTACCATAGACATGAATGACATCAGTTACACAAGGAGAAAGTTATATGCTGGATATTTCAAAACGAGCTTCTGCTTTGGGCCTCATCACTACCACGGCTGAGAACACATTGGAATTTATTACACGGTAGAATCTTCAAAGATATGTTTAGAATCCATCAGTTCCTCCTGCTATATCCACCATTCTCATGCCTCCCCTGCCTCGGAAAAGTCATGATATTTCCCTGAATTACACCGTGGGTTATTTATTACTTTAATTATGCTGTGACCCCCTGCTTTTAAATTCCATAGTCTGCGTGTAACTGTCATTCATACCCCATGCAGTTGCAATGTGGGGATTGAGGAATGTACGAGTCTATAAATAAAATTATATCAGGAATTCAGGAATAAATTAGGAACCTCTGTAAGCAGGCGTTGCTTGGCGTCTTCCCACACATCGTACAGAGCATCTACCTCCAGCACGGCGTAATCTGGGCTTGTGTGAATTGTAGCTAAGACAAAGTCTTTCAACTCTACAGGAGAAATCAAAAGAATAGGATCAAGATCTTAAGTTTGGCTGTGCATCATGGGAAATGTAGTTTAGCAACATCTGGATTGCATAGGTTAGCCATGACAGATTTTTAAAATCCAGCAAATAGGTAAACATGGTTTGTTTTTATAAATACAAAAAACTTTTGTATCACACAGCTATGTTACAATGCTGCCGCCCATCCCATGTGTTCCTTATTAGGGGTTCATATAATAAGCATGTAGGAGTTTATATAAAAAATACCCCTTTCTGTCTCATTAGAGATATCTTTGCCAGAAGCTCAAGGACACAAGGTGAAAGGTTAGCGTGGGACCCACCTGAGAGGTTTGCCTTGTCGTGGCAAGTGGGCTAAAGTCTCTCATGGCCATTGGAGAAACTAAATAACCTCCATTTGTTTAAACATGCGTAGGGATTTGGGAAGAGCGCCGGTAATTTTTGTCTATGGTTTAATTTTATATCTGGCATACAATGACAACCCAGGGATCTATCAACTTACCAGGGAGTTGTGTTAAGTTGACAACGGGGATCTATTCACAGATGTATGATAAACTGGAATTAAGCTAAATGAATCCTTACTATTTTTAAGTGGATCTCATTACTGCAGTGAGATTCATTTAAAAACAGGTCAACCGAATAGCAACCGAGTGAGGTTTTTAGGTAGTCCATACCCACGCTTGCTCGCAATTGCTCGGTGGGGGATATTGACATGATCACAGTCATCTACTGGTTTAGCACGGGTCCCCGGAACCCATGCTTGACCAACAGTGAACAAAGGGGCCTTTTATTAGCCTGCTAATTCTTTTCACATAGAGAAACTAAAAATGAATGACGTTTCAGCCAACAGACCTTCATCAGACTAGGTTATTCAATGCCTCACTGATGTACTATAAGGTGTGGTATATAGTGTACCCCTTTACAGCAACCATCATTAAATTATTTTTATTTGTCGGTACTATGGACCCCCAACTCATCTCATAGGCAATCAGCGTATAATTGATAACGCTGTGCTGTCTGTATATACTGACTGTCCCCATTCTGATTATAGACCGAAAACTATTATTTAAATTTATGTTTACGGCATCTTATAGTTTATCTGATAGCTGTTCATTTAGCCCGTCGTCTCTTTTATTTTTTTTTATTTTTTCAGTCTGTGTATTTTCAACTGCAAATTTGATTATTATTTTTTTCTGCGTGACCCTCAAGGTGAATAACCTCGTGAATATTCATTTAAAATGTTCCAGAAAGAAGTGCAAGTCCTTGAAAATCTCACAGTAAGCAAAGACCAATTCAAGTGACTGATTTGCCTGTCTAGCATAGTGTTATACAAAAAGTATGGCTTGTCTAGAAGCACTTCAAAACTCTAATAACAGATATAAATAAAGAAATGCAAAAGTTACTATATACTCGGAGCCACTTTATTATGAATCAAATAAATGATGTATTACAAATAATTATTTATGGCTTACAAATCTTTTATGACTATCACATGCACATTAGGGATGTGCATGGTCAAATAATTCGGTTTGGCACTTCCAAAATTCGGGACGATGGCAATTCGGGACGACGGCAATTCGGCACTTCCAAAATTCGGGACGACGGCAATTTGGGAATTTGGCAATTCAGGACTTCGGGAATTCTGCATTTCGGGACTTTGGGATTTTGGCAATTCCCTATCCCTAAACCCTAACCCTACCACTAACCCTAACTCTACCCCCAACCCCAACCCTAACCCTACCCCCAACCCTACAACTAACCCAACCCCTTATCCCAATTCAGCACTTCGCCAATTCGGTTCAGTTTAGCACTTCTGAAATTCGGCAATTCGGTTTGGTTCAGTACTTCGGAAATTCGGCAATTCGGACATTCGGAAGCATGAGAATGTCCGAATTGCCGAAATCCGTCCAAACTTACATTCGGAAAGAAACTAATTGCACATGTTTAATGCACCTACAATACACTCAGTAGCCACTTACTAGGTCCACCTGTATACCTGCTTGTTAATGCAAATATGTTCTCAGCCAAGCAAGTGGCATCAACTTAATACATAAAAACATGTAGACATGATCAAGAAGTACAGTTATTGGTCAAACCTAGCATCAAAATGGGGAAGGGACTTCAACCATGCAATTACTATTGGTGCCGGATCTGGTGGATTGACTATCTCAGAAACTGTTTATATCTTGGGATATTAATCGCAATAGCCTCTAGAATTTACACATAATGGTTTAAAACACAAAAAACATCCAGTTAGCAATAGTTCTGTTGGCAAAATTGCTAATTTAATATGAGACTCAGGAGAGAAAATTACAATAAAAGGGAACAACAGGCTTGGCAAAGACTGCTGCATTTGGTGAAACATATCAGATACGTTGTTGCTTAAGAAATGGGTACCTGTGTTGACTAAGAGACGGGCTGATCTCCTTTTGAACGTCTAATCTGCCCTGGAAAGCCTCTCAGAGTAGGTGGAAAGGTCTGACTGCTTCCAGTAAAAGTCGACAAGCACTATGGCAATGTTTAGTTGCCCAACTGTTTAAATCAGCATTTCCCAATTGGTGTTCTGTGGAACCCTGGGGTTCCGCAAGAACACAAATGTAGTTCCGCCAAAATTACAAAATGGGCTCTGCGATAATTGAGGCGGACGGCAAGGAGCTGAGCATGGGAGTGATGCCGAAGCCGGAGTATGATGTCACTCGGGTTTCAGCATCACTAAGAGCCCAGCAGCCCCATTGGACCTCAGGGACTGCACGCCAGCCGCTCAGTCCAGCAGCCCCACTGGACCCCAGGGACTGCATGCCACCTGCTGGACCCCAGGAAAATAGAGACTCCATGCCAGCACTCCCAAAGGTAGGGAGGCTGGGTGGAGTGAAATTTTTAAAAAATAAATAAATTGTGTGTGTCTGTTAAGGAATTTGTATGTGTGTTTGTCACTGAGAGTGTATGTGTGTTTGTCACCGAAAGTGTATGTGTGTTTGTCAGTGAGTGTGTGTGTGTAGGTGTGTTTGTCAGTGAGAGTGTATGTGTGCTTGTCAGTGAGTGTGTGAGTGTGTATGTGTTTGTCAGTGAGAATGTATGTGTGCTTATCAGTGAGAGTGTATATGTGTTTGTATTGTGTCTGTCAAAGAGTATGTGTGTCTGAGTGTGTGTCAGTGTGTGTATCTGTGTGTCAAGGTTTGTGTATGTGTCACTGTGTGTATCTGAGAGTGTGTGTGTGTGTGTGTGTGTGTGTGTGTGCCAATGTATATCAGTGTGTTTGTATGTGCCTATGTGTGTGTATGTCAGTGTGTGTGTACCTGAGTGTGTGTCAGTGTGTGTGTATGACACTGTGTGTATGTGTATCTGTGTGCCACTACGTGCCAATGTGTGTGTATCTGTGTGTCAGATACATACACACACACACACACAGATACACATTGACACACAGATACACACACTGGCACATACAAACACAGATACACACACCTTGACACACAGACACACACCGGCACATACAAAAAACAGGGGTGATGGGGGCAGTTCCACACTATGTCAAGTGGTTCCACAGGAAAACTTAATTGGGAACCCCTGGTTTAAATTCTATAGGTTAAAAGAAAATGGCTGCTGACAGTGGTGTATTTAGGATTTGTGCTGCCCTAGGCAGGACAGTGCTCGCGCGGCCCAGTGCTTCCTCCCCCCCAATTTAAATTTTCCCCACCCCTTCCAGTCAAGGCCGCACTTTGACTAACAGATGCTCACTCACTGACAGACGCACACACTCACTGATAGATGCATACACTCATTGACAGACACACTCTCATATACACTGACAAACAATGACAGACGCACACTCACTGACAGACGCACACACTCACTGATAGATGCATACACTCATTGACAGACACATACTCTCATATACGCTGACAAACAATGACATACACAAACACTCACTGATTTGACACACTGATAGACAGACACACACTTTTACTCGGACGCACACTCAGTGGTGTATTTAGGGTTTGTGCTGCCCTAGGCAGGACGGTACTCGGGCACGCCCCGCCCTCTCCTATTTTACATTTTCCCGACCTCTTCCAGTCAAGGCCGCACTTTGACTGACAGACGCACACTCACTGACAGACGCACAGATGCATACACTCATTGACAGACACACTCTCATATACACTGACAAACAATGACATACATACACTCACTGATTTGACACACTGATAGATAGACACACACTATTACTCAGACAAACACTGACAGACTCACTGACAGACACACACTCTCACTGACAGACGTACAAACTCACTGACCGACACATACACACTCACTGACTGACACACACACACATTCACTCACAGACACACACACACATTCACTTAGACACACACACTTACGTACACACACATTCACTTAGACACACACACTTACAGACACACACACATACACATTCACTTAGACACACACACTTACAGACACACACACATACACACACTCATTAACTCACAGATACACACACACATTCACTCACAGACACACACACAAACACACACACACACACACATTTATTTACTCACAGACACACACACACACACACACATTCACGCACACACACTCACACACACACACATTTCCCCCAACACTCACAAATTATTATTTTTATTTAAATCCACCCAGCCTCCCTGGGAGAGCTGGAGTGGGTTGCTTACCTGCGGTCCAGTGGGACTGCTGGTCGGGCAGACAGGGGGCGGACAGGCTGAGTAGGTGGCGAGGGAGCTCTGTTTTTCCTGCTCAGCTCCCTCGCGTGCCACTTAGTGATGCCGGGAGCCGGTCTGACGTCATATTCCGGCTCCCGGCTTCATTAAGCGGCGCGCATGTCAGGTCAGCATGCTCCCTCGCTGCCCGCCGCTCGCCTCGGGGTGGGCTCAAAAGTGGCCAGCCAACTCTTGAGCCCCCCAGGACACAAGGCAAGCAAGAGATCTGCCTGGGCGTTTGGGGGCTGCTTTTTTTGCCCCCCTGCAAAGTGCCGCCCAAGGCAAATGCCTTGTTTGCCTCGTGTAAGATACATCCCTGGCTGTTGACCATGTGCATCTTTTTAAGGCAACTGCATACGCATCTTCTAATGGCTACTTTTAGGAGAATACTGTATCATATAACAAAGCATGCATCATCTCAAGCTGCTTCCATGAACATGACAATAAGTTCCATTGACTCCGATGTCCTCCACAGTAACCATATTGATCAATTTGCATCACAAATGTGGAGCTGACCAATCTGTAGTAAATGAGTGATGCTATGTTGTCTATATAGGCCAGAATCTCTATGAAATGTTTTCAGCACTTGTTGAATCCATGCCAGAAATAATTCAGACTGTTCTGAGGACAAACGATGTAGTATAGAAACATAGAAACATAGAATGTGACAGCAGATAAGAACAGTTTGACCCATCTAATCTGCCCAATTTTCTAAATACTCTCATTAGTTCCTGGCCTTATCTTAAGTCTAGGATAGCCTTATGCCTATCCTACACATGCTTAAACTCCCTCACTGTGTTAACCTCTACCACTTCAGCTGGAAGGCTATTCCATGCATCCACTACCGTCTCAGTAAAGTAATACTTCCTGATATTATTTTTGTGGTAGTTTTTCTTCTTTTAAATATAGTCTCCTCTTTTACTGTCTTGATTCCCTTTATATATTTAAATGTTTCTATCATATCCCCCCGTCTCGTCTTTCCTCCAAGCTATACATGTTAAGTTCCTTTAACCTTTCATGGCAAGTTTTATCCTGCAATCCTTGAACAAGTTTAGTTGCCCTTCTCTGAACTCTCTCTGAAGCATCAATATCCTTCTGAAGATACGGACTCCAGTACTGCGTACAATACTCCAAGTGAGGTCTCACCAGTGTTCTTTACAATGGCATGAGCACTTCCCTCTTTCTACTGCTAATACCTCTCCCTATACAACCAAGCATTCTGCTAGCATTTCCTTCCTGCTTACATTGTCTGCCTACCTTTAAGTCATCTGAAATAATTATAAGCACAGTGTACGTAATAAAGTGGCCACTGGGTAAATGTCAGAGTATGGGAACTAGGGTATCAGAAACTTAGATGGCTAACCTTTGTGCAAACACTAGTAGACGGATAGTCTTCTTTCTTATTGGCTGTCATGTCTTAGTAGATATGCACACGTTTAAACTTTTCTTGTTTTCTTCTTCTATAACATTGTGGACCCAAGATGTACTTGAAAAAGCTAAAAGTATCATTGACCAGTCTCCTCTGAATCAAGGGTCTGGCTACTCTACCCTTCCTTCCCAGTTATAGGGTCCAGAAGGATGGGACACTAGTCCTAAACCCGGCTGTTCCAACCTTATTGCTGGAACCATCGAATGTATGAGAGAAAACTACGTATAGACACATCCATATTTAGAAAGATTCATGCTTTGGTTTTTTTTTTAAATCAAAGTTTAACCTTTGACAATTTCAAATAGCTGTCCGTATGTTACAATTTATTATTGTCATTAAATATTATTAAGCTGCTGGTAACCTACATTTGCTCTGTGGTATGAATAATCAGAGGTACAGCACATTTAAATAAACAAATACATTAAAATGATAATGCAACACAGATGTGCCTGGAGTCTTGTGTTTAAGCGCCACCTTGTGGTGACTACTTTAACAGCAATATCCCAAAGAAGATAGCTGAGAGATTGTGACTGCACACATTCTCTCTACTTATTGTAATATAGTCAGACCAGGTTAGCACTGACGAGCCTCAGAAGGCCAAACAGTCTGGAGGCAGTTACACATTTACATAGTAATGAAAGTTCAAATAAAGACTCAATTCAATCAAGTTCAACCTTTCACACAACTCTTATTCTGGTGTTCCTCCAAAAAAGGCAGAAAAAATATATTTTTAATTTATTTTGAAGGTAACAAAATGGGAAAGAAATCTGTTCCCGACTCTAAAATGGCATACAGGTTTCTCCTTTGACCAGCAAGCCATACTAATTCCATTAAAATCCCAGAAAGAGTAAGAACCTATGAATCTATTCAAATAGTACGAATTAATGTCTAAAAAGTGCCAGTGTAATTTTAGCTTATTTGCATGTCTTGCATCCCCCATTATAGGCTTTATAATTTCTGTTTTTTATGCAGTTTTTCAAATGTTCTTTATGATATGTGAATGGAGTACAGCTGGATATATGAAATCTATTTAGTTAGCCCATGACAGTGTCACATTTACGCTGCTTACTTATCTTCACACTCGTACACAATGAAAGCTGTTATAAATATCTTGGGCATTAGCATGACAACTAGAAACGCAGTGTGAACATTCAATGACATAGTAAAAGTATTTATTTGGGAATTATAAATGTGCAACTGTAAGTATATAAAAAATACATGATGTCACCCCAACACGCAGAGTTTAGGGCAGAAAAGAACAAAAGAAGGAAGTAGCATAGTACTGGGCCTAGAATGGCCGGACTTAACATAGGCAGAGATAACAGCGTAGTCAGTAACGAGCCGAGGTCAGGGTAACAGAGAGACAGCGAAAACGAGAACTAGCCAGAGTCAGGTACACGGTAATCAGTCAGATAAACGAAGGCTAAGAAACAAAGCCAAGGTCAATACCAGAATATAATGCAATAGATCAAGGAATGCACTAAAGGATACAGGGACAGAAACCACAAGAGGGCACAGTGTACAGTGTTAGGAAAGTTTAAATATCTTTAAGTAACATTTGATTGGTCCACATCATGCCTGCACCCCCAAAACATGCGTGTGTGGGGACACTGGAATGACGTGGACCAATGGAAGCCAGAAATTACTTGGGGCTCCCATTGTCCCTCTAAGAGTGTGCTCGTGATGCAAGGGTGATGCAAGGGCTCTGAATTTGTTCCATGGAGTACCACGAGGCTTGTCAGTGCCACTGCCTGTCACCTGGCATATATGCATGACTTTTTTTCCCTATCATCGTCTTTGAGTGAATTATTCTGTCCACACCCTATCATTACTACACTTATGGGTTCATGTCTGTTGAGCACTGTAAACATGTCATCAAACGGAAATGCAGGTTCTGGAAAACAGAGGCTTAGCACATATAAACCAGATTTAGTTGTTTCCTGACTTTTACTTGCCCTTAACCCAAGTCTGCTTCTAATATAACCATTTCACCTCCGCCAGAATCCCCATAGTCCATAATCCTTTCACAATGTTCTCACTGATGACAATATTTATTGCTTTACCTGTAGTCAAAGAAGAAAAACGAACCACAAATGGCTCCCTCATGAATGTGTCCGTGCCACAGACTTCACAGTCATCATCATAATGATACCACTCTGTTGGCTTTAGGATATCTTCTCTGCCGAGAAAAATAACGGGGAAGAATTTAGCAACTTCATCAAAGCCTCTCCATCTGGTGCTTGGCTTTCAAACAGCTGATGCAAGCTGTCTCGTAGTGCTCTGGTGCTCTCACAAATCTATTAAACTCCAGGGCTCTGCGTGAACCAGGTGTTAATGTCTCTCAATGCCAATTTCAAGATAAAGTCTGATGGATGCTGTATTATCATATTTGCACAACAATAATGTATATCCCTCACCAAAGGAACTGGTCATCGTGGAGTTTTCAACCACATTTCCTCTTTGTAAAGGAATTAGATTTCTGAAGTATTATTGTGCATGATCTACCTGATTTTGTAGGTAGACAACAACGTTGTAAGATGCAAGCAAACTAACAGTACATAGCTTCTTGATCCAAGAATAAATCTGACTCCCATTCTGAGGTCAAGAAAGGTGTTTTTTTTTTTGCCTTCTTTTGGATCAACAGCAAAAACAGATTTGAGAAAGGCCAAACTTGATGGACACAAGTCTATTTTTCAGCCTATGAAACTATGTAACATATTCTTCTTCTATTTGCCTATGACCAGTCACTTTCAACATCAGCCCTCCATGAGATCAATCCACATCGAAAATTAAGCAACATGGGGCCCTGCATCAAGCATTGGACATACCAAATATTATTGGTTCTAACAAGGGTGGTTAGCTTGGGGTGCGAAGAATCCTAGATATCACCATACAAGTTCACAGAGAAAGAACACATCATATTAATTGTGGTAAACATGTAAAACACCAAGTGTAGCATGCACTCTTTAAGAATTAACAGAAACTTACTAGCTTGTCTTAACCACAGAGGCTATCAGAAGAAATAGGTGAAGCAGATCCCTTCTACTCGAGAGGTACAGAAACCCCAGAATAAAATATCATGGAAAGAATGTCTGAGGTGAGCAGCTTAGCAAATATTAATTACACACAGGAAGTCTACATCGCAGACATCAAAGTATGGTGGACAGTGACAAGAGTACGGAGAGCATTTAGTGGACTGTATTGTTGCACAACCTACCTGTATATATAGACATATTTCTCCCGATAAGTACTACGCCCCAGGTGATCAGAGATCAACACGTTGTATTTTAAACCAGTGGCTCTAAAAATGAAAAACAGATTTAGTAAAAATAGAAAATGCACATTACCTAGTGAGTTTTTATTTTTTCCCTATTTTTATTGCAGAGAACAGAATTCTGTCTTGGTTCTAAGCTAGGCCTGATAGTCCCAAAGCAACAGTTTAACATCAAACATTCTGCATAGTGTAAACAATCAATTAATGAATGTATTAGCCATACTAGTGTATTATAATGTTACAGAAACCTGAAGTGGTTATTGGTGGTGATTTCATATACACATTTATTTATAGGTGACATCATTACATTGTCCTAATGTCCGTTCTTCGGACATATGGTAATTAGAACTTGCCCAAATCCTATTAAATGCCAAATATTTCAACAGGGTGAATGTGAAATGCAAAACGCTGTACAAAAATAAAATGTTTACCCCAAGATTATTTCCTACTACTATTACAAAATGGGTGCTATAAATGTTGGAGTGGTTTAATGTGTATATACCTGTACTTTGCATTCTACACATGATGAATGCAGCCACTTATTTAGGCTCTGTAGAAGATGACAGATCAGTAAAGACTGGTTTCCTCGCATAATATATAGATGAGTTTTGTTTTTTAAGGCAGTTACACTCTCAAATAAAATATTCTTGTGTTCGGTGTTCTTGCTCTCCTCTAACATTAGATGTAATACTGTAACTTTGATGGGTTTTAGAATCATGACGGCCAAGAAGAGATACTCACAGGTTGAGCTCCTGAACAAGCCTGATAATCGCTGTGTTATCTGAATTCATTACTTCTTGGACTGAGATCAACTCATATCTTCTCAATATCTTTAGCAGAAAGGGGAACACAAAAATAATGACAAAATCGTCTTCAAATATAAATACCAAAACAGAACTTTGTATTCGATACATATTGTTCTAATGAAGACTGAATTTTTTTTTTACTGTACTCCACAACAGCAAAGAAATAACATAAAAACAGGATAACCAATCAGAAAATAGAAGCAATCCAAATAAATAGAGGGCATTAACCTAAACCCCCCCCCCTCCCCTTTCTTTACGCAAAACAAAGTGACAACAAGTCAGAAATCCAATTCAGTTTAGTATTCGAGGACAAACTTTTAAAGTGATTTTTTTTCAAAATATTAAAGGATCAAAAAATAATTAATTTCAATAAATATATCAATGCATCACAAAATGGAAGAATATAAACATATTAAAATATTAAATCATTTTAAAAGTTTTTTAAAAACACTAAATTATTTGAAAAGCATAGACAAATATACTTTTTTTTTTATTCCAAAACATCAACTTAAATGGAAACAATATGCATATATCTATATATTTCTAAAGATATAACTATCTCATAAAATACACATATATATTTGGTATTAATAACCATTTTCAGAATCTATACCCCAGGTATATTTGCAGGCTATAAAAACAAATATAAAAGTAGATATGAGAAGAATTATGTACTGATGTTGAATGTTTAATAGGCAGAAATCGACATAACGTTTCAGGAAGTTTGTAGGAATGTTTTGATTGAAAGCCAGGGGAGGTGCGGCTACGACTACAGAAATTTAATTTAATTCCTATATGGCATAGAATTAAGCAGTGAGACTGCAGGTGCATGAAGCTTTCTCTTTCAAAGTCTCATTTTGCTTCTAAAGGGAGCTTAAATTCCAAGGATCTCCAATTTATAACCATATATAACCAAATGCAAAGGGTACATAAATCTTTTCAACTAAATCTATATCCCAAGAGTAGATGACTACTCTCGCATGCTCTGCAAAGAGTACTGATAGCACCTAAAAAGTCACACTGCTATAGACTGCAGAATTTATAACGTAAAACTACTTTAAAAATCTTAACACGAATTCCCCATTATATTTATATGATTTTTGTCATAACATTAACTTAACTGTTATCTACCATTCTTCAGAATCACTTTAGTATCAGCCATTATTCTTACACGTATCAGAAGATCCAGAACAAAGGGATCGTCAACTTTAGAGATGGCAAACCTCTGGATGTTGAATGAAGCAATTTTAAAGGCTAGACAGGCTTGGAGGAGGTAGGCTGTGAGAGCCAACACGATCAGCCACCTCATGTCTACTAAACAAAGATACAAGATACGGGTTAGTTTAGGAGTAACAGAAATTCCAAGCCAGTTGTCTTGCCCGATAGAGTCTTCATATATTTCCAAGAGTTAGAATCTAAAGAATAAAGAATCATAAAGAATGCTATGGCCATGAAATGAATGCACAGACGTGCTCTAGTAGATATGACTTACACACCTGGTCACTTTCCTGCGTGTTCCTTTCTCTAAACAGGAGTATATGTGCCATTAACCTTAATGGCTCAAAGTTATATCTTCACAAGCCTACAACACAAACTCCATTCATTTGACTTGTTCTTTCATTTTGTGCACTCATTGAATTGTGCAATTTGATATTCTTTCTTTTGGTTTTAAAAAGAACTAGCTAGGAATCTGGAGTATCCAGAGAAAACAATTCCTTCTCTTGTCTTTCCATGGAAACGTAGAGTGGAACTTTTTGAGAAAAGAAAAAAAACGATTTCATCCTTCTGGCACGCAAGAGGTTAGGTCCGTTTGTTCTGATATCTAATACTATATGATAGAATGGTAATTGATACACAAGGCTAAAAAAAAAAAACAATTTGATTTTTATAAAGTGTAATATTCGGATTTTTGTTAATCGCTCGCTCTCATTTTTGTTCACTGCTGTGTGAAATTATCAGTGGTTGGAATGAACAATCAGGACAAGAATAAAGTTAAAAGCTTACTCTAATGAATGACTCTGATGATAATTTCAGTGATGTGAAGTGGTCGTGGTGCTTGTAGTCTGTATGTGCAGTGTTTTACTATGGCCTCGCCCCCTCCATGTCACCCAAGTCCTCTCATAAGCCCATCCTTTCTGACATCCAATGAGAGTAGTGACATTACCTGTGGAGGATCCGGTTCCTAGGACAACTTGGCCTCAGTGTGGGATTACAGGTAATTTTTTGCTATAATCTTTTTTTCTCTTTATAATATTTGAGGGGAAGGATCAGGGCATTAAGGCTTAATTTGGCCAAAAACTGTGTTTATTAAAACACTCTTTTTTGGTTGGAATAACCCTTCAAATAAATATAATGATAATGTAGCACAAATCAGCGTGAATGTAAAATGTTGTCTACACCTGATTACGGGGCCATTCCACAAACAAATCGGAGACAGGACTAACCCTTGTCTCTCAAAATTTACCATGAAGCTCAGCCTTCAGCGCCATAGGCAATGTCTGGCTCAACAGGAATGCCAATCCTTCATAACTAATGTACACATTGTTTTCTGCATCAAGTATTTACATTCCAATCAAGCTGTGGTCAAAGGGCGACCTCTGAATATCCAAACACGGAACCCTAATACGTTTTGAAGGTATTTCATCAAAGGCTACCAAGAGCAGCTTGTTCCCAAACTACAGAGTGGTTTAATTCACTGACTTAACACAATTCAGTTTAGATTGTACACCTCTGAGTAACACTGAGTGTAATTCACTAAGGTATAAATTGTCTGAAATTGAGAATGAGAATTCAAAGTGAATTTCAAATTGTAGAAATTGATCTTTGCCTTCTTACATATGACTAGTAAAAGAAAGCAGATCTTGTTTTGTTTTGCGTTTACGTTGTGTCGTTTCCTTTTCTTTCTAAACTAAAAACAGTGCGTAAGAGATGTAAGTCACTATCCTATGCCTTGCTAACTTAATATGTCATATTTGTGACTTTTATGCTTGTCATTTTCAATCGACACATACAACAATAAAATAGTTTAAAATAAAATTGTAAAAAAAAAATTATAGTCAGCAAAGTTTTTAGCTTAGCTTTGTTGGCCAATAAAATTGAACTTGAATAACTCTTTGATAAATAACCTTGGTTTCCGTGGCACTGAAAAGAACTGTCGAAATAGCAACCTTTAAATAAAACGCCATCATAAATAAATCTATAAAGTAAACATATGAGTGTCTTAGGTAAGAAAAAAAGCTGTTTTTTATGTCCTCGATTTAAACAAAAAAAGGTAAATAAACAAAATTCAGATAGAAAAATAAGTTACCTCCTGTATTTTTAATTCCCAGTTGGAGATATGTAGAGGTGTGATAATAATCCACAGGCTTTCAAGTTAATGTTCGGTAACTTTTTTTCAGCAAAACCTTTTATACATTTTTTAAATACACTGTGAGAGAAAAAGCTATATTCCAGCTGCGATTTTATCCATAAAACAAGCAAATTAATCAGAGTTGTAGAGGTAATGGGTTTGTTTATGTGAGGTTCTCAAAAGTCTATATTTAAGCTGCTTCTTCAAAAGAATGTAGAGTCAGATTCTATTCGGACTCCTTAATGGCCGTGGTAAAATTATTTTCCACCTTATCTGGTAAACTCACTGACTTCTCATTGGATATGAATGTTTTTACTCAAGAACCAATCAGAAACATCTCAAGTAAACTGCCTTCATAGACTTTTCAGATAGGTGACATCAATAATTAGCAACGAGTAAGTAGAGGCACAGTTTCCAAGTCTGGTAAGTAGCTCGCAAATATAAGGACATTTTTCCAGGGCAAAGCCAACCTCCTGCTCCTCATACTTTACATATAAAAAGAGACAGGTTGAGGGACGAATATCTTATTCTTCAATCCCACTAGCTCCTTATGTCAGCAGATTAGGGGATGATAATTCTTGGGTTCTTAACATATGCACTAACATATTCATATTATTCATTTGGATATGCACTGTAGCAATATGATTGACAGGGATTTAAACCAGTCCGTGACATTGAGTTGAATTAATGACCTACTTATACACGAGTGGCCATGCGTTTTCTGAATACCACTGTCTGCTATCAAGTTGTTGCAGGATTTATTTTTATTTGATTCTTAAAGGGGTTTTCTCTCATCTAATTCTCATTTGACTGCATGTAATGTGGGTTCAGTCCCCAACAATCAAGCAGAAGAGCAATACCAAACTAAGAAATGACCTTGTCAAATCCAAACGCCATATGCCTAGCACCTGATGTCCTAAAATCTTACATATTCCTTATAGCCAATTAGACTACAATCTCACCGACACACCAAAATCACTACCAATGTGCCACATTAATCTTTTTTCTTACACCCACCTCCATATCCAATCATTCATTCATTTCTGGATCATAATAACTTAAAATTAGTCCCATCTAGAGAACTACAACCCAACTTAAGCCAGTCCACACCTCCGTAAACTAATCCAAATATACTCTCCAATCCAAAGTGAAGACCAATGTTCTATGTTTATCTCACCAATCTCCATCAGCTGCCAAACTCTGCCAGTCCAACGGCTCCACGTCCCTTCCATAAAATTCATGGTTCAAGCGTACACGACACATGATATTCTCTCAACAGCCCTATTTGTTATTTTCCTGATTTTACACATTACTTTTTCTTCCCATCTTTGTTTCTAGGACTTTACCCAAACTAAACCTGTTCTCTGAAATTCTTTACTTAACCGTTTTTAGACTTACACACACTTAACTGCCTCAATTTCTCTTTTTTTTTTTTTTTAAATCACTTATTCGTGATGCTTTTAACATTCTCCTTAATAAACCTATATCAAATGTTGTAATTCATTCAATATTTTGTAACATAAATTCATAGGCATTCATAGTGGAGAGTTTTAGGGGCTCCTTACCCCAGGTGCATTTAGGTGGCAATAAAGTACTGTTTTTATATATCTGCTATTAGTAGCCAAGAAGGAATAGTTTAATTCCTAATTCCTCAGCCATGAGGGGTTTGATAAGAACATTGTAAACCCCTCATTTATATTGATAGTGTAGAAGACAGGAATGTATTACGGCCTTCATACTGGGATTTTTTACTACAAAGTCTGAGTTAACGTTCAGCATAAATCAATAACGATCAATAGGCAGTAATATAACAAAGAGAGCTATGGATATGCTTGCCTCTGTTTTGTAGCCCACTTTTCTGTGGATGCAATATCTATAGAGTGCACCGTACAAATACCAGGACTCTAAAGGGACACTATAGGCACCCAGACAACTTCAGCTCATTGAAATACTCTGGGTGCAGTGTCACTGTCACCCTTAGCCCTGCAATGGAGACATTGCAGTTTTACAGAAACTGCAATGTTTACATTGTAGCACTGAGACAGTCTCTAGTGGCTCTCTATCTGACAGCCATTAGAGACGCTTACAGGATCTTACCGGAATTTTGGTCGCCTAACTGACGCTGGACGTCCTCACGCTCTTCATGAGGATATGCAGCTTCAGTGAAAAAAAAACCATAGGAGAGTATTTCTTGAATGCTAATTATATAATATATTGTTTTCTATATACACAACTGAGAACTGAGTGCATATTGGACAAAGTATTGGACACCAAAAATACTTGGATTCTGGGGGTGTTTTTTTTTCTGAAAACTGCTCGGTAGTGAACGGGTTAAAGGCTTCTTTTTTTTTTTTTTTTTTGTGAACTTTGATGCTCTGCAGAGCCTGTCTCAGCCTGACAAAAAACAGTGCAGACTCCTGCCAGAAAAGACTGATATCCACTTAATTCTGCTGCTCCAACAGTTTTTGCAGAGAAACCAAAATGACCACATACATCTAAGTGAGGATCTCACCAAGAATCCCAAGTGGGTATTATACCACCTGCACTGAATTAACTGAGCAGTGTTACCTGCTCAGGAATATGTGAGTACGTTTTACCTAGTTTTACTCCTGGTACTTTTCATTTACACAGTAAGTACTATTGTTGCTTTTTTAATTCCGTTTTCGGTCCTGCACACATCCGGTGACAACAACCTCTACCTTCCAAAATATCCTATAGGTGGGGGATAAATAGCGCTGCATGCACAATACACCAGAGCTGGCCATGTCAGTAGACTGGAATTCTTTCCTCCCAAGAAGGAAGATACCATTAAGAAGTATTTTATTTTGAATTTGTATCTGTTTGTATAATACCTTATCTGAGCCATACTAGGCGCACCCTTCCTCCCTTTTTTCTTTTTCTATTATAATATGTTTTTTGGAAAGAATTTCCTTCATTTAGGGGTGCTGCCTCCGTATTTTGTTATCTAGCGCTGCTCCATCTCCTTTTTTTGTATCTTTGTACACTACAGCTTAATGTAGTTGCTCTGGTGAGTGTAGCAGAGCTCCCTGGCTGGGTACCTCCACCAAAGGACCGCTTCCTAGCTGGAACAGGGGACAAACTGCAGCACTTCTGCCCACAGTCGCCGTGGCTGGACTGGGGCTCTGGAACCGCTCATTCCTGGAGCCGAATGGAAAATTAGCTCTAGTCCTTACATGGACTTTCCCTATTGAATCTCCTGCAAACTGGAACAGCAGACACAGGAGCAAATCTTCTTTCCCTATAATAACAGGACGACACACAGTTTTGGAGTGTAAGCAGGAACAGGAAAAAGGGGGAGGGGAAGAGGCACAGTTTCCCACGGAAGTCACCTCCTAGCATGTCTTTTTGCAGGGCCCATAGTCTTTGGGCAAAAGGCTGGCCATTAGTCCTCTCCAAAAACCAGTGGCAAGGTCACTTTCGCCACAGTGAGTATAGTCAGTCCCTGCAGGCTCAACAATGAAAATGATGCCTTTTCACGGAGAAGGCAGTGTTTACATTGCTGCCTAGTAACACTTCTAGTGGCTGTCATTCAGACGGCCACGAGAGGTGCTTCCTAGTCCAACGCTGCACAGTCCAGTGCAGCACCTACGGTAAGCGTTTCCACGCTCTGCATGGAGACACTGAAGTACCCAATAGAGATGCATTGGTGAGGAGATGCTGGTTGGCACCGCTCAGAGTTTTGCCACCCACGTGCAATAGCTTACCAATGCATACCTGTGGCAGATAATCAATATTGATCATCTGAGCCATGAAGGTGAGACGCTCTCTGCAATGGAGAAACGGTGAATACATTTTGATTCACAGTCCTCCAGACACCTAGTGACCGGGCTGGTCTGTTGGGTCATGGGGGGGGGCTCTGTTTAGTTTGTGTGTCACAAAAAAAATGGTTATTTTATTGGACCTTTTACTGTTGTCCTTTTTGTGAACACTAGGCTAGATAAATCTTGTTCAAACAATTTAACATTTTCAAACAGTCCAGGGTTTGTCTTTGTGTATTGTGCTTTCTTGGCGCTGCACTCTGACAATTAGTGATATCCAAAGCATAGCTAGTGGAGGTACCATCCACTCGTGTAATGTAGTGGTTTGGTGACCTTTTGCGTAATTATCTGTGAGCACTGACCAAGTGTCCCAGGCACCAATCAGCTCAGTCAGACACAATCAGTAGTTATCCGCTGTGCACCCGGCTGGTGACATACAGCACACTGAAAGGGCTCCAGGATCCATAGGAATAAGAGGCCCCCAGCTTCTCTGGGATCGTGGCACTAGGGCCGTTTAAAGGGACACTGTAGGCACCCAGACCACTTTAGCTCATTGAAATGGTCTGGGTGCAGTGTCCAATCCCCCTTAACCCTGAGCAGGTAATTATAGCAATTTTTAATAAACTGTAATCATTACCTGCTAGGGTTAACTCCTCCTCTAGAGGCTGTCTACCAGACTTTTGCCTAAATGATGCTGGACGTCCTCTTGCTATGCAAGGCACATAGTGATGCAAGGCACATAATGAGTTCTGTCTTTCAAAACATTGTATACACCAGTGGCATACCTACCATGGTCGCAGGGGTCGCAGCTGCGGCCGAGCCCCCCAATGCAGGGGGCCCAGCCACAGCCACGACCCCTGCGACCGTGGGCCGCTTAGATACCGCCCCCCCCGTGTTCCCTCTGTCATAGGGGGGCCCAATAGGTGGTCCGCTGGTAACCCAATGGACCCCCCTGGTGGGCGGTAGAGTTCTTGTCAGATGTGGTGAGGGAGCTGTGTTCTCTCTGCTCTGCTCTGCTCCCTCACGCACCGTTTGCTGATGCTGGGAGCCAGAATATGACGTCATATTCTGGCTCCCAGCATCAGTAGACAGCCCACGTATGTACCTGTCAGTGTATGTGTGTCTCAGTGGGTGTGTCTGTAAGTGTGTAAGTGTATGTGTGCCTGTAAGTGTATGTTTTTGTCTGTGAGTGTGTGTGTCTGAGTGAATGTGTGTGTGTCTGTAAGTGTATGTGTGTCTCAGTGTGTGTATGTGTGTGTCTGTGAGTTTATGAGTGTATATGTGTGTGTCTCTACATGGGTCTGTATGCATGTCTCTATGTATGGGTCTTTGTGTGTGTGTGTATGTGTGTGTGTGTCTGTATGTATGTGTCTGCATGTGTATCTGTCTACATGTGTGGTGGAGGCGGAGATGTGTGGGGTAGGAGATAGATTTATAGGGGGGCCAAAGGGCAATTTTCGCACTGCGGCCCCGTGGTTTCTAGTTACGCCTCTGGTATACATCCTTCCTTAGCTCCACTTAACTGCTAGAATATGTATGTACTGTACCTCTGCAGGTGAATGACTGTCAAAACAAAGCACGCATCACGCTAATCCAATCTGTTTATTGATTAAAGCTTTATACACTTTGAAATGGACAAAAAAAAAAAACACTTTAAAAGACTTAGCGGAGAAGTAAAATAGAGTACATTTTCTGGGCAAGCTTATTTCAAGGCCTAGTTAGAAAGTTTGTAAATATTGTTTTCAGTGATTATATATTTTAAAATGACAGCATGATCTGTAGCACTGTGCAATAAGGACATTATGGTTTGTCGCTCTTTAAAGTCCAGATGATTTACGGTTTACAGTAAGGTAAGTAGTTAGCACAGCAGTCGCCATAGGTAGTACATGAAGCATTACAGCTACAGGGGAAATTCTTGGAATAGGCTCCACAGCGTCCATTGCAGCTTGCAAAATCTACTCCTACGCAGTTACAGACGCCATTCAGAGACAGACCTCCACTTATCCCAACGCTCGCACTGATCGCGAAACGCTGGCCATTGTATAAACCTGCGAGAGGGAAAGGTAATTAAATCAATATTTATAGGCAGTTAAAGGGGCATTGTTACCTCTCAGCTATTGTAATGTTAAATATACCTATATTTAACAAATAAATATGTGTGAGTTGTTAAAATTTTAATTAAATGTAAAAACCCACATTTCTCTATCCTGGTACTAGGCGTCTCCATTTTGGCTCCCTGTCAATCATTGTTATAAGCTCTGTGCTTTACACATGGCAGTCAGAATAGAGAGACCTTACAGAGAAGAGGAGACATGAAGACAATGATTCTACTTCTCCCTCTTGTTTGCGCTGCGTTCCCTGACTGTGTCTTGACCAAACTGGATTATAAACTTATTTACTAGATTTTTTAATATACATTTTAAAAAGTAATGGAAAAATCAGGCAAAAAAAAAAAAAAAAAAAGCTTATCACACGTTTCATGTAATTTCAATGTTTTAATCAGTTTTGTAAATTCCTAAGTGACAGTTGACCTTAAATCATAAGAGTTAATTCTGTGTCATTTAGATGGTTTGGAGACTGACTAACTGTTGTCAGGCTGAAAGAAACTGATTTAATCAAAACTTATATGAGCAATATATAAACTCTATTTTGTAAGACAGGCTAGTAATGAACATTCTCTTCCCATACAGCACTGAAACTGGACTGGATAGATTTATTGAGTCCAGCAACAAAGCTCGTCTACTTCTTACTAAAAGCTTGTTCTCTCTTTCAAACAAACTCTTCCAATATCTCTTGGCATATGGTCATAGGGTTGGACACTATAAATTCTTCCCATCTTTCTTGATTTCAATTCTCTTTTACCAAGCAACATTCATTGGTAGGCTGGCATGGGGTCAGAGGGGCAATTGCCCTGGGCTACTAGCAGGGGAGGGCTGGCAAAGGGGTTGTGGGCTGCAGCCTCAAACTATTTGTCTGAATATAAAAATCATGAAAATAGCAGGAGGTGTGTTGAGATGTCTGTTTGGACAGCACTGCAGTAGTCAGACAGCAGGCAGAAATTCAATCCAAGTACCACTGTGCTGGTTTGTGCATGGGTTGGTGGCTTGTGCTCTCAGTGATCTCCAGACCTTGACTTACCCACTGGGATATTTCCTGGTCGACAGTTGTATGAGATGCTGGCCAGGATAGCAGACTACAATGAGTACATACGATGCCCTTGAAGTTATTTGTCAATGACTACAGAGTGAGATGTGACCATGTGACCATGTTTATAGCATTCATAAAACACAAACTGTCATGGGTGTCAGGAAACCGTCTCTTAGACATGCACAGATCTCTGTGAATGTTCCCTCATACTGTGTAGGTTATACTGATGGATGTTACAGGGATATGTTCTCTGTCCAACCTTGCCGCTCCACCAGCCACTGTCTGCGAAATTTATCTACACGTGAGTGGGTACATCCTCACTAAGTTCTTTGTCAGTTCTTCCATGGCAACATAACTCTCTCAATAATCAATAGTTCCCCTCCTCTGCAATCCTGCTAATCTGTACACCACTCTCACCTTTCATGTTTTGCACAATTATTAAAATGGTAAATTCACTGAAATTCAAATTTAGTTATGAAATATATTGAGACAAAGTAGGGATCCTACATAGACCTCAACACTGTGCTCTTTTACATGCACAAGAGTATTGCAGTGACATTGGCTCCTGGCACTCCTGAAGAAGATCCACCGAATAAAGATGCTGGCGCCCGCAGGGGACAGGTTCAGTTACTGAGTACTCTCCTTAGCCAACCTACCCCTCCCCCCACTCACCTTACCCTGGCCAACATTGTGGGTCTTTGCAAATTCTGCAAAGTCCCCAGATGGTGGAAGTGCCACTAAAACCTTTAAGCCTGTGATTTAGTCTTTAATTTTCAAATCTTTTACAAATATTCATTAATCTATCCTGCTCTTGATTTCTTTCTCTTCAACCCTCATTCACTGTAAAACTCTCAAGATTTATCAACTCCAATAAGAGGGTTGAATGCAACTGAATGTATATGGGAAACTGACATTTAAAGTCTAGGATTTACACTTTATATCTTTTTATTAAATCTCCATTGTAACCACGATCATACAATACTCACCATCTTTGCGGAGTTCCAACTCAATAGGGTAATGGTCAGACGCTGCTTTTGCCTGAGATATAAAGGATACGGGTTTTACTCATACCATTGTATGTAGCAGCACTACAAAACATCAATGGTTCAATGGAATTAGAAGATGAATATATATATATTTTTTAAATTCACTGAAACATTGTTACCCAAACTAAAAACTAAACCGAAATAAAAGTCAAGAGGTTTGTAGGATTACGTGTGTCACTAAATACTAAAACACTGGTGGACTATCCACTCTCACAGTCTCGCACTGTAAGCAGTCAGTCTAGAAGTGTGTCTCTGCTTTTATCGCTCCTGCATGATAGCAGGAGCTAGCCACACGCACTCCTTTCACAATCAACATGCAACCTGTCCCTTTCATTGACTTAACCAGCAAGCTTAGCCACTACGAAGCACGGACGATAAACCAATTACGCAAAACAAGAAAACATATTCAGATGGTATCCTCACCTCAGCGTAAGTAAGGCCATATTCCACTTGCAAGTTGAAAGGCCTGGCTGTGCCGGGAATCACTGCGTTTTTCAACCCTGTTCCACTCACTACAAACCTGGAAGAAGTGTGAGGGAAACAAAACAAAATAGATAAGAATAGTGAACAGAACGGGAGCACCAACACAGTACTAGAGCATTGAGAATGATAGAATAATGACTATAGTGACTACAGTGACCTCTAATGTTAGAGAATTTATTTTTTGCTTCAACAAAGGCCACATTGCTGTTAAATTGTTACAAATTCCTTACTACTAATGGTTTACCAGAGATACCCTCTTATTTACCCTTCATTGACACATTTGTGGAGCTTTCTCAATTTGGCACTGCCAAATTACTGTAGCAATACCGTATGTTTTTAGGGTAACAGACACATGGCTCGCCTAGATAATTTTCAAATTCATCAATTGTGGTAAAAAATGCTAAATGTACTTGTTACTATTTACTTTAACTAAAATTCCTAACAATTCACACTGGAGTGACATTTGGCATTTAATTTTACCGCCCATAATGATTGCATTTTGGAAGAAAAGTTGCTATCTTGGGATCTCACATATGTTATGCCCCTCTTGCTTTACAGAATGGATATTGTCATATAGGGGGAAAGGGAACATATCTGATGGGTACAGAACAACACTTGCACCAATCAGCAAACATATAATCCGTGGTTATTGAACTTTTGTCTAAAAGTTTTGTGTACAAAAATGTGACCTTGACCGTATGTAAATAAAAGTAGCACATTTTGTTTAGACACTGTTCCATACACACCCCAACGATATTTGGGGCCCAGGCATATTCTTACATTGACACCATACCACCCATGAAATTTTAAAATCTTTAAACTTACATCCAACTAAAGCTTTTATAGGGACACTCTAATCATAGCCAGTATGGCTTTCCTACTAGTTATGCTACAAGTGTAAATTTCACTGTCCAAAACATTTGTATGGAATACAGCCATATCCAACTGTATCAAAATTCAACACTCCTTCCCGCATTCACAGATTAGCCCTTTCAGAGAAACGGAATGCGCTGTTATATAATTTCACAGACTACAGTAATCTCGAAGTCAGATGTTTACAATATTGACAGTAAACCCTAGAGTGGGTGGATAGACAGACAGAAAGACGGATGGACAGACGGACAGACTGATCTGTAGGTGGTTCAGGTCATATAGAGCTTACATTACTTTATGAGACAAATGAACAGTTTAAATTACTCATGCCCACTTTCATCATGTTATGTTCACCATGTAATGTTCACCATGTTATGTTCCCCCACACATTGAGCATTAACCAATACTGACCTGTCATAGGCACAGTTATTGTTTGTGCTGACAGTGGTATCAGCCCCCTCACCAATCAGCCACTGGAGATTCTTGTCCTGACGAAGGCGGATCATTGGCCAATGCCTGGAGCTCACATAACTGCAGTCTGAGTTGAAATCTCCCAAAATCAGGATATTCTGCACAGGGAAAATCCTCTTAAATGTTGTTTTGTTTTTGTTTGTTTGTTTTATTTTATTTTTTGCTTATCGCTTATTTTTCGTTCATAAAATGCAAGTTGTATCTTTTTGTATGTAAAAATGCATATAAATATTTTAAATGCTTATGTACATAAACGTTCAGAAAAACACAAATCTTTTTTATGCTGAATGTTATTAAATGAGTGTAAAGCTGACAGCCAACTAAAATAATACAATGTTTCTTTAAATCACATGTCAATGACACTTTGAAAAGGAGAAAGAATGTCTATTTCCAAGTTTAAAAAGTAAGTTCTACCTTGGATCTCCTTTCTGTCTAAATCAGACGGTAAAGAGAATAGCCAGACAGATTCAAGGTTAAGGAAATGCTACAGTTACTGAATCACATAATAAAACTGTTCTATGAGCATTTCTGAATACACAACATGTCCAAAATTGAAGTGGATGGGCTTCGCCAGCCGATAACCACAACGTCCAACGTGAAATATCTTACGTCATATCAATGTGTGCATGCATTGTATCCATTTACGCCTGTAGTCTATACCTCAGTCTGGTAGATCACTGTTGAGATGTGTTGGAAGGAAAGAGTCACAATGTCAATGTGCAACTGATAAATCTTTAGCAACTGTGTATGTACTTCCTTTGCACTCCAAAATAAAGAATTAATAAAGAAAACAACTATAACTTGGACCTTCCGATAGAAGAAGATGCAGATCAGAAATTGCATGTTGATATTTTAAAGTACACCATGCCTTTTGACTGCACATAGTTAACTGTACATATCCCAAAACGGTTTGTTAAAGAAAGACAAGCTTCGATTTGTATCATTCTTTGAAATTAAATATGACGTGTTATAAATAAAAAATCTGTAGCAACTGCGTAATGTTATAATGTCAATACAGATCAGAGTCTCCAAGGAAAGACTAAAAATACCGTATTACCTTGTTGAATACATGGCCCATATATTTCAGGACATTCTGAGTGCAAAAGTGGGTCTTCCCAGTATTAAAGAGGTGTATTTATTATAGTTGAAACTGGGTGTATAATTAAGTTTAGGTTTGATTTATGGAACACAACAAATTATTTATAACATTGTGGCTCTACCTCTCGTTTTTGAATAATAGTCTGTGTGTTACTGTCATTCATGCCCCATGCAGTTGTAAAGTGTGGAATGGGGGGATGTTAAAGTCTATAAATTAAGGATATTATAAATAAATTAGGAACCTCTGTACGCAGTCGTTGCTTGGCGTCTTCCCACACATCGTACAGAGCATCTACCTCTAGCATGGCGTAATCTGGGCTTGTGTGAATCGTCGCCAAGACAAAGTCTTTTAACTCTACAGGAGAAATCAGAATAACAGAATCAGATACAACACTTGTAAGTGGTTAAACATGACAACTCTTTACACGTTGAAAGTGACTTCATGCACAACTTTATTAATAAATAACTTTAATAGTATTAAATTCATGATGTCCCTCATTTTCCACAGCGTGTCAGGTATTATAAAAGATGTATAATTTAAAATCATGTATTAGGAGGAAAAATGCAATGTCTGTGTTTTGGAAACATTAACAAACCACTTGATGTTTGGTCTCGGGGGCTCTTATGATGTCATCAGACCTAAACCATAAAATACATCATTCTTAGCAATGATCAATTAGATTAAAATGGAATAAAATATGTGTTAAAAACCAAAGCACACATGAACTGAAAGGATTTGCAAATATATAACAATGATATTGTATACCTACGAGAAAAAAAGCAGCATGCATAACAACAACAAATAGCATAAGAGAATAAAAGTTGCAAAAGAAAATATAGAATAATAGTGAAATAGACTGTAGGTCTGAGATCTTATAGATTCTTATTATGAGAAAGGGACATACATATTTGCAATCCATATACTGGGAATGGCCTTTAGATCTTCAGTTAGCAAACAGCATGCCTACTTATATTGGGGGTGGGTAGGGCACTCCAAGCATGCTGTAGTGGTTATGGTACTCGAAGTGTTTCTTTAAATACTAGGTAGATAATGATTAACCACATAACTCCCAATATCAGGACACCCCTGAACTTTCCGATTTACCAGTAGTTAAAGAAGTGAACCGGGCCACAAATGGCTCCCGTAGAAACGAATCTGTGCCACAGTTTTCGCACCCGTCATCATAGTGATACCACTCTGTTGGCTTTAAAATGTCCTCCCTACAGGGAAATAGAATAGAGAGGAATTAACCAAGATCACCGTAAACGCACCATCTGGTGTATGGTGTATTATTGCTGATACAAAAAAGCTGATACAAGCTGGATCATGTAAGATTCATACATCTGTCAAACTGCTGGACTGGGCCAGTACCAGGTGCTCCAAGCTCCCAGAACTCACTTAACCACTTAAGGACACATAACATGTGTGACATGTCATGATTCCCTTTTATTCCAGAGGTTTGGTCCTTAAGGGGTTAAACTAGTCTGAATTGTATTTTATGATTTTGTTTTTAAGACTGTATAATTGAGGTTATATTTATTTCATTTCCTCCATATCAGTATTAGATCTATCTACTTCTTATCTCCTGGATATCTACACCTTAGGGTGTTCTTAATTCTTTTTAACTTTTATAGGACTTGGTGAAATCCTACTTTTCCAGTTAGAGCGTATCCACTACACTGTTTTTATTCCCTCTCACAAAGTCTGTTGCTTTATCTTGGCAGCTTCAGATCTTTTGTTTAGAAACAAAAGTGATTTAACGACTAAATGGTAGAGAACTGAGCAACGAAACTTCACAGGCATGATATATACACTAAAACTGCTTCATTGAGCTAAAGTTATTTTGGGGACTATAGTGTCCCTTTAACTCTAATGGCAGTATTGAATATGTCTCTCTGATAAATAAATAACACTCTAATAATTCCACACTCTGCAGATTAACAGTACCACATAAAAAAAAAAACTCAGTCAGAACAATATTGAGTAAAGGATAAAAAAATGTAACTTTTTTTTCCCACAAAGTTGAAAGTACAATATTTTCAACTAGAAAGAGCCCAGTTACACCGTCAACCGTCAGTAATCAGTTTCTGAGTTCCCCACTGACACAGTAGGCCTGTGCATACGGAATATTGTTGTTAATATGTTTGAGTGGATGTGCAAATCCTAATGCGATATCTAGCTGTTTAACCTACCTGTATATATAGACATATTTCTCACGGTAGGAACCTCGACCCAGATGGTCAGATATCAGCAAGTTGTATGGTAAGCCAGTTGCTCTGCACATAAATAAATATAACAATTAGATAAATATAAATAACAATAAAAATATTTGCTATAGTCACTAAGGCACACCTCCCATATATTTTGGGAAGAGAGTCCCTGCCATTAGACATATATCCCCCTGTCACTTATCTCTATCCTAATGTCCCCTTATTCTGGGAGGTTTAGGTTTTAGCGATACAACGAGTTTATAGCAGAGAATCATATTTATTGAATATCCCAGTGATGTGTCTTTAAACAATAGATGTGTTTAGTAATTAGTTTGTATAAATAAGATGCTTAATCTACGTTGTATTTCCAGTTACATAAATGGTTATCAGTAGGCCAAGAAGCCCCATAAAATGGCCTCCAAGATCGCTGCCATGGTGACACCTCTAGCCACACCCACTAAAATGGCTGAATCCCTCTTTTTAGGAATACAGACCCCACTTTAATAAGTGCTCATCCATTCTTTGTTGTACCTTACAGATGTGGAGTTAGTTTGATAATTTCTACTCCTCTGGAAATGTTTCTATCGGCAAAGCCAGATTCAACAAATAAGAAGGATTTGGGAATTGTTAGAGACAACAAAATGGGAAATAATATGCAATGTCAATCAGCAGGTGCTATGGACAATACGTTATTGTTATACATAAAAAAGGACAATAAATCTCAGGATGAAAATATAATTTTGGGTCTTTCTAAATCAACAGTTATACCGTACCTTGACTATGCCATGCATTTTTGGGCACCTCTTCTAAAGGAAGGATATTTTGCCACTAGAAAAAAGGCAAAGGCTGACTACAAAATTAATAAAGGGAATGGAAGATTTTAGCTATGAGGAAAAAATAAATTTAGATTTGTTTCGTTTGGGTAAACAGCAACAAATTGGGACAAATTGCAATTTTGAAATAAAGTGCACAAGTAGAGTTTAAGGGGTGCATTCTCCCATCCAGAGTAAATTAATTTCACCTCACCCGAAAGCCCAGGTATGGTGCCAAAAACACAGTCCCAAAGTCAAGCATGATGTGTTTCCACTCAATTTCTCAGTCGATGCTTGTAAAAATATGAGTACTTACAGATTAAGTTCCTGTACAAGCCTCTTAATAGCTGAATCATTTGAATTCATTACTTCTTGGACTGCAATGAGTTCATATCTTCTCAGTATCTGTATTAGAATAGGAACAGACGCATTAGAATTGTTATAATTTTTTTGTAAAGTTTTAAAACGTTGAAAAACACCTTTTGGATGATATTTAAGTGTGTTAAGTGTGTCTGTTAAAAAAAAAAATCCTTCCATTTTATAGCAGACGGGATGCTGAAATTAGAATATTTACATCACTGTATTGAAATGACTGTGATTTAGAATGTAACTGTATCACGATTGGCTCAAAACACCAAACAGACAATCATAACATAGCTTTAAGTTATCATATTCTATCCCTACCATCAGCGTAATTACCAGGATAGTTTAAAATGTTACTGTAAAGAGCAAGACAGTCACAACATATAACTTTTACATTCATATCAATCATCTAGCAATGAGTATATAAAAAGCATTTATATTAATTGAGCCCTGAGTTCTAAAATGTGTTCGCAGTTTGCATTCAGAACGAAGATATCTTGAAATAAGAATTAAAAATCTTCTTGCGCGCTGGTAAATGAAATCTGGTTTTCTTTATGTACTTTTATATGAATACATACTGTTCTTTGGTAAATATAATAAAATCCATTTAGTAGAATGTGGCATTATAAATACGAATTATTCAAAATGGATATAGTGCAGCGACTAAAGGACAAGAGGATTATCACGCTAAGAAATATACGTTTACAGATATATGGAATTCTGGAATAATTGAAGGCCAGTTTCCTTTCAAATATAATATGATCTCCATGCTGGTAAATGGTGCAAAATTACTCAGACTTAATGCTTCCATATTTTTCCTGTTCTGTTAGGACATGATTTTTGTTTGTAAAATACCTACTGTGGCGAAGTGCCCTTCGCCACTTGTGCCTGGAGAGGACTGCTTGCCCGCCTCTTGCCCTGTGACTATGGCCCCTGGTTTGTATTGCCCTTTAAAGACATGATTTGGGCATAATGGATTTGTGTTGTGCTGCTGCTGGCCCTTTAAGAGCCATCTGGGGACATACTGTGGAATTACTGGGTGGCCACCATTTCCTGTATCAGAAGCACATGGTGAGAACAATGGATGGCGGCCATTTTAACTCACAGATACTGTTTGGACTTTTCAACACGGTGCCATCTTGCCAGTATTTGGTGCACAGAGACATCATGCAGTGGTTTTGGACTATACAGCAGGGGACACATTATACAGTGATTGTTTTTCATTTAGCCTGTATATGTTCTGCAGAATCTGCATTAAACTGTATCTTCCAAAGTACTGAACGGATCTGGGTGAATTTTGGATATGTGGTTCACCCAGATCCCCCGGTTCCAAGGATATACTTTTTATGGGGTTATTGCATGTTTTGGGGTCCCTGTGTGTTTTATGAAACTGTATTATTTCTGGCCAGCAGATAATTGAACTTTGTGTATTGTAGAAACTCAGTGATCTAGCCTGGCCCAGAGGAGGAGTTTTGTGTTGCATAAATTGTGAGTTCTGTGTGCCAGTAAATCAGTCTTGTTCCAGCATTAAGCCTTGGCTCATGTTTGGGGGATTGGAGAAATACACTCTGGGGATTGCTATAATCACTATACTCCCCAGGGTATGATCACTAAGTTCTGCTAAGAGCTTGTTCCTGCTCTCTGGGGAAAGAGAGGTTCACCCACTGGAAGCTGGATCCTGGCCTTGGGTCCAGGGTGGGTGGAGACAGCAGAGACGACTTGTGGAGTTGTGTGTGCTTGTGGATAATATGTAACATTGTGTGTTTGGTGGTTTGTAAATGTGTAGGGCTGTTTGTGGTATTGCATGCGAGAAGCTGCTTGTGGGGTTGTGTGTGTGTTTGTGTGTGCGCTATTTTTATTATTTGTATGAGAGGAGGCTTATTCTGCAGCTTTGTGAATATCTAGCAGTGTGGGTGGCTTCCCTGGGGTCCAGTGGGGAACGAGCTGGCCAGGTACAGGTCAAGTGCAGGAGCTACAATAGCTGCTGTGGGCTGCATTACTCCAGTGCAGATTCCCGTTCATAAGTGCTGGGAGGAAGTGATCTGAGATAATTCCTCTAAGTGCTGTAATACGTAAATTGAGGATTGTCTCTCACCATCTGCAATCACTGCTCAGTTTGCACTAGCAGATATCTGAAGTCCCACTGGGACTCCTGCTAGGCCAGATCCTTAAGTGCCATGCATGGCACGTGTGCCATAGGATGCTGACCCCTGTCCTAGACCATGGTCCATGAAATGTTTGGTGGCCTTATTGGCCAATGACATAATATTAATATACAATTATTACTGTTACAACCACATTTTAAATAACTTTGGTGATGTGCTTACCTGAATGAGAAGATTCAGAACAGTGGTATCCTCCACTTTAGGACTGTCGAACCTCTCAATATTGAAAGCAGCAATTTTAAATGCAAGGCCACCTTGCAGGGAACATACAGCGATAGCCAGTAGAATCAGGAACTTCATGACTCTCAAATATATGGAAGGAGAGAAGTTAATGTCAGTTTTTCCCAAAAGCTGAACTACAACACTATCATTGCTTATAACGAGTGCTGCAGTTGAATACATAGGTTTGTCTTAGCAAAGAAACATTAAGAATGTAGTGAGACTTTATCTATTTCATAGACATTAATCAAGGCAAATCCAAATAAGGCTTGAATACCTGCAGCAACATTTACCAATCTTGTCCGATATACAGAAACTCGTCATTAACCTCCGATGCTATATGTCTATAAATCCACCCAATTGACTCTACGTTTGGCCCGTTCACTCATAGCTATTCGCAGTCAGTGAACTGTGCTCTTGATACATATTTTGTTATGTTCTGAAACTCTAACTCTAAAGCTCCAGTATCCAATGTCATGCAATGGAACAATGTTGAGTTTTGTCTTTTTGGATTGTAAGAGGTTAAGCCAGTTTATGCTAGATTATTTGGCACTATATAGAACTGACACATACTGTACTGTACAAAGTGAAATAATTATATAGACTTCAGATTTTATTAATTATAATGATTTATTTTGTATTTATTTTGTATTTTTTTTACAATCCTAACTAGTTTACGTCATTTTTAGTTTTGGTGATGACATTGAAATACCCAGATCACAACCATAGTGGGCTAGCAACATGTTGACTTGCAAACATAGGATTTGGACTTCCACAGTCTAAACAGAATTGTCCTCTGAAAGCTAAATGCAATGAGATTCTGGGTTGAGATAATTATCATATTGGGTTTTCATTAAGATAAGCTGGTCTGGGGTTGACATTTTTATCTTTCATTAAAGGAACACTCGTAATCCCACAACAAATTCAGGTAATTAAAGTTGTTACATGGGTAGCGGTGTCTGGGCACCATCATAACTTCAGAAATTAAACCCTTCTCCAAAAGTTCAACCCAAAAGTTGGTCGCTTGATGACCCCTCACTTTCTTTCTCCAAGCTGCCATAAGCCATCTCCATTCCAATGATTCTTTAAATATAATTACCAAGAAAAGGGACATTTATCTCAGATTTATTAGCTTCTCGTAGATAGTAGAAGCAATAGTGTCTACAAAATCCAGAGACTATAGGAAAGAGATGTAAAACACACAATCTAGGACGTGAAGTGGAGACAGATCTATGTAACGTATATACTGTCGGTATTCACATTAAGAAAATTAAAAATATATAAATATAACCCAGAAAACAGAATGCTTCATAACCGTCAAATGTTTTTAATAGGCTACATATATCTCTGGGGAGATCTATCAGGGCAAAACAAGGGCTACCTTGGATGCAACGTGCTGTTTAGACACATTAGGGACAATTTATCATAATATTCTGTTCTAAAAAGTGGCTCCAAAAATGTAAAATGGAAAGAGTCACCAACAGAATGTGCCTGCTGGTTTCTTAGGTTTGCATGGATATTATCCAACTTTTAATAAATTAGATCACTTTTTAGAATGAAACACTTTGATAAATGTCCCCAATCTATTGGTTCCTATGGTAATTGCTCCATATTTAGCACTTTGTCCCAGACTAGCACATGTTTTTGCTTTGACGAATCTCCCCCCCATGGATTAATTTGCTATGAACGTAGAAATAGAATGTTTTGTTAATTAATACATTTATTTTTATGTATACATAAAATTGACGTTTATGGAAAGTTGCCTAACATGTACAGATGATATTTTCAAGTATAATCTATACCGATTCTAGTATTGTCTGATCATGCCAGCGTATTATCTAATGCCGCTATATTGTATGCTCATTTATATGATATGTTATCGAATGGATTCTGAAATAAAATGCTATTTAAAAAAACAACAAACATAAAAACGCTGAGCACACCTATGTTAAACCAAATTTCATGAGAATATTGACTTACCTGTTGTATTCCTCTCTACCAGATGGCTAGAGATAGAGGTACAATAAGAGTCCACAATCTTTTTAGTTGATGTTTTAAGCACTTTGCAGTAGAAACGTTTTATATAATGTCCAACCAAGCTGTGAGAGAAAATAAACTTTATGCCAGGTGTGGTTTTTTTATCCAGTAAACAAGCAGATTAATCAGTGTTTTCGAGGTCATCGAGTTGTTTGTGGGTGATTCTCAGACATAGCAGTTTGAGCTAATAACAGACAAACTCTATAACCATATTCTTCTGAAGGTCCTCCAAATCTTCAGCAATATATGTTTTCCAGATCATATCGTAGTTACTAAGTTGTATTAGGTTTATTTGAGGATTATTCTAATACATAAGCACAATGTATACTGTAGCATTTAAAGCAAAACGGTCACTCGTCACTAATGTTAATATTATTTTTACTTATCCAAATATATTTAGTAATTTGATCAGTGCTGCTAAGGTGGGTTTAGGGGGGCTGAAGCCTCAGATATGCGGCTTTTTATTTCCAGAACTCTGCAGCTGGTAGAAATAGGATTGTAGTACTTTTTCATATTTAATTTTACATCAGATTACTGCTTCTCATAGCAGCCGACTTTTATAAAACAATCGACCAGTAGTGTAGTGTTCTGTCAGCCTACGTGGAGGGAGGGAGTGGGCCTTTGCCGCACTCCCCTATATTAGTACTATATTGTGGTAATATAGATGAACAGCCTTGTTGGCAGTATAGATGATGTTACTTTTGGATCACAAGGCAGTCACAAACGTTTATAGGATTTTATGATTCCTTAACTTCTCCACATTTACACAACAGCATCTTATATTGGTCTTTTGCAGAGGCATCCAGTGAATTAGCTCAATATGACACAAGTTTACACAAGTTGACACAAGTTTAGTAGCCCTTCTCTGAACTCTCTCTAAAGCATCAATATCCTTCTGGAGATACGGTCTCCAGTACTGTGTACAATACTCCAAGTGAGATCTCACCAGTGTTCTGTACAATGGCATGAGCACTTCCCTCTTTCTACTGCTAATACCTCTCCCTATACAACCAAGCATTCTGCTAGCATTTCCTGCTGCTCTATTACATTGTCTGCCTACCTTTAAGTCATCAGAAATAATCACCCCTAAATCCCTTTCCTCAGATGTTGAGGTTAGGACTGTTATCAAATATTCTGTACTCTGCCCTTGGGTTTTTACACCCAAGATGCATTATCTTGCACTTATCCTAAGCACAGATAACAAGTAGAACTCGTTTGCAATATTGGTACATGCGTCAGAGGTCCTGCACTGTCCATCTGTATGGCTACAGAAAATTTTAACATCTCAGAGATTAAAAAATACACATACAGTCACAGGAAAAAGAACATACACCTTCTTTGAATTATAGGGGTGGGGGGACCTATAGTGTTAGGAATACATATTTGTATATTTGTATTCCTAACACTATAGAATCCCTTTAGGCTTTACCGTCAGACATAGTAGACCCTACTCTCTCTTATGGTATCTTTGAATTTTGGAGTAACAACCCCTGGATGTTGGGCTACGGTAACATCCCTAGGACGTACTTGGAAACCAGATTAATCACTATAGACACCTAAATTACTTTAGCTAAATAAAGCAGTTTTGGTGTATAGATCATTCCCCTGCAATTTCACTGCTCAATTTACTGTCATTTAGGAGTTAAATCACTTTGTTTCTGTTTATGCAGCCCTAGCCACACCTCCCCTGGCTATGATTGACAGAGCCTGCATGAAAAAAAAACTGGTTTCACTTTCAAACAGATGTAATTTACCTTAAATAATTGTATCTCAATCTCTAAATTGAACTTTAATCACATACAGGAGGCTCTTGCAGGGTCTAGCAAGCTATTAACATAGCAGGGGATAAGAAAATCTTAATTAAACAGAACTTGCAATAAAGAAAGCCTAAATAGGGCTCTCTTTACAGGAAGTGTTTATGGAAGGCTGTGCAAGTCACATGCAGGGAGGTGTGACTAGGGTTCATAAACAAAGGGATTTAACTCCTAAATGGCAGAGGATTGAGCAGTGAGGCTGCAGGGGCATGTTCTATACACCAAAACTGCTTCATTAAGCTAAAGTTCTTCAGGTGACTATAGTGTCCCTTTAAATACTTTTTTATTATTATATCATGGGAAGTTTAATTAAAGACAGTCTTGATCAGTAATTTGTAAAGAATTTATTTTCATGAATTACTAAAAATGTAACAGATCTGCTTTACTGTCACCTGCAAAGTATATGTTTAATATTATTGTGTATTTATTTTATTATTTGTGTTTTATGCAAACTAGTGATCCTATTGGATTACATAGAATCACAGACAGGCTGTGAGAATGATTCTTGCACACAGCATTATTTTGTATTTTAATTCATATTTTATTATTCACTGTAATAACATATTTAACAGCAACAGAGAGATTGGGCCAATCAAAACCGGTGAAGTTGGCGGACCAATGAAAACGCAGCATACATAGCGCTTACACGATTATAGCCAATCAGCGTGCCTGACAGGCAGCTTTGGCCCGCGTACACCCATCCAATCAGAGAGCAGGACTGTTGATGCTGCCAGCCAATAGGAACGCTGCTCTGGGTTTCTGCGCTAATAAGCTGTCTGTTGTGAAGAGGCGGAGGAATGGCGGGAGTAATGGAGTACAGGAAAGCTGCGGATCTGTATCATCGGTTAAAGGTGGGTATCGGCTGCCCATGGCGCCCACCGTCTGCCGGAGAAACCGGCTCCTTCTCGTTACCGGGTGACAGACCCAACCGAGCACTGATACCCACCGTCCATCGTGTAGCTCCGCCGGACTACATTACCCAGAAACTCCTGGCAGCTACTTCAATGGCTGAGCATCATGGGAAATGTAGTCCGTGGCCACAGAGTGTCAGAGGTTAACCAGTAAGAGTGTTAGAGGATAACTGTCACTGCAGCAGCAATATACACAGTGAGCCTGGCAGCCACAATAATATTAATACTAATAATAATAATACAGTGTATAATACAGGAATAATAATAATACTAATACAGTGTATAATACAGGAATAATAATAATACTAATAATAATATAGTGTATAATACAGGAATAATAATAATACCGTGAATAATACAGGAATAATAATAATAATACAGTGTATAATACAGGAATAATAATAATACTAATACAGTGTATAATACAGGAATAATAATAATACCGTGAATAATACAGGAATAATAATACTAATAATAATACAGTGTATAATACAGGAATAATACTAATAATAATAGTGTATAATACAGGAATAATAATAATACTAATACAGTGTATAATACAGGAATAATAATAATACTAATAATAATATAGTGTATAATACAGGAATAATAATAATACCGTGAATAATACAGGAATAATAATAATAATACAGTGTATAATACAGGAATAATAATAATACTAATACAGTGTATAATACAGGAATAATAATAATACTAATAATAATATAGTGTATAATACAGGAATAATAATAATACCGTGAATAATACAGGAATAATAATAATACCGTGAATAATACAGGAATAATAATACTAATAATAATACAGTGTATAATACAGGAATAATAATAATACTAATACAGTGTATAATACAGGAATAATAATACTAATAATAATATAGTGTATAATACAGGAATAATAATAATACCGTGAATAATACAGGAATAATAATACTAATAATAATACAGTGTATAATACAGGAATAATAATAATACTAATACAGTGTATAATACAGGAATAATAATACTAATAATAATATAGTGTATAATACAGGAATAATAATAATACCGTGAATAATACAGGAATAATAATAATAATAATACAGTGTATAATACAGGAATAATGATAATACTAATAATAATACAGTGTATAATACAGGAATAATAATAATACCGTGTATAATACAGGAATAATAATAATACAGGAATAATAATACCAATAATAATACAGTGTATAATACAGGAATAATAATAATACTAATAATACAGTGTATAATACAGGAATAATAATAATACAGTGTATACTACAGGAATAATAATAATACAGTGTATAATACAGGAATACTAATAATAATAATACAGTGTATAATACAGGAATAATAATACAGTGTATAATACAGGAATACTACTAATAATAATACAGTGTATAATACAGGAATACTAATAATACAGTGTATAATACAGGAGTAATACTAATAATAATACAGTGTATAAAACAGGAATAATAATACAGTGTATAATACAGGAATACTAATAATAATAATACAGTGTATAATACAGGAATACTAATAATACAGTGTATAATACAGGAATACTAATAATAATAATACAGGAATAATAATACAGTGTATAATACAGGAATACTAATAATACAGTGTATAATACAGGAATAATAATACAGTGTATAATACAAGAATAATAATACAATGTATAATACAGGAATACTAATAATACAGTGTATAATACAGGAGTAATACTAATAATAATACAGTGTATAATACAGTGTATAATACAGGAATAATAATAATAATACAGTGTATAATACAGGAATACTAATAATACAGTGTATAATACAGGAATAATACTAATAATAATATAGTGTATAATACTAATAATATAGTGTATAATACAGGAATGATAATATAGTGTATAATACAGGAATAATAATACTAATAATAATACAGTGTATAATACAGGAATAATAATAATACAGTGTATAATACAGGAATAATAATACTAATAATAATACAGTGTATAATACAGGAATAATAATAATAATACAGTGTATAATACAGGAATAATAATACTAATAATAATATAGTGTATAATACAGGAATAATAATAATACAGTGTATAATACAGGAATAATAATACTACTAATAATATAGTGTATAATACAGGAATAATAATAATAATACAGTGTATAATACAGGAATAATACTAATAATATAGTGTATAATACGGGAATAATAATAATACAGTGTATAATACAGGAATAATACTAATATAGTGTATAATACGGGAATAATAATACAGTGTATAATACAGGAATAATACTAATAGTGTATAATACGGGAATAATACTAATATAGTGTATAATACAGGAATGATAATATAGTGTATAATACAGGAATAATAATACTAATATAGTGTATAATACAGGAATGATAATACATTGTATAATACAGGAATACTAATAATATTAATAATACAGTGTATAATACAGGAATAATAATAATACAGTGTATAATACAGGAATACTAATAATAATAATACAGTGTATAATACAGGAATAATACTAATAATAATATAGTGTATAATACGGGAATAATACTAATACAGGAATGATAATATAGTGTATAATACAGGAATAATAATACAGTGTATAATACAGGAACAATAATACAGTGTAAAATACAGGAATGATAATACATTGTATAATACAGGAATACTAATAATAATAATACAGTGTATAATACAGGAATAATAATACTAATAATAATATAGTGTATAATACAGGAATACTAATAATATAGTGTATAATACAGGAATAATAATATAGTGTATAATACAGGAATAATAATACTAATATAGTGTGTAATACAGGAATAATAATAATACAGTGTATAATACAGGAATAATAATACAGTGTATAATACAGGAATACTAATAATATAGTGTGTAATACAGGAATAATAATAATACAGTGTATAATACAGGAATAATAATACAGTGTATAAAAACAGGAATAATAATAATATAGTGTATAATACAGGAATAATAATACAGTGTATAATACAGGAATAATAATAATACAGTGTATAATACAGGAATAATAATACTAATAATAATATAGTGTATAATACAGGAATAATAATAATACAGTGTATAATACAGGAATAATACTAATAATATAGTGTATAATAATACAGTGTATAATACAGGAATACTAATAATAATAATACAGTGTATAATACAGGAATAATACTAATAATAATATAGTGTATAATACGGGAATAATACTAATACAGGAATGATAATATAGTGTATAATACAGGAATAATAATACTAATATAGTGTATAATACAGGAATAATAATAATACAGTGTATAATACAGGAATGATAATACATTGTATAATACAGGAATACTAATAACAATAATACAGTGTATAATACAGGAATAATAATACTAATAATAATATAGTGTATAATACAGGAATACTAATAATACAGTGTATAATACAGGAATAATAATATAGTGTATAATACAGGAATAATAATACTAATATAGTGTGTAATACAGGAATAATAATAATACAGTGTATAATACAGGAACAATAATAGTGTATAATACAGGAATAATAATAATACAGTGTACAATACAGTGTAATACAGGAATAATACAGTGTAATACAGGAATAATAATACAGTGTATAAAAACAGGAATAATAATAATAATAATAATATAGTGTATAATACAGGAATAATAATACAGTGTATAATACAGGAATAATAATACTAATAATAATATAGTGTATAATACAGGAATAATAATACAGTGTATAATACAGGAATAATAATACTAATAATAATATAGTGTATAATACAGGAATACTAATAATACAGTGTATAATACAGGACTAATAATAATAATACAGTGTATAATACAGGAATACTAATAATACAGTGTATAATACAGGAATAATACTAATAATAATAATAGTGTATAATACAGGAATACTAATAATACAGTGTATAATATAGTGTATAATACAGGATCAATAATATAGTGTATAATACAGGATCAATAATATAGTGTATAATACAGGATCAATAATACAGTGTATAATACAGGAATGATAATAATATAGTGTATAACACAGGAATAATAATACTAATATAGTGTGTAATACAGGAATAATAATAATACAGTGTATAATACAGGAACAATAATACAGTGTATAATACAGGAATAATAATATAGTGTATAATACAGGAATAATAATAATACAGTGTATAATACAGGATCAATAATACAGTGTATAATACAGGAATGATAATACTAATATAGTGTATAATACAGGAATAATAATAATACAGTGTATAATACAGGAATAATAATACAGTGTATAATACAGGAATACTAATAATAATATTAATACAGTGTATAATACAGGAATAATAATACAATGTAATACAGGAATAATAATAATACAGTGTATAATACAGGAATAATAATAATACAGTGTAATACAGGAATAATAATACAGTGTATAATACAGGAATAATAATACAGTGTAATACAGGAATAATAATACAGTGTATAATACAGGAATACTAATAATAATAATACAGTGTATAATACAGGAATAATAATACAGTGTATAATACAGGAATAATAATATAGTGTATAATACAGGTACAATACAGGAATACTAATAATATTAATAATACAGGAATAATAATATAGTGTGTAATACAGGAATAATAATAATACAGTGTAATACAGGAATAATAATAATACAGTATATAATACAGGAATACTAATACAGTGTATAATACAGGAATACTAATAATATTAATAATACAGTGTATAATACAGGAATAATAATAGTGTATAATACAGGAATAATAATAATATAGTGTATAATACAGGAATAATACTAATAATAATATAGTGTATAATACAGGAATAATAATATAGTGTATAATACAGGAATAATAATAATATAGTGTAATACAGGAATAATAATATAGTGTATAATACAGGAATAATAATAATACAGTGTATAATAAAAGAATAATAATACAGGAATAATACTAATATAGTGTATAATACAGGAATAATACTACTAATAATACACTGTATAAAACAGGAATAACAATACAGTGTATAATACAGGACAAATAATACAGTGTATAATATGAAATAATACTAATAATAATACAGTGTATAATACAAGAATAATAATACTAATATAGTGTATAATATGGAATAATAATACTAATATAGTGTATAATACTAATATAGTGTATAATATAATACTAATAATACTAATAATATAGTGTAAAATACAGGAATAATAATATTAATATAGTGTATAGTGGACTACATTACCCTTCAAACCCCTGGCGGCTACTTCAATGGCTGAGCATCATGGGAAATGTAGGCCGTGCCCACAGAGTGTCAGAGGTTAACCAGTAAGAGTGTTAGAGGATAACTGTCACTGCAGCAGGAATAATAATACTAATAATTATACAGTGTATAATACAGAGATAATACTAATACAGTGTATAATACAGGAATAATACTACTAATAATATAGTGTATAATACAGGAATAATAATAATACAGTGTATAATACAGGAATAATACTAATAATAATACAGTGTATAATACAGGAATAATACTAATAATATAGTGAATAATACTAATAATACAGGAATAATAATACAGTGTATAATACAGGAATAATACTAATAATATAGTGTATAATACAGGAATAATAATACTTATACTAATACAGTGTATAATACAGGAATAATAATATAGTGTATAATACAGGAATAATAATACTAATAATAATACAGTGTATAATACAGGAATAATAATACTAATAATATAGTGTATAATACAGGAATAATACTAATATAGTGTATAATATGGAATAATATTATATAATGTAAAATACAGGAATAATACTAATATAGTGTATAATATGGAATAATATTAATACTAATATAGTGTATAATACAGGAATAATATGGAATAATACTAATATAGTGTATAATATGGAATAATAATATAGTGTATTATACAGAAATAATATGGAATAATACAGTGTCTAATACAGGAATAATATGGAATAATACTAATATAGTGTATAATATGGAATAATAATATAGTGTATTATACAGAAATAATATGGAATAATACAGTGTCTAATACAGGAATAATATGGAAAATAGTGTATAATATGGAGTAATATAGTGTATTATACAGAAATAATATGGATTAATACAGGAATAATATGAATTCATATAGTGTATTATACAGAAATAATATGGAATAATACAGTGTATTATACAGAAATAATATGGAATAATATAGTGTATTATACAGGAATAATATGGAATAATAGTGTATTATACAGGAATAATACAGTGTATAATACAGAAATAATATGGATTAATCCAATGTATTATACAGGAATAATATGGAATAATACAGTGCATTATACTGGAATAATACAGTGCATTATACTGGAATAATATGGATTACTATAGTGTATATTATACAGTGATTAATATTGTGTATTATTCAGAAATAATATGGAGTAATATAGTGTATTGTACAGAAATAGTATGGATTAATATAGTGTATAATACGGAAATAAGATGGAATAATATAGTGTATTATAAAGTGATTAGAGAATGAGGGGGCACGGCTGTACACTGACAGTTAAAATGTTGCATTGTGGGGGTTAGTGGGGCTACCCCACAGCATGCTGAAATAATATAGAATAATATAGGATATTATAAAGTGATTAGAAAATGAGGGGGCGCGGCTGCCCACTGACAGTTAAAATGTTGCATTGTGGGGGTTAGAGAGGTTACCCCCTGCATGCTGAAATAATATTAATTAATATAGTGTATTATACAGTGATTCGAGAATGAGGGGGCACGGCTGCCCACTGACCGGTGAACTGTTGCATTGTGGGTATTAGAAGGACTACCTCCTGCATGCTGGCATGGTTTATTTAGGGTTGGAAGATTCCCCGCCATGTTTGCCTGGACAGGTACTTGGGGATCTCATTCAGTCTGGTTCTAATGAATGGGTATGTGTGTTGCATCTGGTGATTGAATAGCAGAGGCAATATGGCTAGACTGCCATTTATAATAATTTTATAAATGCTATCTTTACGTATTGTCCGATACATGCAGGCATAGGCTATGAAAGGACATTTCCCTGCACTATAGTTACATTCTTTAATTCATTGTACCATTAAATTGGGTTATAGTAACAATCCCTGGATGTTGGGCTTTCCCCAGAACGTACTTGAAAACCAGAGTAATCTGAATGTACCTTTCCTGGTTAACCCCTTAAGGACCGAGGACGGTTCAGGACCGTCATCGGCATTTTTGCCTTGGCGACCGATGACGGTCCTGAACCGTCCAAACGGTCTGGGGGTACTTACCTGATCGCCGTCGTTCCCCCGGCGGCGATCAGTGTTCCTCCGGTTGTGGGGAGACTGCCTGCAGCCCAGACAGTCTCCCCACGGCAGATTAGGACCCCTGTGGCCATGTGATCGCTTAACACAGCGATCACATGGTCACAATAGGTGTCCATAGTGCTGCCTGCAGGGGGACTGCCTGTGCTGACAGGCAGTCTCCCTGCAACTGTAAAATCAGAAAAAAAATTAAAGTTAATGGTAATAAAAAAAATAATAATAATTATATATGTATAAATATGATATATAGACATATATTATATCTATATAATATATGTCTATATATCATATATATAATGTCATACTAAGTGTATTTTTATATTAATATGTACTTATATTAATATAAAAATACACTTATAATTAAATTACACACGTATATATATAATATATATAATAACTATATATATTGTATATATATATTATTATAAAATATAAATAATAAGTAATTTAAATTAAATAAATTTTTTTTTAAATAATAATAAAAATTTTAAAAAAAATTATATAGCTATATGAAATTTTATTCTAACTGTATTTTAAAATTAATATATATATATTTATATCAAAATACACTTAGAATGAATTTGTATATATATCTATGTATATAAAAATAAATAAAAATAATAAGAAATATACATACGTCCATATACAAAATTACATAAATAATTATATAAATATACACGTAGACTTCAAATATATAAATATGCATATATATTTAAATTCTACGTGCGTATTTATGTAATATTTTTACATAATTCAGTAATTTTATTGATTGCAATTTGAGGGACCTGCCTGCCAACCCAGGCCGAAATTCCAGAGAATTTAATTTGCTAGCACTGTATTTTACCCTGTAACGTTCTACGACACCCTAAAACCTGTACATGGGGGGTACTGTTTTACTCGGGAGACTTCGCTGAACACAAATATTAGTGATTCAAAACAGTAAAACATATCACAGCGATGATATTGTCAGTGAAAGTTACTTTTTTTGCATTTTTCACACACAAACAGCACTTTTACTGATGATATAATTGTTGTGATACGTTTTCCAGTTTTTAAACACTAATATTTGTGTTCAGCGATGTCTCCCGAGTAAAACAGTACCCCCCATGTACAGGTTTTATAGCATTTTTGAAAGTTACAAGGTCAAATATATGGGTCAAATATTTTTACATTGAAAATGGCCAGGTTGGTTACGTTGCCTTTGAGAGCGTATGGTAGCCCAGGAATGAGAATTACCCCCATGATGGCATACCATTTGCAAAAGAAGACAACCCAAGGTATTGCAAATGGGGTATGTCCAGTCTTTTTTAGTAACCACTTGGTCACAAACACTGGCCAAAATTAGCGTTCAATTTAGTTTTTTTACTTTTTTCACACACAAACAAATATGAATGCTTACTTTGGCCAGTGTTTTCGACTAAGTGGCTACTAAAAAAGACTGGACATACCCCATATTGAATACCCTGGGTTGTCTACTTTAAAAAAAATATGTACATGTGGGGTGTTATTCAGAGATTTATGACAGATAATAGTGTTACAATGTCACTATTGATAAATTTTAAAAATGTATGTTTTGAAACCGCAATATCCTACTTGTACCTATAGCCCTATAACATGCAAAAAAAAGCAAAAAAGCACGTAAACACTAGGTATTTTTAAACTCAGGACAAAATTTTGAATCTATTTAGCAGTTTTTTTCATTCGCTTTTGTAGATGAGTAAAAGATTTTTCAAGTAAAAGTCAAAAAACATGTATTTTTTTCAATTTTTCATCAGATTTTTGTATTTTTTTTAAATTAAAATACATGAGATTATATAAATAATGGTATGTAAAGAAAGCCCATTTTGTCCTGAAAAAAACAATATATAATTTGTATGGGAACAGTAAATGAGAAAGCGGAAAATTACAGCCAAACACAAACACCACAAAAGTGTAAAAATATTCCTGGTCGCAAATGTACAACATCGCAAAAACAGTCCAGTCCTTAAGGGGTTAAATACTTTATTATTATTATTATTATTATTGTATTTGCAAATGGTATTTATTTTAGTATTGGTGATGAATGGGTATTGTTGCATATTCTGACTTTGATCTCCTGGAAAAGTGGAACTTATTTTTAAAGAACTGCAGAATCCCACATCTCTGCATCATGCCTGAAATTGCTTCTTTTTTGTATTTTAGGACACATTAATTTGTACACTTGCACAGGTTCTTTGCATCATTCAGTAGTCCTTTTTATTTATCATTTTGCGTGGTAAGAACACATTAGCCCTCTGTGCACTTTTACAGTGGGAAAGAAAATGTGAAAAAGTAGTGTTAATCCCAGGCATAATATGGATAGTTTTTGATTCCCTAACAAGTTAGTATAGGATGCCTTGCTCTCAAAGTCAGCTCATTACATTAATACTTGCAGTGCTCTGTGCACTTATGAAGAAGTGGCCAAGTATTTAGAGCATCATGGCAACAATTACCCTGAATACAGAAGTACCACTGAGGTAATTGTTTTTGTCCTCACAGTGCTTTATTAGTATTTACTGGTGTAAGGGAACAATGTACTGGCTTTCCCACTTAAGTGACAATTTTTTTTTTTTTTAGTGGACTCCAACCACCAGATCCACTATAGCTTTATGTAGTAGTTCTGGTACTAAAGCAAGTCCCTGCCATCTAACAAACACTGCCAGTGTGTAGTATACAGAGCCATATATAGCTTCCAAGACAGTTTTGTCTAATTTTGTTGTATGACACACACTGCCCCTCTTCTGAGAAATAGCAGTGTTTTCACTTTTGTCCCTAAGAATACCTCTAGTGGCTGTCACCCAGACAGCCCCAGATGTGCTTCCTGTTGCTGTCCTGCAATTTTTGCAGGACTGATGTTCAGCATCGTCACACATGTTGTTATAGAGCTGTATTGAGCTAATGCATCTCTGTGTGGAGACACTGGATGGTGCAGCATGGTGTCAGCAGCACATATGGTCACCCAGTGATTTTCTGCTGAAAAACATTGATATGGCTGATATCACCGATAATCTCAATTTGGGAGGAGTGGCAGACAAATGGTGAGCAACCTTTTTTTTTAATTTTAAACTTTAAAATGGCAGCTTTAAAAATTAAAGGGGCACTATAGTCTCCAGAACAACTACAGCTTATTGTTTTTGTTCTGATGAGTAGAATCATTCTCTTCAGGCTTTTTGCTGTAAACACTGTCTTTTCAGAGCAAATACAGTGTTTACACTGCATCCTAGGGATACCTCCACTGGCCACTCCTTTACTGCTAGAGGTGTTTCCTATTGCAGTGACTGTGCAGCACTGCCACTCAGTGTCTTCACCCTCTGCATGGAGACACTGAAATTTCCTCATTGAGATGCATTGATTCAATATATATCTGAGGAGATGCTGAATGGTGAGGTCTGTGTTTGGCTTGTGCTGGCTCTACTGAACTGCTTCCTTGCCCTTCTCAGCCAATCTAATGCTTTCCTATAGGAAATCATTGTGATTTGGCTTAGATCAACACTTCTGATGTCAGCCAAGCAGGCAGATCAGAGGCACAGCCAGCAGCAGCAGACTGCAATAAAAGTAAGATGTTACTGTATTAGGGAGTGGGGGGGGGGAGCTAGTTTTTACTCTATAGGGTCAGGAATACATGTTTGTGTTCTTGACCATATAGTGTTCCTTTTAAAGTATACATGTAGCACAATTTTTATTTATGTTTCATAATACAAATAAGGACTGAGTAACACCATCATGAGTGCAATGTAGATGTGTATGAACTCTGCAACCTGTTCTTCAAGTATTTTAAATGTCCTTCTGTCCCTGCTTCTTCTGTGTTTAACAGGTTTTGTTTTGTTTATCTTATGTTCTTTGTACTGATCCTGCAGGTTATGTCATGCCCATGTCTGGAGGGTATTTATCTGACAGAGCCTCAGAATATGTATGACTTGCTCTGCACTCCTTCTGCTCATCGCCTGGACATCTTGGAGTGGATATGCACAAGGTAATAACTCTCTGCTTTCCAATATCTATTTTTCCAACTTATCACATAAATATAATGTGAAACACTGCTACACTCTAGCAGTAATTACCTTGCAGGGTTAACTCAACCTCTAGTGGCTGTCTACTAGACAGCCACTAGAGGGCACTTCCTGGTCCATAGCACAGAAAACCTGTGCTAGAGCATCGCTGGACGTCCTCACGCTGTGAGCTTTCCTATGCAGAGCTTTAATGCGCATTAGGTCTCCGCGACATGCGGGATCAGTCTCTCCCACCTGTCGACGTAGGAGGAGCATGGGCAGAGCTGAGTCAGCGCTGAGGGACATCGGCACTGGACCCAAGTAAGTGACAGAATGGTGATGGGCCTTGATAGAAGGGGAAGCTACAGTGCCAGGAAGACAAGTTTGTTTTCCTGGCACTATAGTTTCCCTTTAATTCAGAAATTGCAGATAACCGTATCTTGGTGGAAACCAGATGGCAATCTCAATACAATCTCTACCAATCTTTATACTAGTGACCAAATTACAACAGCTGCCTGCAGGAAATGATGTGTTAAAATGGCACAGTAAGCAGATAAAGCTCCTTGTAGTGGTTATGGTGCAAATAGCCCTTGGTTACTGTCTCCCAAGTTTGTGTCAGACCATTTTTTGAGATATGGCCAAATGGTGGACTTTTGTGACCCCTCTGAATTGAACTTCAGTGTTGGCAATACATCAAACTTTGGATGACAAAAATAGGTTAAGTTGGGGTCGTTGTCTGGTTTCTCTGACATCTCCATAAATACAAGCCTTAACACAAAGAACATCAAATTAATGTGCAGTCTAGTAACTTTTTTCACCTCATTGTGTGTGTATATGTTTAGTTATATAGATTTTAAAGTCTTCATTGTGCTATTGATACAATATTACGCTAAAATCAAGTCCACATATAAAGAACAATTTTGTTTATAAATTGCAGCTCAAGAAGCAATATCGCACTTAATTTGCTTTATCTTTGTAGAGATTTGCTACTTATCATGCTGCAGGAATTCTCATAAAAAAATGGAATGTGTTTTCTTACAGAGTATATCCACCTCTTCAAGACCAGTTGTCTTCTTTAAAAGAATCCCAAGTGGATGTTAAAGTGAAAGGTATTTTTTTTTTTTTTTTTTTTTTGTTAAATATGATTACAGAAGACAATGCTTATAAATATAAATCGTTTGTACAAAGTTATGATTTAAAATATTGATGGAGTGTGCTAGTGTTGTCATAACTGTACACATCACACACAGTGAAACTGAGATCTAAAGAATCTGTTTGGATTATATTAAGGTTTCTCAGTAAGTCTGTCCAGCACAGAAACATGTGGGAAAAAAAAAATTAAAATATCTGCATGCATCATCAAAAATCATGTTTCCAGACTTCCGCAGTTCAGTTTTCGTGTGTCCATGCTCTGGAACCTGGCGTGCTTTTCTGCTGCTGTCGCCCAACAGCTTCAAAGTTTGACATGCTTACAGTATTCACCAATTTAATCACAGCAGTGCATAGTTACATAGTTACATAGCTGAAAAGAGACTTGCGTCCATCAAGTTCAGCCTTCCTCAGATTTGTTTTTTGCTGTTGATCCAAAAGAAGGCAAAAAAACCCAGTTTGAAGCACAATTTTGCAACAAGCTAGGAAAAAAATTCCTTCTTGACCCCAGAATGGCAGTCAGATTTATCCTTGGATCAAGCAGTTATTACCCTACGTTGAAAGATTATATCCTTGAATATTCTGTTTTTGCAAGTATGCATCTAGTAGCTGTTTGAACATCTGTATGGATTCTGATAAAACCACTTCTTCAGGCAGAGAATTCCACATCCTGATTGTTCTTACAGTAAAAAAACCTTTCCTTTGCCTTAGGCGAAATCTTCTTTCTTCCAGTCTAAACGCATGGCCTCGTGTCCTATGTAAAGTCCGGTTTGTGAATAGATTTCCACACAATGGTTTGTATTGGCCCCGAATATATTTGTATAATGTTGACTTTAAAATTCCAAATTACGCAAAGTTAAAGGAATTGTGATGTGGCGCCATGAAATTAAAGAGCAATAGGAATACAAATATGTATTTGAAAAGCTATAGTGTTCCTCTATCTTTCTTCCCTCGACACGCTGGTCTCGCAGTGGCCACTCCATTTCCATGGTAAGCCAGTGCTTTCTCATAGGAAAGCATCGGGCGGATGGTGCACATGAGTAACAAATCTACGCATTGCGCATATCAAATGCTGCTCAAAGAAGCGCCTCTAGTTGGCTGTTGGGAAGATGGCCACTAGAGGTATGTTTAATCCTACAAAACGTGTTAAAATGAAAGGGCCACTGCACCTAGAACATCTAACTGAATGTGCTTAACAAATCAGTTAAGTGAATATTATTCTAACAGAACTTGCACTCAAAACGAACCACAGAAAAAGTAGAATAAATTGGAATGCTTTAATTACAGTAATAAATTGTGTTAAACGCACACTTTTAAATTTATATCTACAGCAAACAGATCTATATCTGTGCATTGTGACTCATAAAACCTACAATGGATAAGATCACATCTTGCTATTAGAACGTGCAATGTGTATAGTATTTTATTCTGTATATTAATCTAATCTTTTGCTTGGCAGAAATGGTGAGGCTTGGCTTTGAACTTCTGCTTTGCAGTTCTGATGACATGGACCTTATTAAGGTAAGATTTATTTTATTTTTTATTTTTTTCTGTTTTGCTTGTATTTAATATAGTTGAAGTGAACTTGTTGGGATGAGCCTTTTTTTTTGCTGTGCACCGAGATAGATATAGATATAGATAGATAGAGATATATAGAGAGAGATAGATAGATAGATAGATAGATAGAGAGAGATATAGATATATATATATATATATATATATATATATATATATATCTCTATCTCTCTCTATATATATATATATATATATATATATATATATATATATATATATATATATATATATATATCTCTCTCTCTCTCTCTCTCTCTCTCTCTCTCTCTCTCTCTCTCTCTCTCTCTCTCTCTCTCTCTCTCTCTCTCTCTCTCTCTCTCTATATATATATAGGAGAGAGTATATAGGCATATATATATATATACATATATATATATATATATATATATATATATATATATATATATATATCTATCCCCAACAAATTCTGCAGCACTATACAATGGGTGCACTAACATGTAAATTGTAACCAGACAAGTTTGATGCACAGAAACAGAGGGGTTGAAGGTCCTGCTTAAGTTGGGCCTAAGGAAGTGGACAGCCATCCAGTTAGAAATAGCAGAGAGGCAGTCAGACACTTGTCAAGAGGGGCGGGGAAAGAAATTTGCTTGTCATCCGCATAGAAGTGATATTGGAAGCCAAAGAAGCTGATGAGTTTAGGCAATATAGATGGAGAACAGTAGGGGACCAAGGACTGAACCTTGGGGGACCCCAACAGAGAGGTTGGGAGAAAGAGGCAGAGCCAGAGAAAGAGACACTAAAAGAGCACTATGAGTGAGGTGGTGCAGATGTAATTTTGCATCACATACATTTTCCTATACCTTTTGTGTTTAGAGCCACTCTTTTCAAAGCATGAACACAGACACATGGATGGATAATGAAGTGACATTTACTTGTTGTGATCTAATAAGCTGGAGGGGGTTAGATTTGGTACTAGGAATCCCTTGGTTTTTGCAAAAAAGAATTGAGTAGTTTGATAAAACTGGAAGGACTTTAACTTTCCTAAAACCATACTACAATAATGCTGTAGTGCATATAGTCCTTGGAGTGTCACTATGCAATATTTTAATAGAAAACATAACTGGTGTAAATTATAGACAAGAAAGATAGAGGTCCCCCTGAGGATAATACTCCCCTAGGAAGAATTAAGTAAGAATAAACACAAAAAACCCTATATAAACATACTCTCTCTATATATACTGTACCTCGTGGTAAGCGAAAGTTTCAAAAAAAGTGCCACCTTAACTCAACCAATGCTGTTATGATTGGGAAAGATTCCTTTATTCGATGCTTGGATAAGTAAAAAGTGGCTTATCTCCTAAATGTCTACCATAATCCAGGGTATATAAACTAGATACTTATAACGTGAAAAGGATCAAAATGTGTCCAGGGTAATATAGGGATGTAGAGGATAATTCTTTGCTGCATATATAGGATCCTAAGCACCCTTTAGACACAAGTGAGACAATGTTTCCACTAGTACAAAGTTACAGAAAGTAACCAATATTAATGTGACTTACAACCTCATTAATACTTGAACTAAATGGGGGAACAGCGATAGTCCTAACAGAGAATCTGTCCTGATCAAAATAATGAGTGCAAGAGAGGGAGAGGAGAGGATGGGGGAATCTCAGAGAAATGGATGTTTCCACACTAGATGATAACCAGAATATCCTGATAGTAAATACCCCCAAGTGGACAATACAAAAAGGTTTGGCGTGCTGTCCCAAGGTATTAGAGACGGGTATCTTTGGACTTTTGGTATTGTCCATTTGGGGGTATTTACTATAAGGCTATTATGGTTATCATGAATTTAACAAAGTTGGTTAAATAGTCCAGTTGACTTAGTGCTGTGTTGTCAGATTTCAGTAATGGAGCTATGCATCTACATTCTTTTCTACACATGTTCAGATGATAGACATTATTGATGAACACTGCCTGTCTCTGCACACACGGCTTGTTTAAGCAAAACAAATGCGTGTTTATACTTATAAAAAAGGGAGTTGGGGGCACACTCGGAACATGCATTCCTTAGTAGTAGTCTGCCATAAAGACCAAAATATGTATACAGATTGGGAAACGGCGCACACAAAGAAAACACTCAGTCAGAGTACCCCAATATTGGTGGGACGTACACTAATTTTAACATGGGAGATTTACATGATAACTTGCAATACATACAGCTTAAACTTATTCTTGTGGACGGGTGGGTTGTTCAGCCCATTAGGAATCTGGCCTTGATTTCAATTCTACATAGACATGCATGTTCTGGGTGTGCCATCAATACCCTTTTTTTCTAAGTAGTGGTGCTGCCGTAAAGACCAAAATATACAAAATACAGATAAAGAACAGCGCAAAAATAGTTTTACACTTTACGAGGCCACTTAAAACCACCCATCTTGGCAAACCTATATGGGGATTCAGTTACACCATATGGCCATATTGTGTTAAGCCTGCCACTACATCACTTAGTGGATTATACACCAACTTTAACATGGGGGATTAACATTCTAACTGCAATACTTAGTGCTTAAACTACTGTAAGTAGCCTTGTAAAGAGAGAGAGAGAATGTGTGTGTGTGTGTGTGTGTGTTCGTTCCCGCATGTCCAATGCCCCAGCGTGTGTTCAAACAATATACTGCAACACTTTTTTTTTTATTTATTTTTTTATTTTTTTCAAAAAATGCCACCTAAATCTATTTCTTGCAGGGGCTTGCAAGCCCACAGAAGCAGCTTTCCTTCTTCGGCCAATTAATGGACATCATTCAGAATCCTGGAACACTTGCAAGTAACTTGACGGCACAGCCTGTTTCTCTTGGGTAATGCAAATTGATTTTAAATCAAAATTGTACCTCTTGTTGTAAAAGACAACAAACATATGAAAATGACTTTGCGACAAATGCTGCATTTACTGATTAATCTGATCTTTAGTGGTTCTGTTCCATAAAGAACTGTCCTCCTCCTTTAATGAGTGCAGAGACTTCCTATCTCTGTTCAATTGACAGGAAGTTACAGTTCTAAGGTTTATAGGAAGCAGATAGTAAGGCCTACATTGAAAGTAATTGTTCTTTGAGGGGTTAAATAGACATGGTCCACTTGAAAGAACTATTGCTTTAAGGCTTAGTTTCTATATACTTCCAATGTATTTAGATTAGAGAATGTCCTGTGGTATGATTGCAAAAAGGTAGTAGTGGTAGTTTGCCTAAAACCTCATTTGTTTTTATTTTGACATTGTCAGTCCATTTTCCAAGTTGGCATAGAGGAATGATTGTGATGGCAAGGCTTACTCTTGAAGCTGCACTGTCGATTTTAAGTTCTTTACAATTTTTGCTCTCCATGGTGAAATGTTTGCTTACACAATGGCGCTCCGTAGGAGAATGTGTCTACCATAAAGCAGCTATACTTCCTTGAGTTTGGGATCTTGCTGCTTAATCTTGCTAGACACTCTCATTTATCTAGGATGTTTAAAAATTTTAACAAAAGGCAACGAAGTGCATTATTTTTATTTATTCATTTTTTATATTGCACGTTCTCCTGTAAATGTAATACAAATGTAACTTTTTCCTTTCTCAAAAAAAATGTTCTCGGTAGTGATATAATGTACATTGGCTACACGTAATGCGGAGATCCGCTAGCAGTTGTGGCACACATGGTGAGCTCTGAGCAATGAAACCCTGTACATTAATAAATATTATCTATAATCAAAGACGACTTTCAAAAAGAAGCACTGTAAAAATAATCATGTAACCATTTTCTCCTTCCTCTGCACTCAAGGGGGATTCTATGATTGGGAGAGGAGGGAGTTGTGTGTTTTCTATATTACTAGTAAGAAACTTTAACCAGGTTAACCTGTAAGGTTTATCTGTTACCTTTTATTTCTACTTTTTATTTTCCTTCTCAGCACTGACAAAACCTTTGTAAACTGTGTTCGAGAAAATGAAGAACTGTTGAAAGATCTTTTTACCAGCTCCCAGTTCCAGACCACTCTGTACCCTGAGTGCACTCCGTGGCCAGCTGACCTCAAACCAATCTTACTGACAGAGGAACCCATACACAAACGGTACACTGATCTTCTTCATGAAATCATAGCAAATGATTATTACATGCGCTGGTATTTATTGTATGTATGTGTGGTCTTTGACATGTCTCTTATTTAGGCCTGCATTTCAAATGATCACAATTTTGTTTTTTTCCAAATGATTTATCTACAAAAATTCCTATATTTAACCACATTTAATGGTTCTTTTTATAGATAAATCACATGAAAAGTTTTTGTAACAGATTGATCATTTGAAATGCGGATCCAAAAGAATTAAATTGAGGCTTTGTGTTCATAATGGATTCCCATTTTATTTACATGGATTGTTGGTGCTGTGTTTGCGGAGTTGTTTGCATTTTACGGGGCATGTACCTCTTTTCCAGAATAAGTGTTTACAGTATATCTTTACAAATGTTTGTTCTGATTTTAAAAATGGTAAATTTTACATCTTACAATGGGCTGACACCAGGACACTTTTGGCACATTAACCACTACAGTGAGCTGTAGTAGTTATGGTGCTTGGAGCGTTCCTTTAAAGAGACACTATAGGCACTCTAATCATTTTATCTCATGGAATTGGTTATATTGCCTGAAGTTTCCTATCACAGTCCCTCCATTCAGGTTATTTAACACCGAATGAGTGTCTCTGACAACTCAAAGCCAGGAACCCAATGGCGGTATGCCTAAGGCAGAGTTTGTGACCCTCTTTAGTCGTGCCATTATTGGGCGGCTGTGATAGGCTGAAAGCTGTCAGCGACACTCATTGCTTTTCAGTCTAGTGCTTCCTTGTTGGCTAGAGCAGCACAGGTGGATGGGCTGATGAGGATTCTTGTGTAGCAAACTATTAACACTGATTGGAACGATGGCACCAGGGAACTCCAGACACTAAAACCACTTCAGTGAGATAAAGCAGTTATAGTGGCTACAGTATCCCTTTAATTTCTCTATTTTCTGCCTAGAGGAAAGCTGCTCCTTTGCTAGCAGAACAAATAATGTCCACTTCTTCCTGCGGAAAAAATCTAAGCTGCACGATTTGTAAATGAAAAAAGCAAGTGTTCCATATTTTATAAAAAATAGAATGATGCAAAATCTGTCTTCTCCCTCCCCAGGACACTTCAGTCCAATAAGGATGTAATGAGTGACTCTTTAGAAGCCTTACAGAAAATCTCTTCCAGTCTTCAAGCATTGAAAGAAGAAGTGAGTTCAATCGTTTTCTTTCTAGTCCTTTATTTTAATTATCTGTAAGCACGTACCGTAGTTACTGATGACTTTGCTAATAAATATTTTGCATTTATATTTCACTCCTACCCAGGAGCATCAGGCTTGGATTGTGTTGGACACTGTATATGGCATACCTCCCAACTCTGTCATCCAGAGGGCTTGCATGTGTTTTATAAGTCTTTGCAAGTCTTCATAAATGTACTAATTCCCAGTGACCCAACATGTATACATTTACTAAGGGTATTGTGCTGAAACTTCTCTGAATGTGAAATATATATTGATTGATTTATTTTATTTGCGCAGAGTGTTTTCCTGAAAAGCTCTGTTCCCGGCAGCGATACCATCCTACAAACGCTAAGGTTGGCACTAACTGATCTTTACCAGCTTATAGCTGCCTTCACTCAAGTTTATGAAAACGAGTTTCAAGACCACTGCGGCCATCCAACTCCTCAGCTTAGCCCTTCAGGACCCCTCTTTCAGTCTGTTCACCGTTCTCTAAGTATCTGTAGCAAGGTAAATTTACACTTGTGTCTTAATCTCTTGAAAAATCTGTCTAAATCAGGAGTCAGGACTTGACATATCTAGGGTGTGTGTGTGTGGTAACACCCAAATGGCGCTGAGGATTTCTTTCTCCAGGCCATGGAAAAATCAGTAGATTTTCCTTAAGTGCACCCATTGTCTTCAAAGGAACAGTTTGTCTGTGTATGCTGGAAAAGCATCTTCAAGGCTTTTTTGGCAATGCCGGCAAGATGTCATCTCCTGTCAGTTACTCACAAGTCGTAGACATTATTGCGGGAGTTCATTCTCTTACTCAATCTCTTTATCATTCTTTTATATGCACTTTTTATTTTTATTTTTTTAGATCTATATACTTACACATGGAGACATATCTATAAAACTTTTTGTTTGCACTTTGTTTGGTTTGATTTTGATATGTACAGCTATAGAAGGTTTTGTATTTTGCACTTTATATACGACTTGATAAAGACGCATGCAGTATCAAAACATTGCCCATTTCCTGGGATGTATGAATATCACCATTACACTATTGAATGCTGTCTGCCGGAGTCTTATTTTTCCAAGGCGGGAGTCTGTCACTCCTTAACCCTTTGGGAATTTGAGGAGCGGCCAAAGCATTTCTGGCACTGAAGAGATAAAGAAAGGTATAATTTTTAGGGAGAATTGCCTTGGTATAAGTATTTTATGTTGTAGAAAATGTAGCTTTCCTTTTTCATATTGCTAGAATGGTTTCTCATTTCCACTGTCAAAATCCTTTTAGATGTTTTTATATTTCCACCATAGCCATGTAACCACTTTAGACCCAAAGTAGTATTGCAGTAGCTATTTTTTTTTGGTGTGTGTTTTCTTGACACTTCTAAACGGTCATGAATGGTATTTAAGTTTAAGCATGCATGGGATAGGCATAAGGCTATCCTAACTATAAGATAAGGCTAGGGACTAATGAAAGTTTTTAGAAAATTGGGCAGACTAGATGGGCCGAATGGTTCTTATCTGCCGTCACATTCTATGTTTCTATGTATTGTTCTGCTAACCGTCTTATTATTTTATAGCTGAACTCTTTACGTTTGTATAGTTGAAAAGATGTTCAATTAATTCTATAATTTCAATAGGCGTTCTTAGAACAGTCACCTAATTTCAGCATAACTGCATGCTACAAGTGAGCGTGCATGATTTCGGTGAGTTATGTTATATATAAAAAACTAATTTTCATAAATATAAAAGTAAATCCTTGAAAAAAAGATATAAGCCTAGCTCTGTTCGACACTTGCTAAACAGTCAGTGATCCTCACTATCACAGATAACCTAAAGACACATGACAGAAAAGACTGGTTCTTTGGTGTATACTACATGCAAGCAATACACTTATCTTCTCTTTCTTCCAACACATACTTTATCCTTTCACTTCATTGTGTCCTTCATTGTGATTTTTAGGAACTAGAAGCTATTGCCCAGTTTACGGAAACATCTGAGAACATCTCCGGAGTGGTCAGACAAAGGGAACAGTCCAAAGATACATGGGGAGGCAGCAGATTCACCACATTATGTAAGTATTTCTGACCAGCTATTTAATTTCTTTGTTTTCTTCTGGTCATTATTTTATTTTTTGTTTTGTCTTGTTTTTTTTGTTTAAACCTATAGCTTTAAATATTATGATAAAGCTGTTTTGAAATCTCATCCAGTCCATCTTTTGCTTCTCTTCTGTAAGAGTTGGTGTTTAGAGTGTCCTTTTAAGGCTGGGGACAGAAACGCCACTTCCTCCTGTTGTGCCTTGACACTATTATTTTTATTTTATTTTTTTTCTCTCTAATGATTATTTATTATTAACACAAAGCATATTTATTTTCCCTAGAAATGTGAATGCCTATAACTCCTAGGCAAACATTTTACTCCGTTTTAAGTCATGGTAAATTATTTTTGGGATATATAACTTGCGTATGTGGCACGTTAAAATCTTAAGATGTGGACTTGTGAAGGTGGAAAAAAAAAAAAACACACGCTAACAATTCATACAGGGTTATTAACAGAATTTTTGCAAATACAATCCATATGACAAAACTGAGGCAAAAATAGGTAATCTGGAAAAAATCTCCAACTCAACCCAAGGACACAACTTGGCTAATTTTTGCCTTTTTTAATATTTTATTTTCATGCAGATTCAATTGGCAAAGATTCTTAGTTCAGTATACAAAAAAAATGCAGGGTTGTGATTTTACCATGGATTAACAGTTTGAGTGAAATGTTAGCCTAAGAGTTTGGTGGGTTTTTTTTTTTTTTTGTTTTTTTTTTTACCTTTACATGTAAGCACAAATTTGCATGTCAACTAAATTTAATAGTTCCTACAGCAACTGACGAATATGGTAAACATAAAATTCTTTAGGTGACCTGTACTTGCAGTTTCAGTAATTGTTTGTGGTTTTGTAATTCAACTAATGCGATATCATTCTTCATTAATTCTCTTTTTTTTCTTTTTTTTAAATATATAGCTGAGAAAATTAAGGAACTGAAACAAAACTACGAGGCATTCCAGGGGTCCTTACACGAGTAATAGAATCATTATTTTTGTATCTAGAAAAGATCAGCTTGAGGAAATGGCATGCAATGTAGGTGTGAGCCTAGATTCTAATTTACAAGCAGGTGTAACTGTAAGAAAGGATTCAGTTTGTCAACCGCAACTGCTAGTTATGCAGTAACTGTAGTCTTGAAGGTTTACTTTTCAAACTGCTTGATTCTGCAGGTTCCCTGCTTGGTAAGTTGGAAGATATAGCTACTTGCTGTTGTCTGATGCATCATAAAATGCAGGGAAGCCGTGGCGTATCATATTCTCATGGACTGTTGATTTATGCCCGCTACGCTAAGTGGCCGCACCTCCCCTCAACTGTGGTGTGTGTTTTTAATTAAGAATACAGGCATGCTGCTCTCATCTGCATAACAATCTGCTGTAACTTTGTCCTTGTGAATCTGCATTTCTCTAAAGCCTTGTCTCATGTTACAGACTGTGTGTTCACTTAATTAATGTTAATCACCAGTTTAATGTTAAACCCGTTGAGAAACATAAGGTTAAAGTGAAGATTGCAGAAATTTGTCTGATTGTCAGCAAATTCCATCCAAACTGTACTGAACACCAACATCCCGAGTCACTTATACTAACAGAGATCTCCCAAGCTGTTTGCTGCCTTATTTAATGGCTTTCAGTAAAGAGCGGGGGAACTCCCCAAAGAAATAGTGATGGTTTGATTAATGCATGGATTAAACTGTTCTAAGCATACATTGTATAAATTGGTGTAATTTATGAATACCCTGTGTTTAAAAGGGTACGGTATTATACCTTTTTGTTTAATCTTTTTTTTTTTTTGTGTGTGTGTGTGTGTTTGTACTTTTTAAATCTATGGTAGTATAGTGTTAAAGTAATTAGGAATAAAAGTATTTTTCTATATGATTAGCTATTTAAGTTTAATCAATCTGTAATCCTTCCTTGCTCTTCCAAGAGTCTAATTTTGGTTGTATATATTATATTTCTGCATGGTATTCCTGGCCTAACACGGTCTGTAGTTTTGTAGGATATTGTTGCCCCACAATGCATGATTCCCCAAGACAGTGAATGTTGCAAGCCAGGTATTTGGAGACAATGAAACACAAAGTTCGGTCATAAATCCTAAGCGAATAATGGAGCCTCCAATTGGCTGTCCCACTAACATGTACAATTCATGATTAAGGTAACCTGTCAAGGTGCAGAAACATAGTTATCGGAACCTTATTTTGTTTTCTAAGCACAAACTGACCTGATGGGAAGTTAAATGTTGTAAACCTTGCTACATACAAAAACCATTATTTTGTATTAGGTTAGAAGTGTAATCTATTTTTAGATTGAAAATGTATTACATATATTCATAATATAAGTTAAGGTATTTGGTTGGAAGCTTAACACATGCATCCCACAGCGCAGTATCAGGCCGAAGCCCAAATTACTTATGGGATTTACTGTACCGTGTTATTTTAGAAGATTTGGCGCACCCCGCACATGTCCCTGAAAGTTCTTCTTAAATTGTGTTCAATACAAGATATAGATATTGTTTAAAGTACTCTAGTACGTTGGTACTTCATAAGCTTTGTCTGTGGTTTTTTTTCCTTTTTGTTTTTGTTTTTTCTGACAGATTTTTACATGCCTTTAATAAATTGTCCTATAATTTTATCCTGCTGAAATAATTATTCTTGCACAGAATAAAATGGGGGGGAAAAAAGAAAACTGATGTGAATTATTTATACATTAAATCAACACCATTTTCAATTATTGCTTATAAATTATTCATTTGGCATGAAATATATAAAGACACATAGTCCACACTTATACTGGTGATTTCATGGTCCTCTCCTTTGAGCTGGAAGAAGGCACAGTCCTGTGAGTGCCTGACTTTTTTCCAATGGGGAGATTTGTAATTGCTTGGAAGCTTTGAGTCTGACGTCCGCTTCCACGTGCTGCTGGGGAAAAAAATAAAATAAAATATACAGTTATTCTCTAAAGTAAAAATTTACAGTCAAAATTGCCAAACTGGAAACCTTTACAGCTTTGCTGTCAGATTGACTACTCTGGTGTAAAATGTTAACATTCACGATGAATTCTCCCTTTAGTAAATAACCATGCTAATCTTTAATAATAGAGGTTGCAAGGTGTAAGATAACAAATCCTGTCTTCTGGTAGAACAATAGTGTATAGAAGGGTTCGAGGCCGGACAGCTGTGCACATGGAGCCCTAGCAGCAGGGACACAAGGTGGCAGACTTTGCTCGCACACGCACTGGGTGACTGGCATGAGGGTGCACAGAACATGCATGTGCTGCAGGTAGCACTATAAAGTGTGGCTGCGCGTCACCCAGGTTAAGGATTTCATTATCCTCCACCAGGGTCTAGCAGGGTTAAATGAGCAGTGGGTGTATTTTTATCTGAATATATACCCATCACACAGAGTTAATAGACATATCACACGCAGTCAATACACCTACTACAAATATCACACACACAGCCCTCATGCTTATTACACAAAGACAATGCACCCATTACATCATACACCTTACTTTGTTTTATAATTGGGGGAACAATGTGATACGCTCATAGGCACATTACTGGGAATTGTATTGTTGAGGAGCTCTGTGATAAACTGGTACACCATATAGTGCTGTGAGAGCCTGCCCTGCAGTGGAGCTAAGTGATAAATGGTTAAACACAGAGAATGCCTTTGAGGTTCTTTTTCTGCCAAGGAAGTCAAGGAAAATGCAGAGCTCCAAAGCAAAACCACTCACAGCAGACCATGAGTAGCTGTCTCACAAGTTACAGCCAATCAAAGCATTGCCACAATCTACCACAGCAAAGCTCTTACACTGTAAAGGACTGATCACACAAGACCGTTACTCATGGTCTGCACCTGGCAGAGGTACATACTGTATTCCCAGCACACTGGACCACCAGAGATCAGTATGCACCAGTATCCTGCTGAAATATTAATGACTATTTTAATTTAACAAATTCCTCATACAAACTTTATATATATATATATGTATATACACACACACACACACATTTTAAAGTGTTTGTGTACGGTCTTACTGGTGACTACTGGCAACTTATACGAGTCTTGGCCAAACGGTCTTGCGAGCCGTATGTGGATGTTTAGACTGTCCAATGCGGCGCACAAAACATTTCAGAGCAGGGGCTACCATAAGGGGTCACAAGGTCCAGTGACCAGCTGGAGGGGATCGCACAGCTGGGGGTGGGGTGGAGGGGAACTGTGGGCATGAGATGCATGAATGGAGGGGTTGCGTTGAAATAAGACACCTGAATGGAGGGGCTGGGTGGGAATAAGACACATGGAGGGGCTAAATCATATTCATAAAAATTATGATTCAAATCTTTGGTTCTGTTGAATAAATTTAATTGACGCTCATCTATATTTTGTAAATTTTAACATGCAGGTCTTATGGTCGTGAAGTTTGGCCACTCCTGTTGTGTATAAACTTGGGCCAGAACAGAAAATGTATTCTGTGATAAGGTGTGGAGTTACAGCTTACATGAACCTTAGCCAACCATAATATATCACATTTAGTGTATGGCCCTAGTAAAGCGTTGGAGGGTACGGAAGGATACCATCTGCACAGCTTAACATAGCTGCCAATCTTTCCAAGAAAATGGGTAATCTTAATGTATTGTGCTTCTCTGTAATCACTATTGCAATGATAAGTTATTGTCATCCAGTTTCTCAATAATTGTGTTATTACTTTTAATAGAGAATGTTTCATTCCGGAGCTGTATTTATCGTTTGGATGTACCTTCTTGGAGCAAACGTCAATAAAGACCCATGTATGGTAACAATGTTTAATTTCGGGATCACTTCTTGTTTTTAAATCTATCTGACAAGGGCAGCACATGTGACTAGTCCACAAATGATAAAGGTTATCATTTTGAATCGCGGAAATTTGTCTGTCATCCCTTGCTTTCCCGTTTTGTCTTCAAGAACCGTGTTTGGCATACACCCATAAACCTGCATACTAGGCTTCAATTTCAAATTATTGGAGGAGCTCTCATTCAAGTAAGGGTGTAAGGACTCTGGTTCTTCCCAAAAAACACAATTATTAGTGAAAATACGCAGTTCAGCACAAACCTTCAAATCAATGACCCTGGCAAGCCAGTAATATTTTCAGCAAACTGAAAATAAGGAGTTGTGGGTCCAACCAAACGAATTGAATGACCACAGTTTTCAGTGTTCATTGGTGGAGATACATCATGTGTACAAGGAAAGTTATGTAATGCAGGCCATATGTGATCGTGTACATTGGAATATAACAAAGTGCTACATATTTACTGTGTCATTTAAATGTGTACATAATTAAATACAAAGAAAGTACGGAGTGCATGTAAAGTTCAAATAACAAAAACCAATAAATGTCGGTGTAATATTAGAAGTGATTACAATACAGGTAGCTACTTCTCCAATGCAATGTGTACCCTGAGTAAACTGGGGCGTGATGTAATTTGGTAAATCTTGTATAAAAAAATAAATATATGAACACAAACTATAAACTATTTTCAATGTTTGTGTAATGGTAGTAATCTAAAGAAACACTGTCTTCATATATCAATATCTTATATAATATAAGATTTGTTGTAACATACCATCACATTTTTTTTGTTGTCATTGCAAGCCAATATAGGAGCAGTTTTGGCCATCAATATTTTTGGTGTGTTAGGTGTGTTTTATTTTGTTTGTTTAGTTTTGTATATCTTTATGTTTTTACATGCTACATTAAGTTTCAAAACAAACATGTTGGAATGACAGAGGGGGCAACGTGACCAATGTTCTTGTTTATAGATGGCCAGTGGCCAATGCATTGTTCTGCAGGTTTAATGGTATCAGCTAGAACACCGGTTCCCAACCCAGTCCTCCTGTACCCCCTAACAGTACAAGATCTAGCTATTACCCAGTTGTGTTACCCAGGTGTTTTTAGAAAGAAAAGTAAAAAAAACTTAAGACACAACAGGATAATCCCTAAATCCTGGACTGTTAGGGGGTACAGGAGGATTGGGTTGGGAACCTTTGTACTAGAAGGTTTTTTGTCTAACTAAAAACCGCGGATCTTTTTTAACTAGTTTTCTTGTGATGCTTCGCCAACCCAGTGCTGCCACAATTTGGAAGAATGTGTACAGATAATGTTAAAGTAAAGCTTCCAAACTATCTTGACACCAAAAGGTGGTCCAGATTAGTAAAACGCCTAAAAAATCATTACTTTAAAAACAGATGGACTGCTTCCGAAGACTCCTGACGGCTGTACTGGGAGTGGGTATAGAGCTTAGTCTATTATATTGCTTATTGTTAGTAGAAACATGGGTGTGTTAAATGGTCTGACTGATTTGTAATGAAATCCTATACTTCATTGTGTTTATTAAATGAGTAATACTCACCTTGGTTTCTTGTGATTTTATTTTTACCTGGAATTTCCCTTTGAATATCATAATAATAGGTGGGAGGTTTATGTGGTTGAATTCAAACCACATTCTGACATTCTTGAATAATTGCTCATATATTTTGTAATAGTCAACCTTGCTTAGAGTGATAGATAAAAGAACAGCTCAGACTTTTTAATTAATTCTCTCTTTTTTTTTGCCTTTTGTATTCCTAACACTATACTGTCCTCTGGTCGTCGTCCCCCCCGCTGCCCCTCTAAGCATATAAAGGGTAAAAGAAAAACCTTTATTTACTTACCCGGTTCAAGCGCTGATGTGCTTACACATATCTTTAATATGTGTATTTGTTAGGCTCTAAGAATTTTACAGGGTCTGTAACCCTTATGCTACCGAGGACTTATGCTGGTAACACATCCTGCTTTCCTTAATCTTTGTATGTGTTCGCTGCAGAGAACAATTAATGTACAATTAAAGCAGACCAGTTATTATGAAGTTTTTTATTAATGCGGGTACAGCGTAAATATGAAACAAACACAGTTTTCATAGGGGTGTATCCAACAGAAGACAAAATCCAACCAATCACAGACGTTCAGTGCAAAAAGTATAATTATTCATATAACATTACGTATTACAGGAAATCTACTGCGCATGTCTAGCACGTCTTCCCTTATCTTGGCCCATGAGACAGAGAAAAGAGAGATTGTGCTTGCCCCGAGAAAGAGAAAAGGGAGTACCGATTGCAGCCAAGAGAGAAAATTCTTGCTTTTAACCCTGCAGACGTGGATAGACTTAACGAAGACAAAAAGGCTTTTTAACCCTTATTTACCTGTATCTATGACAAGTCCCCTTTTCTCTGGTACGGCAGGTGAGAGTTAGGCAAGGTATCTCCACTTGTACTAACTACGATTTCCTCGCCCTTCCCTCCCCCTCCCCCCCCCCAACACACCATTGAGGAAGACTTGTCCAGGTATTTGTAGATACAGGATAATATATGTTATTAAAGCCACGTCTCAGTATACAATACATCTATAGGTTAGGCCAGGGGGTATAGTAGTTTTAACTTGGGGGTGCACCTATGTTTACATGATATAAATATATTGTGTTAGTTTGGCAATTACACATTTTGTTATTTATATATTTTATATATATATATATATATATATATATATATATTATTAAAGCTGTGACATTTAAAAAACCTGAGATGCTGCAGAGAGCCTTGTTCCCGGTCTCCGATTTGTACTGCCTAACAGCCAGAAGTTCTCCTACATGAACGTGGACTGTGCTCTGCCATCTGCCGGCATAGGGTGACTGGAGACCTTAGTACAGTTGCTAGGATGACTGAAGTACAGTTGCTGGGTGACTGGAGACCTTAGTACAGTTGCTATGGTGACTGGAGATCTTAATACAGTTGCTACGGTGACTGGAGCCTTTAGGACAGTTGCTAGGGTGACTGAAGACCTTCGTACAGTTGCTACGGTGACTGTACAGTTGCAGGGGAGGAACCATTAGTTTTATTTAGCTAATTTGGGATATAGTCTCCTGATCAGGGGGAATCTTTAGAATCATCAGAATCATTATATGAAATATCGATAAACTGCACTATTCTATAGAAAGAAAAGATGTTGGCCTCTTAACTGAGCTACACGAATGTTAACAGGAGCTTACATGAGTGAAACTTACATGTTGGTCATTACCTTATAGTACTTAAATGGATACTATAGTGCCAGAAATACAAAGTTGTATTCCTGGCACTATAACTCCTTCTGCATCTCCTTCCCCTACCCCCTCAGTGGTAAATAAAAAGTTAGAGCCCCTTTATTTACTTTTCTGATCCCAGCTCCAATGTCCCTCAATGCTGGGTTGTGGCTGCGCCTCTTCCAACGGCACTCGACAAGGGTGCGCTAATGCGCATGCACAGCAAGTCCCACGTGCGCAGTAGGCCTCCCCATAGGAAAGCATTAAATCAATGTTTTCCTATATGAAAATTGCTGACGATGGATGTCCTCATTCATAGCGTTAGTAACCCGTCTAAAAGTGCATTAACAGCCAGGAAACGCAAGTTTTCCTGGAACTGCAATGGTTTACATAGCAGCACTAAGTGCAACAGGGGCACTGCAACCAGATCACTTCAATAAGCTGAAGTGGTCTGGGTGCCTATAGTTACCCATTAACACTGACATTTAGCGAGATGGCACAAAAATAAACTAAAACGAGTACAAAGAAAAAACTTTTGCACCAAAAAATGAATTGTGTGCAGAAGCAGAGTCACTAGAGTCTATCCAACTCCCCATCGAAGGGCAGAGGACCCCAGAAATCAATCTTTGAAAGGAGCTGGTCACCTCACCACTTCCAGGCTTACGGCTTTCTGTAATCGCAGACATGCGCCAACCAGCCCCTAGGTCTCATTACAGGTGATGGCACTGTCTTCTCCCCTCTGAGTGCACCTGGTGCTCTGAGTCTTCCCAGGGTCTGGGATAATTAAATGCGCAGGGTTAGCTCGGCCATACTGCCATTGCTTCCGAATACCCCAGGTGTAGGAGCTGTGCGTGGGTAAAAAAGTTCTGATATTTTTTGCCATCACTTTTACTTTTACAAAATCTTAATTACAATGTAATATCATAATAATCATTATTTAATTAGTTGGACCAATAAAGAAAAAAAACCTGCAAATAGCTATAATATAACATAGCATTTTCTGCTATACATTCAGTGCTAGATGTAATTTAACTCTTTATTTCCACACCAACAAGGTAACTTTTCACCTTCTGACATTTGTTATTGCAAATTAAAGGAACACTCAAGCACCATAACCACTTCAGCATGCTCCAGGAGAGCAGGAAGCTCTCTGCGCAGAGTAAGACAGGCAGTGCTGGGCTGAGAGGGGATTTCACGTACCATTATAGAGTTCAGAGATTTATTTTTATCATTGTGCTGTTCATGAATCTGTATTATGTGCAATTTACACTGCGATACCAGCCCAGCATGCACCATTATGCCGCGATACCAGCCCAGCATGCACCATTATGCCGCGATACCAGCCCAGCATGCACCATTATGCCGCGATACCAGCCCAGCACGCATCATTATGCTGCGATACCAGCCCAGCACGCATCATTATGCCGCGATACCAGCCCAGCACGCACCATTATGCCGCGATACCAGCCCAGCACGCACCATTATGCCGCAATACCAGCCCAGCACGTATCATTATGCCGCGATACCAGCCCAGCACGCACCATTATGCCACGATACCAGCCCAGCACGCACCATTATACCGCGATAGCAGCCCAGCAAGCACCATTATACCGCGATAGCAGCCCAGCAAGCACCATTATACCGCGATATGCTTCCAGCCATTAAGCTGCATCTGCACTGCTGGACATGGCTCAGGGGAATTAATGGAAGCTTCATGCAGGTCCTTCTGACTCTGTATTTTGGGTCCCAGGTAAGTTGGCAGACAATTTGCAAAGAAATAGCCATTTACCCTGGGATGGCATCAAGCCACTCCTGGCACCATGACCAGTACAGCACACTGCAGTGGTGATGTCCCTTTAAGGTAAGGGTGTCCAATAGGTAGATCTCCAGATGTTTAGGACTACAACTCCCATGATGCTTTGCGTGCCTTTATTATGCCTTTAGTATGACAAAGCATCATGGACGCTGTAGTTTTAAAACACCTTGGGATCTACATTCTGGGCAGCCCTGCTTCAAGGCACTGGATTACTGACTTTTGGTTAATGCATCACTTTAACTATTTAGCTATGTTGGATGATAGAGGTTGTGACATGATACAAAATGTAAATCCCCACAGTTCCTTGTTTGGCATTTGCTGTCACCTGTTTTATCTTAAGATTTTACCTTTTTTTATTTCCTGCGTATTTGTAACATGTATTTGTAATCGTGCATGCCAAGTCATGCTGCACACACAAACTAGTTTGTTTACTTCTAGCCACAATATGATTCACGGTTATGTCATTGTTATGTAATATTATATTATCAGGTTTCCTTCCTTTTTTCGGTGCTTATACAATACAAGTCGTTCTCTGTTATTTTATACTCGAATTTATGTATCTTAATTACGCAACAGCCGCACCATTGCAATAAGGCTCTTGATCTCCAATTATCTCTCTGTCTAGTGACAAACAGAGTTGCAAAGAAGCTGCTTTGATTATTTGAGGTCCCTTGTACTATAATACAAAAATATCACGCACAAACACTTACACACAGACTCACACACACTTACACACACACTCACACACACACTCACACACGCTCACTCTCTCTCTCTCATTTTTATTTTATTTTAATTTATACTTTACCAATTTCTATTTTCCCGCAGTGTACCAATACTTAAAACTACATTTAAAAAAATAAAACGATATTATTAATACATTGTAATCCTTAATTACATACGAGTGGCTGGACCATATCAGGAAGTAGTTTATATCGATCTATGTTTTTGGGTATCTGCATATTGCTGTAAGGGTGTATATCTCCTGATATACATGTTATCATACGTCTTCAGCTTGTTAAGCAATCAATGGGCGTATCGATCTAGACTCTATTAAACCAGCCCTAACATGTCATAGGAACATTACTTGACAGAGACAGCATCCTCACAGTATTGTATTCTCACAGGTAAGAGACTCCGTCTGTGTTAAAACTGGAACGTGGCTGTACCAACCAACTCACATGTGCCAGGCCTCCCAGATGACAGCCCCTAGTTGTAGCTAAATGTTCAGGAATATTGCTCACCTGAGTGTCATTTGTCTGTCATTTTTATTTTCCCATAGTACAGCACTGAGTATTATATCAGTGCTATATAAATAACATAACTTGCTGTTGGATGCACTTTCTGTGATTTACATGTGCATAGTATGGATTCATGTCAAATGTCAATTTCTAATTTAGTATCTGCCTGTCCAGATCATATCACCTTAAATATTACTATCGTTGTAAATCCATATTTAAAATGTATTTGTTGAAGCGGTGACTGCTGATAAAATGCATTAATACATAGAAACATAGAATGTGACGGTAGATAAGAACCATTCGGCCCATCTAGTCTGCCCAATTTTCTAAATACTTTCATTAGTCCCTGGCCTTATCTTATATCTAGGATAGCCTTATGCCTATCCCACGCATGCTTAAACTCCTTTACTGTGTTAACCTCTACCACTTCAGCTGGAAGGCTATTCCATGCATCCACTACCCTCTCAGTAAAGTAATACTTCCTGATATTATTTTTAAACCTTTGTCCCTCTAATTTAAGACTATGTCCTCTTGTTGTGATAGTTTTTCTTCTTTTAAATATAGTCTCCTCCTTTACTGTGCTGATTCCCTTTATGTATTTCAATATTTCTATTTTTAATAGCATATTAATATATATTGTTAAAAGACTCCTGGGATGATTAGTCCTCAGCACCTGGAGCATCATGGGAGTAGTAAAACCCCTATAAATATTGAAAAGAAAGACAAATCTATACAGCTTGTTGAAGATATTGAGAATTCCATTATTATCTGACGTGTCCTGAACGTCCTGGGATGTTATTACGACCTCGGCAAGTATCCTGACTATTCTTTGGTACGTTAAGTCCGGCCATTCTAAGGCCCGGTAATACGTTACCTATTAGTCATCTGTGTGACACAATTCTGCGTTCTGGATCAACTATTAATCCTGACACACATACCATATGCCCAGTCTCTCTGACCATCTTACAAGCTTACAGTCCTCATCCCTTTTCTCTCTCACTAATCACAATCTCTGAGACTCAGAAGGGAAATTGTAAGAGGCAAATGAGAGGCTAAGAATATGTGAGAAATATGGGATAAGAGGGACAAGGGTGATACAATCTGCAAAAAGCTAAAAAGAGAAACAAAGGGACGTAAGAAACACAATTACATGAGTAAGAGGGGGAAAAAGGGCGTTCGAGACAAGCAAGCGGATACAAAAGGATTAGGAGAGACAGACAAGAGGGGATAAAAGATATGAGCAAAGAGGGATGCTGAGGGGGCAGCGAAATGCGTCTTCACCTGTGTAGTCAAAATCCCTTGCACCATCGGTGTTCTTTAACCAAATCTGCTGATTATGGATCTTCTACTGCAACCATCACTCAGAAGGCAAGCATTTGAGGGTAGATGTCAGACACCTATCATGGCATTGCCTCACACTAATGCCAGTTTGCAATCTGCAGCCGGTCGCAGTATATGCAGGATTGTGTGTACAATGGTGTGTGTAACGTGTACACACAATGCATTAACCCATTATACTTTAAACCTGAAAGGAATGTTACAAGATAAAGTTAAAACAGTGTTTACCAAGGCGGGGTGTTTCTGGACACACCCTGCAAGCTATGTACACACCTATGGTTAAAAGCTGTGTTGCTGAATTGTGGGTTTTACGTTTTTTTATTTTTTTTTATTTTAGGTACACGGTTAGTTCTGTTAGGGATGCAGAGCTGCCATGTTTCTGGATATGTTATATATACCATTAGTATGTATTTAACATGTATAGCTTGGAGGAAAGACGAGACAGGTGGGATATGATAGAAACATTTAAATACTAGAATAAGCTAGTCCCCTAGGGGAACAAACCTGCAGGGGGTAACCCTCACTCATGTGTGGTAAACAAGAAAGAATGGCCCCTAGAGCTAGCCCTGGGGGTCAAGATGTAGGAAGTCCCTGGGGAACCGTGTGAATTTTAATAAAACGTAACCTTTAATGATACAAGTTAAAAAAATGAAAATTGTAAAGCTTGCGAAAGACAAATGAAAAGATAAGAAGAAAGAATAAAGACCGGCTGGAGAGGCCCGTTAAGCCAATCCTAAAGTAAAGGGGTGCCCAAAATGGCCCTTTAATAGCGTACCATGTATTCAAAGGGTATACCCTATCAAAACGTCTGTAGCTCCTAATAAGAGGCCGTGGCAAATAGGACTGGAGTCCTAAAAGCCAGTGACAAAGCCCTGGTATATCAAATAAAAATCTGACGAAACATTCAGGTGCCTACGGTGTAAATCTCATTAGCATTTTATGTAGTAACCCTGGTCGGCTTATAATGTCAAAATAGAGAGAGCCACTCAGAGGAGAGCTAAATAGTGACTATGCCACTCATAGAAGTGACTAAAATAGATGCTACTCCAGGAAGACGAAAATCAAGTGCTAGCTAAATCAGCGATACAGTTTATCTAATAGCAGTGTCTGTTAAGTCAGTGGTACACTGTATCTAATCGCTAATGATACTTGTGGCAAAAGCCATCGCCTACTACGTTGTAGTCTCAGGGCTGGAATGTGAAATAAGTGCAGCCTACGGCTGCCTAGCTGCTGAATGAGAGACCAGTGTGTCAGATGTACTGTTCAAATCGCAGGCTGATCCTCACCCAAAGGAAAAAAAAACCTTCTAATCTACACGTGCAGCAGAGGAGAAACCGGATAGCTCACTATCCCAGAGAGTAGGTCAAGTCACGTAGACATACAAAAAAGAAAAGAAAAGGCCTCTAAGGTCTGAGTGGACCTCTCAGTGTGTCTGGGTAAAACATGGGGAGAAATTAATAAATCCTAGAGAGGTGCTATCACAGGTGGCAAACCCACATACCTGCCCCCCATTATCCCCTACAAACCAAGGCCTAGGGGCCATTCTTTCTTGTTTACCAAACATTTAAATACATAAAGGGAATCAACACAGTAAAGGAGGAGACTATATTTAAAAGAAGAAAAACTACCACAACAAGAGGACATAGTCTTAAATTAGATGGACAAAGGTTTAAAAATAATATCAGGAAGTATTACTTTACTGAGAGGGTAGTGGATGCATGGAATAGCCTTCCAGCTGAAGTGGTAGAGCTTAACACAGTAAAGGAGTTTAAGCATGCGTGGGATAGGGATAAGGCTATCCTAACTATAAGATAAGGCCAGGGACTAGATGGGCCGAATGGTTCTTATCTGCCGTCACATTCTATGTTTCTATGTAGCAAGCAAAAAAGACTCACCTAATAAGCATGCTATGTAATGTGTGGATGCTGGTCAGCAATGAAACACTCCCTCTAGTGGTTAAAAAGGAATAGTACTGAAATACACTGGTAAACACTCAAGTCAAACCTCATATAACATAATGGGGTAATACATCTTACCCAAGCACTGTGTTCATTTAATAGCACATAGTGACCAAAGTATTAAAAAGAACAATAATAACATAATATATATTAAGCAACCATCCCCAATAAGCAAAAAATATATAGCAAATAAGCAAAACAACGAAACCAATGATATTGGTGAAATGTACAGATACCTTAAGTTGGTTATAGAGTAGTGGGAAATCCCAACATTTCAGCAATAAGCCTTTATCAATGGATGCCTAGGTATAGACATTTGGATAAATTTGTTTTGATGTATATTATGTTATTATTATACTTTTGGAATATTTGGTCACTATGTACTTATTGCAGTAACGTAGAGCTTGGTTAAGATGTACTAATGTTTGATAAGTGATGCTCTAGAGCAGGGGTAAGTCAATCATAGTTACTCCAGAGGTTGTGGACTACATCACCCACAATGCTCTTACATCCATAATTCTGGCAAAGCATCAGGGGAGATGTGGTCCACAACATCTGGAGTGCCGAAGGTTGCCTAATCCTGATCTAGAAACTAACTAATATCCAATATGGCTGGGCAGATCTCATGGATAGCAACCGGTTTGACCTACTCAACTCTATTAGACTTTAACCAGGTTATAAATATCCCCAACAGTATGATATGGGAGCAATCGCTTAACCTTGATGATGTAAGCTCATTGAGCAGGGCCCACAACCCCTCTGTTCCTGTGCATCCATTTGTCTGGTTACAATTACGTCTGTTAGTCCACCCATTGTACAGTGCTACGGAATCTGATGGTGCTATATAATGAATAAAATAATAATAATAAGAAGAAGAATATTTGGGGGCCAACTCCCTGGTACCCAGTGTGTATTAAACTACTCTGAGCAGTCTGACACAAAAAATAGCATACGAGCTAGCACTAATGCACAAAACACATTGGGCTATTCCCTCACAGTGTGTTTCTCATTTAATACTCACTTGGTCAACCGAGTGCCTCCTGTCCAGCCCTCTCTTCAGATTTTACTAGAGTGGAAGCCTCTATATTGTCCACTTAGCATAGTGACATCCATTCTACCCATCTTGTGATGCTCGCAGCCAATTAATTTTTATCAAAATAAGGAGAAAATTCCGATTTAGTTATATATGACAGGGCTAGACAGGAGGAATTTGGAGGACCCAGTTAAGGTTCTAATATTTTCTAAATAGTTTCACAACTTACAGGAGGTCACCTCAACCACTACAGAGCACTGCTTAGACTGTCCCTTTAATAGAAAGTATGTCTTGAGCCAATATTCAACATTAAAGGACCACTCTAGGCACCCAGACCACTTCAGCTTAATGAAGTGGTCTGGGTGCCAGGTCCAGCTAGGGTTAACCCATTTTTTCATAAACATAGCAGTTTCATAGAAACTGCTATGTTTATGAATGGGTTAAGCCTTCCCCCTAATCCTCTAGTGGCTGTCTCATTGACAGCCACTAGAGGCGCTTGCGTGCTTCTCACTGTGATTTTCACAGTGAGAGCATGCATGCATCCATAGGAAAGCATTATGAATGCTTTCCTATGTGACCGGCTGAATAAGTGCGCAGCTCTTGCCGCACGTGCGCATTCAGCCGACGGGGAGGAGAGAAGGAGGATCGGAGGAGGAGAGCTCCCCGCCCAGCGCTGGAAAAAGTTACGTTTAACCCCTTTTCCCCCTTCTAGAGCCGGGCGGGAGGGGGTCCCTGAGGGTGGGGGCACCCTCAGGGCACTATAGTGCCAGGAAAACAAGTATGTTTTCCTGGCACTATAGTGGTCCTTTAAGTTTTAGCCACTAAACAAAAAAAAATTTGGACCAAAATAGCCAAGTCTGGAAAAAGTCTTGAAAATTACTATTTTTCCAACTAAAATTTTGAAATCTTGTTTTCAAATAACAAAAAAATGTGGCCCATGAGGTTTTCATAGATAGATAAGACAGAAAAGGGGGTAACCCTTGAGTTATAGAATGGAAAAAGACGGAGAAAGTCTGTCCCTAAATAGAAAATCTAGAAAAATACTTTATTTAATAAACATTAAAAAGACATTCCTCGGATAAACTACCCATAGCTCAATGATGTAGTATAGTATTAACTGACTGCTCCGAGAGGACAGACAGAATAACCAACTCACCAATGCTATTGGTGTATATAAGAAGGAGGGATAGAGGGAGTGGGAGTTAAACTATGTAATAAACTAACGTACAATAATAGAAAGAGATATTAAAATGATTGGTAGCATTTACCAGAATCTAAAAATGCAACCCAGCTAATATAAAGGTGTTATAATAATAAGAAAAAAGAGAAACAGAGTGCAGCCAGTGTGTACATCGATTCTGGGATAGTAACGTTCTGTGGTGTAAAATAGAAGAAAATTGTACTGCGATAATGGTACTTGATAGAATCTAAAGTAAGTGTCAAAAAACTGGCTACAGATTCACAAACCCATTAAGTTGGTTGATACATAAGGGAGAATGTAACAAATCACACCAATTCTGGTATCAAAGGTCATAATAATTATAAGTAAACATCAAGAATGTAATTACTACAATGTTGCATAAGTTTAGCGTCTGCACAAGTGTAGCCACTAGCTAATTCCTTCCTTAATATGAGTGATTAGATTCCATCAAGGGAAGGCAATAGATGACGTCCTATGAGAATGATCTAATAAAAATTTAAGATAATAAGTAGGAGATATAAAAAGAGAATGGTGCCTTCATGGGTACCAGTTATAGGAAAGAAAGAGTGTATATAAGATATAAGAAATATGTACAAAGATACAGAGAAACAGAAAATATAAAATAGCTGAGCAGCATAAGTGCTGGTCTGATCGAAATATATCTTACCAGAATACCCTGATCGATATATTAAAATTAAATATAAATGGCTAAAAAGCCGTCAGAGTGCCGATCTTACTGATGAACTCTGGAGGAGTTAAACAGTTAAGATCGGATAGGCGGTCTAAACCGCAGACCTGTTACCTGTTTGAGAGGTCGTGTGGGGTACACTATGTCAATCTCACACCACAGCCAAAAAATCTAATATGTCCAAAGATATTAACAGGTATATCGGTCTCATGTCATTGGTGTAAATCTAATATGAAGCCCGACCCGCGTTTCGCCTAATTTTAAGGCTCATCAGGGGATGTCTTTTTAATGTATATTAAATAAAGTATTTTTCTAGATTTTCTATTTAGGGACAGACTTTCTCCGTCTTTTTCCTTGTTTTCAAATAAGTCGACCAATTTTATTTTTTTTCTTCAGTTTTTCCTATTTCACCTAAAGTTTTAATTCCTGGTAAATTAACATTTTAAATGTTAAAAATATAACAAATGTAAAAATTATCAATATATAAAAATATTTTTCAAAATATTAAATAACTTGAAAAGCTTATCAAAATCATTAAACCAAGGCCGTAGCTTGGTAACAGACATTTGTAAATAAACCTGTTAGAACAATTCTACAATAACATGAATTGGTGAATTAATGCTGCGTCAACTTTTTTATCAACCTTTTCTACATTTTTCATTTCAGACTGACATTATGGCTAATTCAGTAAAAACATTTGTGTTCATGGACCTGGAAGCCACTGGCATAAATTACCAGCATCCCAAAATAACTGAGATCTGCATGGTGGCCTGTCATGTCTCCTCCTTGGAGAATCCAGACTTTGATGAATCCGGAAAACCAAAACTTCCTCGGGTCCTAGACAAGCTATGTCTATGTGTTGATCCAACAAAGCCATTGAATGAAGAAGCTGCACATATCACGGGTCTCAATAATAAAATGCTTGAGGACAACGAGAAGCAAGAATTCAACTCTCATCTCATTTCCCTCATCAATGAATTTTTGAATCGTCAAGCTCAGCCAGTTTGCCTTGTAGCACACAATGGCTTTTTCTATGATTTCCCTCTTCTGAAAACAGAGCTAGAACAACAACAGGATGATATCTCCAGCTTGTTGACATGTCTGGACACTCTTCCAGTGTTCAAACAGCTGGACAAGGAGAACGATGATGATCATAAAAAAGGGAAAGGCTATTACTCTCTTTCAGGGCTCTATAGACGTGCCTATGGAAAGGATCCAATAGATTCTCATTATGCCGAGGGAGATGTATTGACTCTCATTATGGTCTTCCTATCAAAAGCAAACGAGATACTGGACCATGTGTCCACCTATTCTAAGAAATGGGGAGATATTCATCCTATGTATAGCTAACCATCCAAGCATTCTCTTTCAGGGCTGGACAAAAGGTGAATCCCTATCTGTAGGTAGTTCTAAAACAGCTAGGGATCCAACTTTTGGCAACCGCTTTTCCAGTTGTGTAAAGGATATTCTAAGCACCATAACAACATATGACCATGGCACAAATTAAGGTACAATTACCCCATCCCTGCTTCCTGCACTTAGTTACTTATAACTGTAGCAATTTCCAAAACTTAAATCTATAAGCTGGTGAAATCAGTGGTATGAGTGCTGTGAGGTTTTTCAGCAGAGGTTTCTACCACATATCCCATACATTTGTGTAGTACAGGAGTGTATGGGATAAGATAATTCACCAGAGAGCAGAATGAGAGCATCCTGATTGGTGGAATCTCTGGTTTTGAAATGGTTATCTGTTGCGCTGGCTTGCCTGTGTTAATACAGCAAATGCAAGAATTTAAAAAAATATTTTTTTATTATTATTTTTGAATGCATTGCACATTATGTGTATAATGTATTAAAATGAGAAATAGAGATTACCTGTAGCTCGTATTATCCCTTTGTGTAATGATTGTCCCATTTTTGTCCTTTTCTCTTTGTTAACTGATCCGGTGATTTAAATATAGACACTTTAAAGGTCCACTTCTATTATTTTAAAAAAGGGATGCTTGTATGTTAAACTAGGTTTTTTAGTAAACCATCCATTAAATACTTAGGCATTATCTATAAAGTTGCTATAATGTCTTGATAGAGTGCAATGACTTATTAGTAATAAAACTTTCTTTAGCTGGACAAACGTTCTTTAAAAGGATCAATGCAAAGAGTTCTTTCTTTGGTCCACTTGGCTTTATAAATATAAAAATTATGACCCAACCATTTCAAAGATACAAATTCCTACCTGCAATTAGAAGGACAGGGGGTTATACACAAAGTTCTTCATATCGCAAAACTCTTCATATCACTGGTCCTTTAAGGAACTCCCCAAACACTGTTTAGTGGTTATGGTGCCAGGAGTCTCCCAGTGTAAATAGACAAATTGTTTGTTAAAGGTATGACAACTTACTTGGGGTCTATCGGGCACCTGTCACTTTCTCCATTAAGAGCCAGAAGTTCCTACATGGAACGTCCAATAGTTCTTTTGAACCAAGTCTCAACATGCAGGGTCAGCTCATAGACGGAGAGAATCAGCAGATAACTCAACAGAGAGTAAACACTTCTGGTTCTCAATGGAAGAAGTGTTTGGTGCCCAGAGAACCCAAAGTAAGTGTCAAACATAAGTTGTCAAACTGAAATATTTAATTAACTTTAAATTATCTAATGTGTTGTAGAATCTTGTTTTGTGATATGAATATTATAAAGTCATTATTCAAACTTCTTTCAGACACAGGATGTAACTAGTATTGCAGACGTTCATTGTTTATGGATGGTCACTACATATGGTTCATGTTAAGAATGATGGATGAAGGCCTGTTGATAGTAACCTTTGACCTAGCTTTGCAAGCCAGACTCTCTGTGTATTACCAAAGCTCACATTTCTAAAGGCATTTAACCATGTATATAGAACTTTTGTGTAACTTCTATTTTACCTCCTAAATATAACGTATGGCTTTAAGTATAGTTTTCGAATGATACTAAGCCACTAACCCTTTTTCTACGATAGCCACTTATTATCAAGTAAGGCAACCTTATGTATACGCCCCTATATAACTGAATTTTAAACCTATAAAAACAATTGTAGCTAAGATTTTGTTACCAATACTTTAACATCAAAAATGGATACCATCTTGAACTTTGCTCTGTATTGGTCCACACAGATGTGTGCATTGACGTATGTTATTTTCGGATGGTGTGTATGTTTGAATAAATATACATTTTTGGCTGCAAGACACTCTGATTCGATTATTAGAACACTGGGGTGTGACAAACATCTCAAGAAAAGCTCATTTCCTACAGTCAAACTTGTCAATTTCCTTCCAAACGATTTGAATACACATTGTGGGGATGCCGGGCTCACCTGCCACCACAACCATTCCAACGTGCTGTAGTGGTTATGGTGCTTGTTGGAGGAGTGTTCCTTTAATGGAGCAGCTTTTTAATGAGCTTTGTGTTTTACAGCAGCATAATTTTAATTTAGAGAGATATAATATATAGTAGCAATATTCATAGTAATATAAATAATGAAAAATGTATTTCTCTGTGCTTGATGTTGACCAGATGTTAATAAAAATCAGGCAGTTATGTTTTGTGACATCATGCGTGTCTTTTAAAAAAGAATTCTGACATTCCACATTCTTTATCATTTTCTCTTCTCTTTTTTTCTCATATTCAAAAACTGGCAATTACAATATTTATTCTGTAGATCTATTCACTAAATGGCGAATTGTGGTCAATTGAAAGGCTACAATATTCAACCTGTGACTACCACTCAGATGGACATTTTTTCCAAATGAGCTGTGTTGACTTTTTCAGTTTGCTAAGTGACGTCTGGATCCACCATTCAAGAATCAAAAACAATCAGGATCATCCTCCACACCAGTTGCGTACCTACCACGGTTGCTCCAGGGAGGCCACCTGGATACCTTCTGGGCCGATGCACAGCCGCACCAACCCAGGTGCGCGGTTTCCACGTGTCTGGCAGGAGGGGAGAGCTACGCTCTCATATGGAGAGGGAGAAATGGGACACATGGAAGGGAGGGGGGAGTGAGGGAGGGCTTGGGACAAATGGAGGAGAGGGGAGAGAGAGGGAGAAATGGGACACGGAGAGGGGGAGAGATGGAGGCTATGGAACACATGGAGGGAATGGGAGAGAGGGAGGAATAGGACACATGGAGGGGAGAGAGGGAGGAATGGGACACATGGAGGGAGGGGGAAAGAGGGAGGAATGGGACACATGGAGGGGAGGGGAGAGAGGGAGGAATGGGACACATGGAGGGAGGGGTAGAGAGGGAGGAATGGGACACATGGAGGGGAGGAGGGAGAGAGGGAAGGTATGGGACACATGGAGGGGAGTAGGGTGAGAGGAAGGAATGGGACACAGAGGGGAGGTGTGAGGGAGGGAAGAATGGGACACATGGATGGAAGGAGTGAGAGAGGGAGGAATGGAACAAATGGAGGGGAGGGGGGAGAGAGGGAGGGTATGGGGCATATGGAGGGGAGTGGTAGAGAGAGAGGGCATGGGACACATGGAGGGGAGGAGGGAGAGGGGAAGGTTATGGGACACATACAGAGAAGGGGGAGAGAGGGAGGTATGGGACACAGGGAGGGAGGGGGGAAAGAGGGTGGAATGGGACACAGGGAAGGAGGGGGAGAGAGGGAGAAATTGGACACATGGAAGGGAGGGAGAGAGAAGGAGTAATGGGACACATGGAAAGAAGGGGAAAAAGAGTGGAATGGGACACATGGAGGGAGGGTGGAGAGAGGTAGGAATGGGACACAGGGAGGGAGGGGGAGGAATAGGACACAGGAGGGAGAGAGAGGGAGTGTATGGGACATGTGGAAGGGAGAGAGGGAGGAATGGGACACATGGAGGGGAGAATGGAGCGAGGGAGGGTAGGGGACATGGAGGGGAGAGAGAGGGAGGGTAAGGGACACGGAGGGGAGAGAGAGGGAGAAATGGGACACATGGAGGGGCTGGGAGGGAGGAGAGTATGGGACACATGGAAGGGGTGAGGGAGAGGGAATGGGACACATGGAGGGGCTGGGCGGGAGGAGGGTATGGGACACATGGAGGGGCTGGGCGGGAGGAATGTATGGGACACATGGAGGGGCTGAGGGGGGAAAGGAATGGGACACATGGAGGGGGGAGGGAGGGTATGAGACACATGGAGGGGAGGGGTAAGAGAGGGAGGGTATGGGACACAGGGAGGGGGAAAGAGGGAGGGTATGGGACAAAGGGAGGGGAGAGAGCGGGAGAAATGGGACACATGCAGGGCCGGACTGGGGATTCCAAAGCAGCCCTGGAAAAAAAATCTATGGCAGCCCCATATGTCATTGCGCCATATATTGTTGCATGTAATATGTAAGGCTATGTCTTGCCACCCTAGATGATTGAGATATATATATGTATCTTTTTCCAATATAAAATATTGGTTCTTTCAGAGTAAAATCTTTAATTATACAGTAAGCATACTCGCATGCAGACACAGACAATCTCACTGACACAAGCTGATTGATACACAGCCTCATAGACAAACAATCTCACTGATATACATAAGGTCATTAAAATAAAAACACAAGCTCACTCAGTAGCAGGCACACACACACACACACACACACACACACAAGCAAGCCCACTCACTAGCAGGCGCGCACACACACACACACAGCTTAATGTAGTGGCTCTGGTGTCTATAGCCTGTCCCTGCAGGCTTTTCAATGTAAACACTGACTTTTTAGAGAAAAGGCAGTGTTTACATTGCTTCCTAGTGACAGACACTCAGACGGTCACTAGAGGTGCTTCCTGTGTCAGTGCGGATTGGCTGAGATCATCAAGCTTGATGATCTCAGCCGTAGAGGCAGGGCCAGTTGAGGGGAGACCAGCACGACGTGGGGGAAAAAAAAAAAAAGTGAGTAAAAACACACATACACACACACATACCATGACAGACACACACCGTGACACAGACAGAAACACAGACACACCATGACAGACAGACACACCATGACACAGACAGACACACACACACCATGACAGAGACACACACATACCATGACAGACACACCTTAAAAAAGACACACACAACTTGACACACACACCATAACACAGACCATGACACAGACACACACGACACAGACAGACACACCATGACACACAGACACACACCACGACACAGAGAGATCGTGACACAGACACACACACACACACCGTGACACAGACACACATTACATGACAGAGACAGACACACACCATGACAAACACACACACCATGACACACACACACCATGACACAGACACACACACACCATGATACAGACACACACACACCATGACACACACACACCATGATACAGACACACACACACACACACACACATACACTCACACTGACACACACAATGTCTACCTGGGGCTGTGGGGAGCTCCCTTGGCGGCCGCAGGGGGAGCTGGCTGTTCTGCCTCTGCTCCCCCTCCCCAGCGCACTGCTTACTGAGACCGGGGCCAGAATATGACGGAGTCGTGAGGTTAACGAACCAGCGACCAGTGGAGGTCCTGAAGAGTGTTACACTGAAAGGAGAGTATAAAATCGGTTAGGTACTGAACCGTAACTGTTCAGGCCTGTGGGCTTTAACAGAATGGTGTAAATTAAACAGTGCAGACAGATTGTAAGCTGGCCATAGGCTAAATATGTGTTAGGTGTAAGTATGTTGTACAACTAAACTGTCCGTCTAGGTGGAAACACTGGGAATAGAGATGGAAGGGATACCGAATATGTCCAGAAGATAGTGGAACTACAAAATCCATCACCTTAAGATCCACTCCCCCGAGGAGTCAGGGTAGGGAACAAAAGGGAGGGAAAATACTCGCCTCCTGTCCTTATTAAAATTAAGATTATTAGTACACTAAAGCTAACATAATCTTCAATTTTATAACATGATAGGAGGCTTCCTATTTTGCAATTTTAACGCTGAAGAAGTGACATCCCAGCAGAAGGGGGAGTGCGAAAATAAAATGTACGGAAAGTGGATTCCCTAGACCAGTCCGCCGTTCGGAGAATATCCGAGAGGGACGCCCCTGCCAGGAAGGCTGATGAAGCCGCCGCATCTCGCACTGCGAGGGAAAGGATCCAGCGGATCCATCGGGCCAGTGTGGTGACCGAGACTGGGGCGTGAGGGCGCACGTAGTTGGCCCGACGTAGAGGATCGGAGTGAGGAGGTAACGGAAACATACCTGCGAAGGGTGGACACAACACAGAGTTGCGGGTCGTCGGGGAAAAAGGGGTAGAAGACCGAAGTCGAACCCGACTTAGTGCGACGGGAAATGTGGAACGTGACCCCTTCCGGGGCCACCTCGAAAGCGTCCACGTCGAAGGCCCTAACATCCGAAACCCGCCGGAAAGATATTAGACAAAGGAGGAAAGCGCACTTAGCGGATAGTTGGCGTAGGGAGAGGCGGTCATTCGGAAGCCAATCCTTGAAAAAAGGGAGAACCAGTCCCACATCCCATAGGTGAGGGTATCTGGGGGCCGGGGGGCGGCGGAGCCGCATACCACGGAGTAGACGGCAGACCAGAGGGTCTTTGCCGACCGGGAGATCCCCGACGGGGGTGTGAGCCGCCGAAATCGCGGAGCGAACGACGTTGACCGAACGGTAAGAGCGGCCAGAAGAGAACAAGGAGGAAAGAAAATTAAGAATCATGGGAATAGGTGCTGTAAAGGGATCGGAGTCCCGTTCCATGCACCAAGTAGACCAGGAGGCCCAAGCTGAAAGGTAACAGCGTCTAGTTCCCGGGGCCCATGAGTCCCATAAGAGGTCCCTAGCAGTCTGCGATAGTCCGCTGACTCGCCAGGAACCCCGGAAAGAGACCAAGCCACCAGGGGTAGCCGGTCTTCCAGGAGTAGTGGGTGGAGATACCCTTTGGGATCCGTGAGCAGGTCCGGGAAGGATGGAAGGAGGAGAGGGTCCCTGTAGGAGGAGGCCAGGAGGTCCGGGAACCATGGTTGGCTCTGCCACAAGGGCGTTATGACAACCAGTTTGATCTGTTGCGTCCGCATCTGGTGTAGTGTTCTCGCAATCATGGAGAATGGGGGAAAGGCGTAGGCTCCTGTCGTCGGCCATTGTTGGAGAAATGCGTCTGTCGCCTTGCTCTCCGGGTCCGGGAGCCAGCTGAAGAACTCCGGGGTCTGGTGATTGTTGCGAGAGGCAAACAGATCCAGGTGAAAGGGACCCCTCCGGGCTGACAGGGCCCTGAAGATTCTCGTGTTTAGCTTCCAGTCGCTGACGTCTCTCCAGTGGCGAGAGAACCAGTCGGCTGTGAGGTTGATTTCTCCCGGTAAGTATTCCACCTGAAGCGTGATATTGCGAGGGAGGCAGTAGTCGAAGATGTCCCTTGTGATATCCGACAGTAGGCGTGAGCGAGCGCCTCCCAGACGGTTGATGTACTGGACTGCGGAGACATTGTCCATGCGCAGGAGGATGCAGAAGTTGGATCTTTCCTGGGCCAGGCTGCGGATCGCGAAGGATCCCGCCAGGAGTTCGAGGCAATTGATGTGCATGGAGAGCTCCTGTGCCGTCCATTTTCCTCCCGTGGAGATGGTTCCGTTGGTGGCACCCCATCCCCACAGGCTGGCGTCTGATTCCAATACGAAGTCTTGTGTGTCTCCGAATATGGCCTTGCCGTTCCAGGCTTGCATGCTGTCCAGCCACCATGATAGTTCTTCGCGAACCTCCGTCGTCACCGGGACGGGTTGGTCGTAAGTAGGTCTGTGGCGTAGGTATTTCGCCTTGAGACGTTGCATGGCCCTGTAGTGGAGGGGACCCGGAAATATGGCTTGAATGGAAGCAGAGAGGAGACCTACAATCCTGGCCAGGTTGCGTAGTGGAATGGAGTCGAGACGGAGAACCTTGCGAATCTCCTTGCGAATGGCTGTGATCTTTGAGGCTGGTAGTCTCAGAGTGCATGTCGTCGAGTCGATCTCGAAGCCGAGGAATTGTATCGCCTGAGTAGGGGTCAGTTCCGATTTCGGTTGGTTTACCACGAAACCCAGAGATTCCAATAGGGACACTGCCAAGTGAGTGTGTTGGCGTAGTCTGTGTTCGTCGGAGCAGAAGAGGAGAAGGTCATCTAAGTAGATGATGCATCGAATGCCCCTGGATCTCAGGTGGGCCACCACTGGTTTTAGAAGCTTGGTGAAGCACCATGGGGCAGAGCTGAGCCCGAAAGGGAGGCAAGTGAATTGCCAAGGGCGTCCGTGCCAGAGGAAACGTAGGAGTGCTCGACAGTCCGGGTGCACCGGGACTGACAGATATGCATCTTTCAAATCGAGCCTGGTGAACCAGTCGTTGCTTCGAAGAAGGTCTCGCAGGAGGTGGATGCCCTCCATCTTGAAGTGGCGATAGACCACATGTGCGTTGAGGGCGCGTAGATTGATGACCGGTCGGTATTCTCCTGACTTTTTCCGAACCAGGAAGATGTTGCTGAAGTAACCACCCTCGTCGTGGGCCGGCTGGATGGCCCCTTTGTCTCGGAGCTCGCGTAGCTCCGCGTTGACGAGGTTGTGGTCGGAGGACGACATGTGGATGGGGCGAGGGGGCTGAACCTGAAAGGGGGTCCCCACTAGGTCTATGATATATCCCTGTACTGTTTGTAGGATCCATGTGTCTGAGCATAGGGCGGCCCAATTCTGGAAAGAAAGGGAAATACGGCCCGCAGTGCGGGTGCATGGTAACAGTGGAGGAATATGGGTCCTTACCTGCAGCAAAGCGGGAACGTCCGCGTCCGCGGGGTCCACGACCTCTATCCGAGCCTCTGGAAAAGGGTTGCTGCCGATAGTCCCTTGTCGGGTAGAACGGTGTTGGTTGGGTGCGGGAGCCAAAAGCGGCTGGCGGCATGGCCCCGCTGCTGGCCAGCCCTTCCAAAAACCCCTCTGGTAGGGTTGCTCCTGAAAACTCTGCGCATAGAGGATTGCGCCTTATTAAGGGAGGTGAACACGTTTACGTGTTTATTGAGTTCCTTGAGGAACAGTTCGCCAAATAGTTTTCCTTTTGCCTGGGGCCCAATCTCCTTTGTGCCAAGGTCTGCCAATTTACCGTTGATACGGTATAACGCTGCTTTTCGTCTCTCCGAAGAGAGCGTAACATTAGTGTTTCCAATGAAACAAAAACACCGTTGTGCCCATTCACGAACGTCATGTGCCCATTCCCTGATGTCCTCGGCAGAGAAGGAGTCGGCTTTGGCGTAGGCATCATCCGCTAGATACATAATGCGAGCCAGGGGGCCTACGGAATCCAGCAGGTTATCCTGGGCGCCCCATAGGCCTTTTTCTACCCCTCGGCGAGGGTCTCTACCACTGCGCATCATGAAGGTCGACATGACCTTGTCAAATTCAGGGGTCTGAGCGACCTTATCCGGCAGGGAAGGGCGTGGGCATTCAGACCTGAGTCGGCTGCGGACCTCCTTCTCCAGAGGTTTGCGGAGCCACAGGTGCATAAACCTGGAAAGGTGTTCTGGAGGTGACCAGTCACCCGATCTGGGGTGCCGTATGTTGCGGGGGTCGAACATCGCCTGACCTGAGGGGTCCAAAATGGTGTCTGAGTCTAGAGGAGGTTCTGCGTCCGCAGTGTCCTCAACACCTCCAGTCTGGGCAGCACCCAGGAGGGTCTCCCGCATGAAAGCGGAGACAGATTTCTCGTCCGAGCCCCATGCATCGTAGTCCGACTCAGAAGCGTCAGCTTGCCATTCATCCAGCACTGACATGGACTGGGCAGGGCCCTGCTCTTCATCTGAAGAGTACTCCTGACGCGGGGGCTGGGGTGTGTAGTTTGGCAGATTTGCGCTTGGCAGGTGCCTTACCCTTAGGCAGTTTGGGTGTATGTAGAATATTGCATATTCTATGTTTCTATTGATTATATATATGGATGTGTGGATTGACATAAGTAACAGATGGTATCAATAAGTCACAAGGCTTTCTTTGTCCGAGAGCTCTGGAATGTGGATTCGGGGGTCTTTTCCTTATATGGCTAGAGTTAAATGGAGACGTTAGTATTAGCACTTCGATATAGTAACAGAGGGACACGAGGTGGCTCTCTGTTTTGGCTTAGCTCTTGGCTCTGTACAACGATGTAACTCTCCCATCAGAAGTCCAGCAATTACCATCTGCTGTTGAATGTCCATTATCCTGTAACATCATTTATTATGTTTTATTATGTATCCGTAACAAAGAATAAACCAGAAGAAACCGTAAGTCAGATTGCGTATTACTACTTTTCAATAATATAGACATATATTATTGTGGCGAGCATTTGGCCCAAGAATATATATACAAAAGACGTATATATATCAATCAACTGAAGATAAGAAGAGATTAAGAAGATTCAACATTAACATCCATTCATCTACATTTTTACAGTGTATAATCCTCGCCTTTGTCATGGCGCTTTTTAGGGCGGGAGTCATCCCTTGTCTTATAGTCGGATAAGTCGGAATCCGATTCGTGGCGTGTGCGTCTGCGGGTTTTTGGTACGTCAGGAGCCGGAGCTCGGGCCTTGGAGAGTGCCTTCTCCACAAAGGCAGCGACAGCTGCGTTAATCATAGCCTGGAAGTCCACAGGGACGTTCTGGGAATCTTCCATGTTAGGGTAGGCTGATACGTCACTGAAAGGCACAGCAATAAACGGGCACCCAAGTCTTGATAATAGGCGTAGGGTCAGATTTGATAGTATGGTGGGACCAAGCCCAGAATAACCCCAGCAGGGTATAGTAGTGACCTTATAAACTGGGGCTCACCCAGTTAGAGAGAACTGCAACAGCTAGTCTCCCAGTAAGCAGCGTATTTATAGTGGGGGCTCACCCCGGTTGCACAGGGTTGGGACCCTTAAGTGCAGGTCACAATAATAAACAGGCAGCAGCACTGACCTGACTGACCCAGCCACAGGATATAGCTTGATAGAAGCAGATGAGGCACAGAGGCTGAGTAGCAGAGTGATAGCAGCCAGATGGATTGCTGAGCAGGTAATCCTTCAGTCACAGTGTGAGACACAAATGGTGTGACAAACAGCAATGCAGAGGTAACAGCAAGTTAGCACAGCCACACTGAGTCCCTAATGAGATGCACGAGGCAAAACTAAGATGGCCGCGGGAATCTCGCGATGTCCGCGATCCAAAATGGCGGCCGTGAGTGTAGGCCGCAAGCCGGGGGCTAAATTTTGAGACCGGCCGCGGGCGGAAGCAGGCCGGCGCGAAAACGGCCGCGAACGATTCCGGCCGCAAGGAGGGAGCCCAGGAGGGCACTCCAGGTTAGGGGGGCAGTGGGGGGACCTGGGGAGACTGAGGGGAGGCCCAGGGAAGGTCCCAAAATGAACAGAGGGGCAGATAAGAGGGTAGAAACCCACAGAGAGCCCCTAGTCCCACAGCCCAGTACAGAACAGAAAAAAAGGGAATAAATTAAAGTAATAATAGTGATATGACCATAGAATGGAACAAAAAGATAACGACAATAAATGTATAAATGTATAAAGCTCCAGAGGAGCAGATATTCTGACCTGTCTGCGATGGAGCAGTAAAGAAAGAGGAAGTGTACAGGCAGCATGACCCTTATATACTATGCTGCTCAGTGATTTATTTGTTATTCTTTACGTTTTTCTTTACTGCTGTGGAGTTTAGTAAAGAGAGTTAATGCAAAATAGGAAGCCTCCTGTCATGTTATAAAATTACCCACACCAAGCACATTCCATTGTTAGAAATGTGCATATACTTAGATAACCAGTAGATGGCTCCAATTACCCATTTAAAGCTGTGTTAATTGGCGACATCTTCTGGTTATCTAAGTGCACATTTCTAACAATTGTATATGATTGGTGTGGGTAATTGTTTTTATTGTTTTTTGGTATTGTTTGTGTTTGGGGTAGAACACAAAAGTGTGTAGCGGGTTTGAGAATACCAGTGCACTGCACATAAAGCACTTTGCAACTTTAAGCATATGTAAAATTCGGACAGTGTGTTTTAGCAAATTTTTTGCACTTCTGAATACTTTAAGCGCTTCTTACATTTTAACTTTGTTATATTTAGAAAGACTTTTTGCCTTAAAGGACCACTCTAGGCACCCAGACCACTTCAGCTTAATGAAGTGGTCTGGGTGCCAGGTCCAGCTAGGGTTAACCCATTTTTTAATAAACATAGCAGTTTCAGAGAAACTGCTATGTTTATTAATGGGTTAAGCCTTCCCCCAAAGCCTCTAGTGGCTGTCTCATTGCCACGCGTGCGCATTTAGCCGAAGGGGCGGAACGGAGGAGGAGAGAAGGAGGAGAGCTCTCCGCCCAGCGCTGGAAAAAGGTAAGTTTAAACCCCTTTCCCCTTTCCAGAGCCGGGTGGGAGGGGGTCCCTGAGGGTGGGGGCACCCTCAGGGCACTATAGTGCCAGGAAAACGAGTATGTTTTCCTGGCACTATAGTGGTCCTTTAAACTTGTCACAGACTATCGGGGTTATTACCTAAAGTGAGAATTTCCAAGAATTCAAAGTGAATTTCAAATTTTAGACCAAAATAGCAGATTTAAAAAAAAAAAAAAATCTCCATCTCAACTTTGTGTTCAGTTTGGCTCTTTTGTCCTTAAATTTGAAATTCACTTTGAATTTTCTTTGAATTTCTGCGAATTTGAATTCAGTAAGTATTCCTGTGGGTTTATTTAAATTCCCAACAATTGAAACTTCAGTTAATAACCCTGATTGGTCTATAGCATAGTGTGCTAACGTTGACATATTACAGTTCCCCGGATATCCTATAACTGTAAACAAGTTTGCATTCTTACAAGTCTAACGGTAAGGAAATATAAACCGTGTGAGTGTATGTAGTAATTGTTAATTATTATGGATTAATTCACTGTGCACAAATATCTGCTGGAGACGTGCTTAGCATTTTTTTAAATATAATTTTATTGAATGCAAAAACAGAAAAGTTAAATTAAATGGTGATTTAGAATATGACAATAATATCAAGTAGACACGTATCTGTCATTTTTCAGGTTAGAGCAACAATGCTTGTAATGTGCTGTATTTGTCCAAATACTGATTTAAAAAAAATACTTTATGGCCGTTAATTTAAAGTTAACACAAAAAAAACCCTAAGAGTTGCAAAAATCAATTCCGTTGACAAACATAATTAAATGAAATTCAAGTGACTCCGTATCATACTGAAAGACAAGTGTTAAGGGACCTGTAGTTGGCACCCATAGAGACAGTGGGTTGTGGTGATAAGGTCCTGCACGTAAAAACAGATACTTTTATCTCTATCAGGGTAGAATTGCTTTTCCCAGTATTGACTGTTTTAGGTCAGATGATGGGAAATGGATAATGATGAGGTTTCTGAATGAAAGTCAATTTTTTCCCATTTTTCTTCTTCTTAGTTTGCACTTTAATACATACTCCATGAATACGTTTCTAGGATCCAGTAAGTAATTAGTACAGCTGTGAATCCCAATGCTTTGTTTCGTGACACAGTCTAATCTTCAACTGCATACAGGGCCGTCTTTAATATTGATTGGACCCCGGGCAAGCATCTGTTTGGGCCCCCTGGGCATGCAATCACTCCCTCCACCCCAACCTAGAGGCGAAACTAATGTAGAGAGTGCCTTGGTGCAACAACAAAAAATTCAGGCCTGCCCTGTAGAACAAAAGTAAAGAAAAGATAGATCCCCATCTGTCATACAACTCCTGCGATGCTATGCCAGCTGGGGATCTACCATCCTTGCAGGGTTGTATTTTTGAGCAGTGTTTGTGCAAATGAATGTCAGCATGTTATTGTATAGAGTGTATATGTGCATGTAGGAGTGTATTTGTATGTACTGTTACCATTGGAATGCAGTGGTGTACTTGTGTGTAGTGTTTGCATTTTAATGCAGGGATGTGTGATTGTTTGTAGTGTTGGCTTTTAAATGCAGGTGTACTTTTGTGTGTAGAGTTGGTGTTTGTATATAATTTTAGCATTTTAATACAGGAATGTGTTTGCATGTAATGTTTGTATTTGCATGCAGGGGGGTGTTTGGATGTAGTGTTGTCTTTTAAATACATGTGTACATTTGTGTGTAGTATTAGCAAACTGGTGTGTTTGTAATGTTTGTGTTTGCAGGGGTCTGTTTGCATGTTGTGTGATTTCTATAACACATATACACATACACATTAACACGCAGATACACACATGCTCACACTGACACATGCTCACACCTTGACACATACTGGCACATACACATACAGACACACTCAGATACACACCCTTTGACACACAGATACAAGCACTTTGATATACACACACTGGCACATACACACACACACTGACACAGGTATATACACACACACTCAGATACACACATACATAAAGGTATAAATGCAGGGGTGTATATGTGTACAGTGCTAGAGATGGAATGTAGGATGTATTTGTGTTGGCATTAAAATGCTGGGATGTATGCATTACCACACACTCAGATGCACACTTACACACACACCGAAACACACACACAGGTGCACATACAGGTGTATGAGGTATACATACACACAGAAACACTGACACACAGACAAACACAGCCAGATACACACAAGGACATAAACACAGCCAGATACACACATATATATGTGTACATTTACATATTTTAATCTCTGCCTTCTAGCAGCTCTTGGACAGCAACTCCCAGCAACCTTGGCCAATATAATGTCTCAACTCTGTTCTTACATACCCTGGTCCAGAATTTGGCAAAAGTGACATTTGAAATGGTATACAGCCTTTGATAACACTTGATGCAATAATATGTTAAAATAAATACTTTTAAAATTTATATTTAATAGGGAACTGTCAGGTTCTTCTAGGATTTTTAACATGTACTTATTCCCTGTGTGTTACATTACAAACACCAACACACTTAAATAAAAGTGATATCAGAAATTAGCAAAACAAAAAACAAAACATATTTAGCCACCCTCCTGTCTCCTTACCTTTTGGGTACAGAAAGGTGGCTTCCCTGGGGTCCAGTGGGAGCTTGTTGGCCCAGGCTGATGGGAGTCTGCCATCAGCTTTCTCAGTCCCTCTCCCCCACAATGCTTGCATCCTCCTCCATGTGGTGTGTGCCTCCTCCCCAGCGGCACTGAGGAGGAAGTGATCAGTTCTTACTGGGAGGAAGCAATCTGACCTCACTGCCTCCCAGCATGCCCAGGAAACAAAGAGACTCACAGGGCAGTATGTGAGGGGGCTAGCTGTGAGTATGTAGTCAGCCACCCCCCATATAACAGGGGCCCGGGCCGGTCCAGAGCAGTATTAAAGGGCTGTGGCCCCTGATTACCTCAGGTGCCGCAGGGGGCACATGGGGCAGCAGCCTTAGGGCCCCCAGGAGTAACTGGGCCCGGGGCAGCTGCCCCTTTTGCCCCTCCTTAAAGATGGCCCTGACTGCATATGCCAAACAGAGAAAATACCCAAGCTCTCTTTCTTTAGCACATTAAAGGTTCTCCATTGTCCACCTGTATAGGTATAGGAAAAATCAAACATTTCAGGGATTAAGCATACATACACACACACACATACACACATATATACATACACACATATATACACACATACACACACACACACATATATATACATACACACACACACATACACATATATACTGTAAAGGATCCTTCTATTCGTGCAGTGCTGATCCTTGTAGTTTCTCCCGAAATCCCGCTGAAACAGAGTGATTATAGCTTCCAATCCCCCAAACATGAGTCGAGACTTCATGAAGGGGTAAAAACGATCTGATTTAATGGGGCTACCTGCCTGGTATTTATGCAGGTCTCCCACCTGGTGGACACTCCCCTAGGGGACCAGATGGAAGAATGGGACATAAGAATTACAGTAGCCAATCACAGTGGCTATAACATAAGCACTCTACTTTTACATACGCCATTTACCGCTGGGCGTTCGACAATTTAAAATGGCAGACGAACACGGACCACCAAGCTGTTCCCCAATTACTCTGTGGTTAACCACAAAGTCTGGGTGGTTAATGGGCACCACACGACCTCAGTAGGAGGTCGGGTGATTCGGCAGTTTATTCGTTTTATTGCTATTTGCACGAAATCACCCCACACACGTCTAAATAACCGAACAGGCTGGTTCGCATAGTCTGTTTAATAAGATATTTTGTTACATATACATACACACACCCACATATATACATACACACACATATATACATACACACACACACATACATATATATACATACACACACATATATACATACACACACATACACATATATATACATACACACACACACATATATACATACACACACACACACATATATTTACACACACACACACACACACACACATATATATATACACATACACACACACACACATCCACAAGATTTGACTTGTGTTGGGTTATTCAGTGAAAAGAGAATTCAAAGTATGTTTCAAATTTAAGGTAAAAAATTGTCGAACTGGAAAAATTCTGTAAGTTTCCATTTAATTACTCTGACTTTAAATTTTAAATTCAAATCACATTTTTTCACGTTCGCAAATAACCCTGTCTGTTCATTCCCTAAAAAAAACCACATCCTAGCCTTTTAGACTCTGCCCATGTAATCCTGTTTAATTTAGGTGATATTTTTAATAAAATGAACTAAACAGCTAAATCAAATTAAGTAATTAAAATAAAATTTAAAAATAATAAAACTACAGATAAAAAAGATCTTAAAGAGTTTTGTTATAAAAAATAATGTCTACCTACCTGTCTTGCTGTCAGTCACTCTGTCTTGGATAATTCTGATCTATTTTGCTTTCTGGCTGGGTTTTTCTGATTATTAGCTGGAGGTGAAGGGCGAGATGCTGATTTGCTTATATATCTTTAACTAACAGGGGTGGACTTTTGGACCAGTGCCTGATGAGTTTTTGTTTAAAAAAAAAAAAAAAAAATCTATTTGCAGTGATAAAAGTTTTTTTCTTTTACCCTTTGAGAATATACATAGATACACACATACATACATACATACACACACAAAAGGTCCTTGAGAAAGACCCGAATGTGTCGAAACGTCGGCTAATTGTTGATGCAATACCTATTGGAATAAACTACCCCTTTTTTTCACTTATTAAGTCCTTGGAGTGCATCTATTTTCTTTTGTTTATATATCTTCAATGCGGGATTGTGTAATATATATATTTCCGAAATAATCAGCACTCCAAAGATTTGTAAAAAAAAAACCAAATCCTGGGAGTGCTGATTATTTCGGTTCTATGTTTAACAGTGCAATCGAGCACCGGGCCTGAATTTCATTCAGTAAGTAGGAGTGTAGAGATTAGAAAGGATAGAAGAGACAGACACAGAGAGACACAGAGACAGAGAGAGAGACAGAGATATATAAAAATTATAAGAAAAGCCAAATCTATGACAATAAGTCCCTGACAACTGCACTTTCTAATGAGGATGCCTTGACCCAAATATATCTAGGATTCTGATTTAAAGTAGTGGAAGTTTCCACTCTCCTTTTTTATTTTTATTTTTTATTTTTTCTTTATGGAAAAGCTTGGAAAATGTATGAAGTTATGCAGAGAGTATAAGTTTGGGGAGAGGGAGGGAAGAGAAAGTATGGTTTCTAGTTACCTTGACTTGAAAATTTCCATAAAAACAAAAAACATGATAAAGTGTACGGTGGAAAAATGTTGTATGTCTCTGTTTAATGATATCGGTTATGCTAATTCCTGTTCTCCTGTTTGATGGCTGTATGGAGATACTGTTAAGAGCAAGTGGACATGCCAAGGTCTTGGGGCAAATGTGAGAAACACACCGTCTAAATATAGATCTCAGATGAGATCAATCTGCTCCCTGAAGGGGTTTCCGATGTCTCCCATTCACTTTCCATTGGGGCATCTGGTATTGAATACCACATTACCTTTTTGTCTAGCGCTCATAATGGTTCACAGCATTAGGAGTGTGGGGTTACAGTTTCTGAATTTATCACATGCAATGGTGATATACCAAGCAGCATATTTACTCTCAGCAACAGCCTGCCTGTAAAATGAGTAGTTTTGGGGGTATTGTTTTAACCTAAGAATCAAACCAGACTTCTTGTGGAAAAGGTTTGCAATAGAGGACCCCTTGGACCAAGTTTGATGTTCAAAGACTGGCTAAGCATCATTGTCAGTGACACAGACTTTTATTCATAGTCACTGTTTAACCATGTGATTTAATTATATAAAATTAATCAGGCTCCCTAAATACTGAGCACAATTACCAGAGAGTAGGTTATACTGTGCTCTGAGCATTTTGTTGATATGCAGGTTAAATAGAATTGATACTGATAAAGTACACATTTAAATTCTGCAATATGAAGGTGGCTGAACAGAGTGTGATCAATGACTATCAGGGATAGTCTGTTAGAATGATCCTAAACAGTTTGACAAAACAATACAGGAGATGGGGCCCATAAGC